TGCACTTACTCAGCATTCACCTGATGTAGGAGCAAGAAGATGCTCTGAAACGCTGTGACAAGGAATAACAGAAGTTGGTATCCTTAAAAAGTGTCACGTATTCATGTTCTTCCAAATTCTAAATGCAGATATATAGACTTCATAATCTCTGGCTGGAAGTATTAAAACATCATTTACATAGAGTTAGAGTTACCTTAGCCAAGCAAACTTTGAAGCAGGGGTTAGGCAGAGGAAATCTTTCCAGAGTCCACGCCCATGGTGCACCAGACCCCAATGTTTCTAAAACTTGCTAATCTATTATGTAATAGACTCATTTGTTGACATAACCCGTGAAGATCCAGGGTAGAACAGGTCTTCAGCAACCCATTCTTGCCATAAAAAGCAACTATGCTTGTCTAAGAGGCGATGAATGGGATCGGGTGGTCAGGCTCACGGACTTGGTTGATGCATGCCATCGATCTCAATTGCGTGGATCGATGCTCATGATGTCAATCACTGGATTGTCTGGTCCTGACTCAATTATATACAGACCGCCTTCATATAACTGGAATATTGCTGAGTGCGTCGTTAAACAACAAACAAACAACAAACATGTATTTCAAGTGCAACCCCTATGTGCGTCCCTGAATTCGTCAGAGTAACCTGCAAGATGCCAACCAAACAAGTGTTCGAAATAGACATCAGCCATAGGCCCAAGGCCAACAGATTTGTTTTTGGGCTGAAAGTTTTAAATTTTAGCAGGCCCTTATGGCCAACAGTTTATCTAAGTAATTATTTATTAAGCATTATTTAAGTAATGTGATAACATAACTTTCATACTTATAAACAGAAGGATTAGACCTTTCAAATGACATGTAGTTGAAAAGACGTTTTACAAGCTGATAATTATCTGATAAATGTAAGCTTCATCTATCACCACAGACTCTCTGGGAATTTGGTGTGATAGCAGTAAATGCTTTCTAGTTGACTGTTTGTGTTTTGTAATTTGTATTGCAAGAGTATGTCTCCCTGTTTGGGCCTACAGTTTTTCCACTGGGCCTACAGTTTTTCCACTCGGACTACAGTTTTTCCACTGGGCCTACAGTTTTTCCACTGGGCCTACAGTTTTTCCACTGGGCCTACAGTTTTTCCTCTGGGCCTACAGTTTTCCCACTGGGCCTACAGTTTTTCCTCTGGGCCTACAGTTTTTCCACAGGGCCTACAGTTTTTTCCACTGGGCCTACAGTTTTTCCTCTGGGCCTACAGTTTTTCCTCTGGGCCTACAGTTTTTCCACAGGGCCTACAGTTTTTTCCACTGGGCCTACAGTTTTTCCTCTGGGCCTACAGGTTTTCCTCTGGGCCTACAGTTTTTCCACAGGGCCTACAGTGTTTTCCACTGGGCCTACAGTTTTTCCTCTGGGCCTACAGTTTTTCCACTAGGCCTACAGTTTTTCCACTGGGCCTACAGTTTTTCCTCTGGGCCTACAGTTTTTCCTCTGGGCCTACAGTTTTTCCACAGGGCCTACAGTTTTTTCCACTGGGCCTACAGTTTTTCCTCTAGGCCTACAGTTTTTCCACTAGGCCTACAGTTTTTCCACTGGGCCTACAGTTTTTCCTCTGGGCCTACAGTTTTTTCCACTGGGCCTACAGTTTTTCCACTGGGCCTACAGTTTTTCCTCTGGGCCTACATTATTTTATATGTGCTGGCCCTTAAGGCTCTCAGTTCACCCTGCTGAGTTTTGGACACTGAGCCAAACACCCCATACAGTAGTCAGACTGAACTAAACAAGTTAGGAGGGTGATTCTCTTAATTTATCTCACAAAGAAAGGAAATACTGGTTGAATCCTGGGAACAAAGTCACAGAACACAGAACACAAAGGGACAAGAGCTAACTGACAAGATTTCCTTTCCAATGCCACCCGTGGTGTATCTGAAACAGCCTGTACAATAAATACTAACAACTGTATCAACATATATAATTGTATATACACATGTAAACTCTTCTTGTAAACAGAGATCATATAATAGATCTATTATATGGTCTCTGTTGTACAGTAACCATCAATCTCTTCTGTAATAAGTTGTCTGAGGTACCGGTACATAATATAAACATACCTCTTGTAAAACCATGACAATGCCTCACCATCCCTTCACACATATACTCACCGCCAACTGAAAGGCGATTACCATACATGCTGGTTAACAAAATGGTTAATACATGTATATGAGTAATTATTATTCAAGAGATATTAGATAGGTTTGATGCACAAACGAACACAGTGGAATGTTGTGTGAACCGATGCTCATGAACGCATCACATGACGTCATAGATCCATGACTCCAGATGCACCATTTGTCTTGTGCAGGATTAGCATGTAAAGTTTGGAAATCGTGTGAGCATTTCATAAGAATAGACACACTGTGGTAACACTTGACTCTTTGTTAGTTTTGTCAGTAAATGGAACACATTGGAAACATCTCTTTTTACCATACAAACTTCTTTATATGTTTCTATGGTTTGGGTTTCTTTTGGCAGTAAGTATATAATAGCATCACTAGGAAGAACAATCAGTAAATATTATCTCATGTTTCACTGTAAAGTATGATATGTACATACAATATTAAAATTTCATTCAAATTCTGTAAACAGATATATCACATGCAATCGTTCTTCATACCAAAATAGGTGGAAGTGCAGGAATCAGGTTGATATCGATACTGTCTGCCCTTTATTAACATGGAGCAGTGTAGAAAAATCATTTGTCGACTACACATCACTTACAGAGTCCGAAGTGAGACAGGAAGTCATCAGTGTCCACTGGTCAAGCTGTATCCTCCACAGAGTAGGCTGGGCTGATTGTCATCCATGTCAAAATGTTCTGGTATCTTGAGACCAACGGCACACCTTGTATGATTTGACCATTTGATATAATAACTGTTATCAATAAGTAATAAATGAGACATAATGTAACACAGCAACTGACAACTGAGACAGGGTGTTCCCACTTTTCGAAACACAGCAACTGTCCACTGAGACAGGGTGTTTTGACTTTACAAGACCCAAGACTGAAGTACTAAGGTTGAAACGATTAGGGCTGCAACGATACAGGAAGGTGACGATACGATACGCATCTCGATATTCTGGTCATGAAACGATACGTATCTCGATATGCAATGATACAAAAACAAGACTTAAAGCATGTCAAGATTGAACCTTTCATGATTTTGGAACAGTCAACATTATTTTATAATAACAAGAATACTGAAGTTGTTCAGCTTCAAAGTGAAACTTACTCTAACTTTCCTTCAAAACAATTCAAAGTTCAAACACCAGAAAATAATTAATGTACTTCACCAGTGATACAACTTCAAAGAATTTGTATGCAATGGTCGAAGAAATTGTATCTGAAATTATTGTTTTAACAGGAATAATGTATTCCAATATGGTGTTACCTTAGTTGCAGCTTTGACTCTATATGTATTTAAAATTATGAAAACCACAAGCGTAGCATTTTGGTACTGGTGATTGCTGTTGCAGGATATTTTTACGTATGGAACAATTTGACCAGTCATCGTAGGGACTTCCCTGCGACAGGTATTTCGATTGTGAAAATGTTATGTTGAAATATATTAGCCAAATTGCCACAAATACGACTTTTAACGAGTCAAAGTTATCATTTTTAATATATGTATCCATTTTTAGCAACTAAAGTTCGTTTCAATGCGTCAAATGCGGTTATCTGACCGTGGTTGCTGTATCTCTTCACACACAATTTCACCTAACTTAATGAAAACAATATTAAATGAAGTTTTTAACAAAATTAATAAAATATATTACAAACACATGTCCAGATAAAGTCGTAAAGTCTCGTATCGTATCGTGACCAGAATATCAAGATGCGTATCGTATCATGACCTTCCTGTATCGTTGCAGCCCTATCAAGTACCCGAGTTACCCCTCCCAGGCCTATACTCCATCAGGACCCTGACTGCTCAGTACCCACCCGACCGAGTACCCTAGTTACCCCTCCCAGCCCTATACTCCATCAGGACCCTGACTGCTAAGTACCCACCCGACCGAGTACCCTAGTTACCCCTCCCAGCCCTATACTCCATCAGGACCCTGACTGCTCAGTACCCACCCGACCGAGTACCCTAGTTACCCCTCCCAGGCCTATACTCCATCAGGACCCTGACTGCTAAGTACCCACCCGACCGAGTACCCTAGTTACCCCTCCCAGCCCTATACTCCATCAGGACCCTGACTGCTAAGTACCCACCCGACCGAGTACCCTAGTTACCCCTCCCAGCCCTATACTCCATCAGGACCCTGACTTCGGAGTCAGAGCCTCCTAAGAGCTGAGGTCTCCACAACTCACCTCCACTTTCCTGTCCCCCACCAGTCTCACCAACAACACAACGTGTTGCTCACTACTGGCCACTCCAGGCCTAGGACCATGTACATCAGCATAGTATCAACTGAACAGCAATAGTCTGTCGAATGATCAACTTAATCACTGTCAAATAACATCAATATCACAGTTCACATTGAAATTCAATACAATGCCATGGAAGCTCCATATAAAACATGAACACATTCGGACTTGCAGGGGGAGACAAGCTATGCAAATACAACTTACTCAAAACTATGAGCTATACCAGGATAATTTATAGGAACCAATTAATTTGTAGTAACAACACATTCTCTGGACCAATATTGTCGTAACAGGTGATCTCCAGAATAAATAATGGCTTATTTTCAATGTACATATATAACTTCTCTTGGTCCAGAAACATGACATCATAGATAGTTATCCTAACTGATTTTCCAAACTGATGATATCACACAAACATTGTTTTTTTGTCACGTTGATAGCAGAATAATAACAATTAAAAAAGGGTTAAAAAATAAAAGATTTGGTTCTCAGGCAATGACTTTTGAAAATATAGTGCAGGCGGTGCTTCTTTTTTTTTCTTTTTGCTTGTTCAAACTAGTATGTAACCAAATAAACAGTTGTGTACCATGAACCTGGGAAAGGGCCTCCCTACATAAACAAGCATACAAGCTCCTATTGCCGCCATAACCATAACACAAGACGTGCAGTAAAGCAGTGCGCATGTAAAGGGAAGTAACTGCATGCTATACTGAATCAGATGGTTTTGAAGTATTAGGATTTTTTTAATTTGTTTGACAATGGAAAAAAAATGAAATATGTGGCTTTATGATGATGCGGACGATGCCTGAGAACCAAGACTATTATATTGTTTAGCCTATTCATATTTGAACATACTATATGGTCTAATCAATTCTTAATCAACATCAGGGTGAGGATGGTGTTAGCGTCATGAAGAACATTAGTGGTTTCTGATTACAAAGAGTACATCAGTATGTGAGGAACTTTGATGTCACAAGTACTGTTCCCTCAGATGATTCTCTGTCCCAAGGGCTGGCAGTCTCTGAACAAGCAGCTTCACACAGTGTAGAACTGTGTTGCTGCTGATGACTGGACTTCGATCTGCCCGAGCTTGAACTGGATCCTCTTGAGCCAGTTGAGGAGGATGGTGGAGTTGAATGAGCGTTGGTCCCGGGTTGGGTGGGGGGGCTCCCAGTTCTGACACATCTGTAGTCGCACATGGAGGTGTCCCGGCAACTGCAGCAGCAGCAGCATCAACATTCACATCATCATGTTCAGAAAGAGATCAACTAGGTACGTGCTTGTGTAACAGAAACCAGTGTTTAGAAATTAAGGTAGTCCTTAGGGTTTTCTGCTCCGCGTGTTTGAATCTATAGGGACCTAAGGACACTTGATTTGAATGTTAATTTCAAAAGCTGAAAACTATGGAAGCCTTTTAGGGTCATTTGTTTATTTATTTTTTTCTTGGAATTTCAAGATACTAAGTTGAAATTTCAAGATACAAAGTTAAAATTTTAAGATACTAAGTTGAAATTTCAAGATACAAAGGTAAAATTTTAAGAAACTAAGTTGAAATTTCAAGATACATGATCATGAAATTTCAAGATAATAAGTTGAAACTTAAAGATTATAACTAGAAATTTCAACTTATTATCTTGAAATTTTAAGATGCTATTTCAAAATTTCAAGATATTATGTGGAAGTATCAAGATTCATAAGTTGAAATATGAAGATAAGTTGAAATTTTAATTCAGTATCTTAAAATTTCAAGAAGAAAAAAAACATGGCCCAAAAAGGCTTCCATAGAAAACAGATTGGCCGAGTGAATTTTGTGTACACTGCATTCTGCAATACTCAAGCAACCAAGCACACTGTGTCAAAAGGGGCTCTTGTATTGTATGGCTCACACTTTGATCGTGACGAGAGGGGATGGGATGTAAACCGTGCACACTGTGTCAAAAGGGCCTCTTGTATTGTATGGCTCACACTTTGATCATGACGAGAGGGGATGGGATGTAAACCATGCACACTGTGTCAAAAGGGGCTCTTGTATTGTATGGCTCACACTTTGATCATGACGAGAGGGGATGGGATGTAAACCATGCACACTGTGTCAAAAGGGGCTCTTGTATTGTATGGCTCACACTTTGATCATGACGAGAGGGGATGGGATGTAAACCGTGCACACTGTGTCAAAAGGGCCTCTTGTATTGTATGGCTCACACTTTGATCATGACGAGAGGGGATGGGATGTAAACCATGCACACTGTGTCAAAAGGGGCTCTTGTATTGTATGGCTCACACTTTGATCATGACGAGAGGGGATGGGATGTAAACCATGCACACTGTGTCAAAAGGGGCTCTTGTATTGTATGGCTCACACTTTGATCATGACGAGAGGGGATGGGATGTAAACCGTGCACACTGTGTCAAAAGGGGCTCTTGTATTGTATGGCTCATACTTTGATCATGACGAGAGGGGATGGGATGTAAACCATGCACACTGTGTCAAAAGGGCCTCTTGTATTGTATGGCTCACACTTTGATCATGATGAGAGGGGATGGGATGTAAACCGTGCACACTGTGTCAAAAGGGCCTCTTGTATTTTATGGCTCACACTTTGATCATGACGAGAGGGGATGGGATGTAAACCATGCACACTGTGTCAAAAGGGGCTCTTGTATTGTATGGCTCACACTTTGATCATGACGAGAGGGGATGGGATGTAAACTATGCACACTGTGTCAAAAGGGCCTCTTGTATTGTATGGCTCACACTTTGATCATGATGAGAGGGGATGGGATGTAAACCGTGCACACTGTGTCAAAAGGGCCTCTTGTATTTTATGGCTCACACTTTGATCATGACGAGAGGGGATGGGATGTAAACCATGCACACTGTGTCAAAAGGGGCTCTTGTATTGTATGGCTCACACTTTGATCATGACAAGAGGGGATGGGATGTAAACCATGCACACTGTGTCAAAAGGGCCTCTTGTATTGTATGGCTCACACTTTGATCATGACGAGAGGGGATGGGATGTAAACCATGCACACTGTGTCAAAAGGGACTCTTGGATTGTATGGCTCACACTTTGATCATGACGAGAGGGGATGGGATGTAAACCAAGCACACTGTGTCAAAAGGGGCTCTTGTATTGTATGGCTCACACTTTGATCATGACGAGAGGGGATGGGATGTAAACCATGCACACTGTGTCAAAAGGGGCTCTTGTATTGTATGGCTCACACTTTGATCATGATGAGAGGGGATGGGATGTAAACCGTGCACACTGTGTCAAAAGGGCCTCTTGTATTGTATGGCTCACACTTTGATCATGACGAGAGGGGATGGGATGTAAACCATGCACACTGTGTCAAAAGGGGCTCTTGTATTGTATGGCTCACACTTTGATCATGACGAGAGGGGATGGGATGTAAACTGTGCACACTGTGTCAAAAGGGACTCTTGGATTGTATGGCTCACACTTTGATCATGTCGAGAGGGGATGGGATGTAAACCGTGCACACTGTGTCAAAAGGGCCTCTTGTATTGTATGGCTCACACTTTGATCATGACAAGAGGGGATGGGATGTAAACCATGCACACTGTGTCAAAAGGGACTCTTGTATTGTATGGCTCACACTTTGATCATGACGAGAGGGGATGGGATGTAAAACCGTGCACACTGTGTCAAATCGGACTCTTGTATTGTATGGCTCACACTTTGATCATGACGAGAGGGGATGGGACGTAAACCGTGCACACTGTGTCAAAAGGGGCTCTTGTATTGTATGGCTCACACTTTGATCATGACGAGAGGGGATGGGATGTAAACCGTGCACACTGTGTCAAAAGGGGCTCTTGTATTGTATGGCTCACACTTTGATCATGACGAGAGGGGATGGGATGTAAACCATGCACACTGTGTCAAAAGGGGCTCTTGTATTGTATGGCTCACACTTTGATCATGACGAGAGGGGATGGGATGTAAACCGTGCACACTGTGTCAAAAGGGGCTCTTGTATTGTATGGCTCACACTTTGATCATGACAAGAGGGGATGGGATGTAAACCATGCACACTGTGTCAAAAGGGGCTCTTGTATTGTATGGCTCACACTTTGATCATGACAAGAGGGGATGGGATGTAAACTATGCACACTGTGTCAAAAGGGCCTCTTGTATTGTATGGCTCACACTTTGATCATGACGAGAGGGGATGGGATGTAAACCATGCACACTGTGTCAAAAGGGCCTCTTGTATTGTATGGCTCACACTTTGATCATGACGAGAGGGGATGGGATGTAAACCATGCACACTGTGTCAAAAGGGGCTCTTGTATTGTATGGCTCACACTTTGATCATGACGAGAGGGGATGGGATGTAAACCATGCACACTGTGTCAAAAGGGGCTCTTGTATTGTATGGCTCACACTTTGATCATGATGATAGGAGATGGGATGTAAACCATGTACACTGTGTCAAAAGGGCCTCTTGTATTGTATGGCTCACACTTTGATCATGACGAGAGGGGATGGGATGTAAACTATGCACACTGTGTCAAAAGGGGCTCTTGTATTGTATGGCTCACACTTTGATCATGACGAGAGGGGATGGGATGTAAACCGTGCACACTGTGTCAAAAGGGACTCTTGTATTTTATGGCTCGCACTTTGATCATGATGAAAGGGGATGGGATGCAAACTATGCACACTGTGTCAAAAGGGCCTCTTGTATTGTATGGCTCACACTTTGATTGTGACGAGAGGGGATGGGATGTGCAGAGAAAGTAGAAGATGGTTACCTGTGCATGGTAGGCAAACAGGATGCACTGCCACATTGGGAACAGCTGAAACAGAGAATGCACACTTAACATGAATGACCGACAATCTTTACATTGTTTGTTTGTTTGTTGTTTAACGCCTAACTCAGCAATATTCCAGTTATCGGACGGCGGGTCTGTAAATAATCGAGTCTGGACCAGACAATCCAGTGATTGATATGAACATCGATCCAAGCAATTGGAATACGATGACATGTGTCAACCAAGTCAGCTAGCCCGACCACCTGATCCCATTAGTCGCCTCTTCCGACAAGCATAGTCGCCTTTTTCGGCAAGCATGGGTTGCTGAACACCTATTCTACCTTGGATCTTCACGGGTCGACATTCTTTACAATACTCAGGACAACAAGAAGATCTATTGTAAGGTGGTTTGTCAATTATACTTCTAAAAAATATTTTGGGTTAGAGCAAAGATTCCTATACAGGCTACTTATTTACAAAGCAAAGGAATTCTTTACCAAATCTGATTTTTCTTAGTAAGAATTTAGAATTTAGAATACAGCACCACAACTTGTGAGGACGATCTCTGCCATAGGTCACGTGTCACTAAGACCAGTATTTGTGAGAATCCGTTGGACACAAAATCGCAAGCTTCAGATTGTTAGCCCGATAACTAACCAACTGAGCTTCGTCCACACTGTGAAACTATGTGCAAATTTACCTAGTCATGCCTATGACTGAACGGAACTGCACAGAAAGGTCAAATGGGTGATGGACACTTACGAAAGTTACGGGTAGTCAAGGAGTCTTGTGACTTTAGTCTACAGACACTTACGAAAGTTAGGGGTAGTCAAGGAGTCTTGTGACTTTAGTCTACAGACACTTGCGAAAGTTACGGGTAGTCAAGAAGTCTTGTGCCTTTAGTCTACAGACACTTACGAAAGTTACGGGTAGTCAAGGAGTCTTGTGACTTTAGTCTACAGACACTTGCGAAAGTTACGGGTAGTCAAGGAGTCTTGTGACTTTAGTCTACAGACACTTGCGAAAGTTACGGGTAGTCAAGGAGTATTGTGACTTTAGTCTACAGACACTTGCGAAAGTTACGGGTAGTCAAGGAGTCTTGTGACTTTAGTCTACAGACACTTCCGAAAGTTACGGGTAGTCAAGGAGTCTTGTGACTTTAGTCTACAGACACTGACGAAAGTTAAGGGAAGGCAAGGAGTCTTGTGACTTTAGTCTACAGACACTTCCGAAAGTTACAGGTAGGCAAGGAGTCTTGTGACATTAGTCTACAGACACTTCCGAAAGTTACAGGTAGGCAAGGAGTCTTGTGACTTTAGTCTACAGACACTGACGAAAGTTACAGGTAGGCAAGGAGTCTTGTGACTTTAGTCTACAGACACTGACGAAAGTTACAGGTAGGCAAGGAGTCTTGTGACTTTAGTCTACAGACACATATAAGTGATCCCGATGCATAATATACACGATACCGAGCGGTGAGGATAGAGCCGATATGGCCCGTACCTAAACTATTTGATATCTCACACAACAAGTCCACCCACGGCAAAAGGAGCACTATGCATTGTAAGATGGTACAACAATGGGGTAAAAGTCACGGGTCAATCAGCAGTAGTCAAGCTACATAACGCTGACCTGGAAATAATTTCAAGACCCGAGCAAACCAGTGCCTTAAAGCATGAGCAATGATCCATGGCAAGATGACACACAATCAAAACGTCGATGTGCCTGACCACAGTCCATTTCAGTCGACAGAATCCCCACAGATTAATATCGCCACAGACAAATACACCGATGAGTAGGAAGAGAACCCACCTTGGCAAGGACACAGGAGTTGCACTCCTGGAGGGCTTCCATGAGTCCCAGAAAGTGAAGGTTCACCATCTCCACCAGCTGCCACAAAAACAATGTTACACACTGCATGACTATCTACACACGTGTATAATGCCAATGGTAAGAAGTTGCAGGTTTTAACACAGAGTTGGTGATAGTTCAGCCCTATTGTCGGCCTATCATTAAGAGACACTACAGTAAACAATGAACATGAACACAGGGACAGTTGTAATGCGATTGTCGTATGCGATATATATACTTACTAATCCAATGCAAATTAACATCCTTGAGTTCCTTTAATATATAGCGATATAAAATGTTGTGATAAAAGATTCAATTGAATTTTTTTTAAATGTTTTAATAGAGTTCAACTGTTCGCTCTTTATCAAAATTCAGGTTTGTACATTTTTTATCTTAAAAAAAAATCCAAAATATTCTTATGATTTCTTATTTAATATCTGGAGATTTTTATTTTTTTAAAGTGTCAATTATTTTTTGTAGTAAATATACATTCCAGACTTGAATCAAAGAAACTAAACAAATCCTGAAATGTATTGTGATGATTGGATAGGTGAATGTTGTTTAACGCCATAGTCAATATTCCAGACATATCACAGTGACCAGCTATGAGTCATCAGGGCAAGACAACACTCTGCTGGCCATGTCACCAAGCCTGACCACAATATCCACCTTAGTCGCCTCCTACGACACACAAAGGGATACTGCTTCACAAGCACCAGGTCTAATCAGGGCACCAAGTCTAATCAGGCCCACCGCTGAGTAGTGCTGCAAATGAATGTTAAGGACATCTTGTGTACATCTACAAATTCAATACCTACACGAAAGATAAAACTAGAAAAATACTGATAAACTAGGAGAAGCTCCAGGATTTCTCCCCTGAAATGAAACAGAGAAGATCCATGCTGTGGACGTGAAAACATGCTCCATTACAGCTGGCTAAAGTCTACAGAAATGTGAAAAGGGAATCAGATAAAACAAACAAAACACTGGTAGACATACATTTTTATGATAGGTCCATGGTCTTTGCCACATTAAACAAATGAGTATCATTGTTTTATATTTCCTTGTGTGGCTAATAACATGGAGGGGGATGCTTGTGTTAAATCTAACCTGGTCTTGCTACTATAACAAGTCTCATGCAGACCAAGATTGTTAGTAGTCTCTAGGGGAATAGCATAGACACTAAGTCAACAACTTGGGACTGATGACTCTTTGAACAGCATGTAAGTTAAAACCATTGCAGGTCGGGCTGGGACGGGTAACTCGGGTACTCGGGTCGGGTGGGTCCTGAGTAGGACCAGGGTACCCACAGGACTACCCGGACCCGTGGTTAGTCACGTGATATATTGTTTATATTGTCACACTATAAGTGACTAATGTTCGCATTTCTTTCTGACTATACACGCATTCCTTCTGACTTTATATCTTTCATTAGAGATAAAACGACAGTTGACTTGAAGGTATACATGACCAGATCGTTTTATATGAGTATCTAAATACATTAACGGTCAAACTATTCCCAATCAGACATTTGTACCTATCTCTTGAGACCAACAGCAGGTACCCGTGTAGGGTAGGGTAATAGTGAGGTGGGTACCCGGATGGTACATTTGGACTTGTCCCAGCCCTAATTGCAGGTCAGTGTGATGTGGGAGGGTACATCAGTGACGCAGGTCTTAGAAATTTAACACTTTGGTGAAACTCATGAACACAGATATGGAACTGACCCACCATGGATTACAGGATCCTGGCCTATCAAAGGGATGCAATTCTGCTTAGTAAACTGTTTTCATCCCAATTTGAATGGGCACAATTGCTCCACAATTCACTGAGCAGAGTTGCTTCCCTTATACATGCAAGGATCTGCTATCATGGGTTTAAATCACCCAACCTACTTATGGTCATAGGTCTGTCAATATCATATCCATGTTTGCAGGTTCCACTAAAGCGGCAACATCTATGACCTCGGTCATGTTGGGCCTTCCTCCAACAATTAATTCGAGATGCCGTAACAAAGTCACATACTTTTCAAAGTGTCATTCAACCCAACTTATTCACTCTAACAATGATATGGAAGGTAAGGTAACATAAAATCTGTGTGAGAACAGACACTTTGAGAGTTAAAAATTGGTAAATCAGCAAAAGTTGTGTTAAGTAGACAAAATTGTGTTAAAAAGACAAAATTGAGCGTGCAATCGCATGCATCAATTTGTGCAAATTTCTACACATCATGCTAAAGAACAATGGGTGTGTGATAACGGCAATATCAAACCTCTAGTGTCGGTTTATCCTTCAGTGTGTCATGGAGCACAAAGAAAAAAATTGTGCCACACATTTAGCCAACCTCCCACAATTGTACAAGGACAGTCATGAGGTAGGTGCATGGGGCGTGGTGAATATAATGTAGTCAGCGACTTCAACCACTAGTCCAAAGCCTGAGTCTATTATCATGGGCATTAAATACGAACATGAGTTTTGTAATATATACATTAATGAATAAGGTATCAGTTTTAAACATTAAACATTATTACAAAACTCATCGGATGCTATTCGCGCACACAGCTAATATTAGTCCCCATATTCACACTAAAATCTACTTGAAGGATGCCAAGATACAGTTTCTGGTAGATTCAGAAGTTTTGCCACAGACTGATATTGTCCGTACATGTATCATACAATTTTGGCCACACCAGCCAATATTTAGCAGATACATTGTACAAATATGACATATCAATTCAGAGCATAATGATCAGGCTGGAATATATTTATTATGTTATACAAACCTAGAATTATCATAAGGTTGATAAATTTTTTAGTCAAACCATCAAAAATTATATACATTATATTTAATCCATAAAAACAATGAGGGACTAAAATGTGCATTGTTTGGTCACAATGTACATACCTATATTGTATACGTCTACACGTTTCAGACTAACACCATCCTCAATTATCAAATGCGTCCCATCACCCTTCTATATATCATAATATATTCAACACTACCCTGTTCATTGTTGACTGAAACAAAAGGTGATACCTCCACACTCATCTTTCAAGCGTCGTCCAATATGTGCAAGTTGTATGCAATGATTGACACTAGAGACTAACTCCTTATAAAGTTTATTCGACAAATCCATCCAAATATCCCTATACTTTGCAAAATGTTTGACCCAAGCCAAAACTAAAAGAACAAATAGTTAATCTCAATAAGTAAACTGTAGAGTCATACTGACACATCAACAACATCACATTAATTCTCCACCCACCAGAGTGTGTCCTCTTGGAGTAATGCGGTACCATCTCTATACCCACCAAGCCCCAGTGCACCAACCTCCTGACACAGTGAACCATCAACTCCCATCACTGCCCAGTGACGAGCTCACCCCACATGCACATCCCACTTCCATCTTCCTGAGGCAGGGGATTTAACTGACTATTAAAGTCCAGTTTCCACGCTTGCCGAACTAGGCTGGAATTATAGAGTCATATTTTGGCCGGACAAAACGGTATGCAGAGTCCAATCAAAATCTCGTAACAAAACTGTCTCGCAGATTTCTGTCTACTGCAGGATTTGCAAAGCATGTGTACCGCCAACTTGGCATCAACAGATATTTTCCAATTTTTTTCATATTTTTAATTAACTTGGTCACGTGATTTGACACACTTCACTTTTCTTTATCACAATATTGATTTTGATTATCGATCAGATCGTCTTGACTGGGTGCTGCCGTCTTGTTGAAGTAAATGCAAGGGATATGAGAGGTGGAATCTGATTGGTCAATATTAGGGACATGGAAGGGACACAACTCGTAATAGCCACTGGTGGCACTACGATGGAGCCCAGAAATTTCAGCCTAGTTCGGGAAGGGTGGAAACAGGACTGCTACAGTCAGTTGACTCCCTTGTCTCAGGAAGATGATTCTTCTCATCAAAACAGGCAGGTTTAACCACGTGCTTTACAGCTCAGTCGCCCGACTTCCATAAATGTGGAAAAACAATGAAAACTCTTTTCTTCCAAATCTTTTATGAAATGACATAATTCTGTTTCTTACTGGACTGACAATTTTGATGAATAACTTTTTATAATTGTTATTAAATTATATTGTTATTTCAAACACCAATCCTAGTCATAAACTAAGTGAAAAAAGGCCTTTATCACTAATATTTCAGAAAAATGTTCAGCACGTTCCATTTTACTTGTCTGCATGTTCAGGATTAGTTCATGACAACAAGACAGTGATCCTCCAAGGGAGCTCTTAAGAAAACATGTTATCATAACATAACAATTGAATATGACATTAAGTAATGTCATTTTTTATGCAAAGTAATAATTAAAACATTGAAAACCCAGCCTTTTGATGACGGAGACAAGGAAACTGGCCTCCGACATGATGATCAATTTGTTAACCAGAAGACGATGTTAAACCATGCTGAGTTGGAAGTATCAGTGCAACATCATCATGTGAAGACCTTTACCAGGATGCAAGACGCAAGTCAACTTTGCTGGACATTCTTTGCAGTGTGACTTTAGCCACTAATCCATAGCCCGAGTCTAGTAAAATACCTTTTGGTATAATAAGCTTTAATAATAAACACTAATATCTACTGAAAATATTATCAAGAGACATGTTAAGGCTAGTAGACTGAAAATATTTTTGGCACAGACTGTCTTTGAATAACAGTGTAATACATTCTCTTGTCTTCTGACGAATGCTTGCGCCCAATTGGTCAAAACAAGATTATGATCAGGTATCAAATTCCATTTGATACCTCTCAGTTAACCAAACCTTTTCACACAAAAAAACGTGTGTATGAATACATCAATCTGTCAATAGCCTACACATAAACAATGGCTGCTGTTAACCCAGCAGAATTAAATCACTTCATTCCAAATTAAATAAGAGGTATCAAATCTACCTCAAATTTCAAAATACATCAGGTTTATCTCCTACACGAACACCTCGCCACCTCCATTTGTTAAAAACCATGATATATATCTTCCTACACTGGCGCCACCTACCTCCTTGGAGTGGGAGAGCAGCTGTAGGATGCCCGGCGTCACCCGGGCCCAGAAGTCCATGATGTGGGCGGATGCAGACTGGTACTGCTCGCTGTTCTGAGGGTGGAGCGCTGCCGCAGACTCACAGTACATTGTCCACAACTGGAACAGTCAGCTGGATTAGTACATGAAATATTGTTGTAAGGTTAAATCATGATACTTTCACATCTGTATGTCACAGACCCGTGACGATCTCGAGTAGAATAGGTTATCTGCAACCCATGCTTGCTGTAAAAGGCAACTAACGCGATCGGGTGGTCAGGCTCGCTGACTTGCTTGATGCATGTCATCGTAACCCAATGAGTCAATGCTCACGATGTTAATCACTGGATTGTCTGGTCAAGTCTTAAATATTTACAGACAGCCATCATATAGCTAGAATACTGCCGAGAGTGGAGTTAAACAACAAACAAACAAACTGTATGACACAGACCAGTAATAAAATCCTAAATTAACAAGTTGAAAGTCTGTATCCCATCCCAGCCAACAATGTTCCACAATATCACGGTGGCCTGTAAACAATCTCGTCCGGACCAGCCATCCAGTGACGGAAAGTTTGAACAATGATCCACACCAGGGCATGATGAAGTCACTAAATCTGACCAGCCAATGCCTTTCATCAACTGTCGCAACAAGTGAGTGAGTAAGTGAGTTGTGCTTAACGCTGCTTTTAACAGTATTCCAGTTATATCACGGCGTGTTAGCTTAATGTGGGAGGAAAGCCCGAAGTGATGCAGGTCTCAGACGTTTACCACTCCGGTGAAACCCACGAGCACGGGTATGGTGCTGACAAACCTAGAAACATAATCGCGGCGACCCGGGATCCGAACCCACAATCATAGGTTTCTGGCGTGCCCAAGGGACGCAACTCTACACAGCGAATCAGGGCGCCTTAGACGACTGGGCCACCCGTGCCCCCCGCAACAAGCATAGGTTACTGGGGACTAATTCTACCTTGGACTTACTGGGGACTAGGTCTTCAGGAACCCATGCTTTCCGTAAAAGGCGACTATGCTTTTTGTGTATCGATGCTCAGGATATCAATCACTGGATTGTCTGGTCCAGACTCGATTATTTACAGACTGCTGTCATACAGCTGGAATATGCGGCATCAAATAAACAAACAAACAAACAAACAAAACTAATTCTACCTCGGAATCACTCTGGGGTTTGCCTCTGTAAGGAATTGAACCAATTTGATGACAAGCTATCCAAGCAGTTGTTTAATGACAAAATACTTGCTTCTACAAGTGCATTCCAGACAGGGTGAACGGGAATGGAAGACTGATGGAACTGCTTACCTGACACAAGATGAACGCATGGAAGAGTGATGACATGTGCAGTACGGTGTCCTGGAAGAAGAAACACCTCATGGTACATCCATGTCCTTCTCATCACCTGTATCTTCTACACTATTACAACAACACTGTCACAATGTAAATGTTGATGGCATGTTGTACTGACGTTAATTGTCAGAAGCATCTAAGATGATCTAAGGAAGTTCTTGTCCATCTTCTTTAGTTTTCAAGAATCATAACCTAATCTCTTAACTTGTTGTCTTTCACGATACAGACACAATCTGTATAAAATTCAAAATTACATAGGCAAACAAAGATCCTCTGTAATCGCAACAATGAAACACATATAGCACATGTGGTGTCTTCTAAGGTAAGTGACTTTGTTTGAAATATGTCTCTGTGAATAGGTACCTGGTAGCATGATTGGAATGTGACAATTAACCTCCTGTGCCTCAAAGGCAGCAAGGGTTAGATACCCCCCAGGGAGCTGAGAATGAAAATCAAGTGCACAATGATCCGTTGACCAGGATAATGATATAGGGCTTTGAGCATGCTTTAAGGTGTGGATCAGAAATAAACATTATTATTAAGAGTCCTGACCTTGGACTGTTCAGCGAAGCCAGTGACGATGACCAGGACATGTTCCGAGATGTGGCACCCTGCCTCAAGGGGCACCGGGAGACAGGAGATGGGAGCGGCACCCTCCGTGACAGCTGTGTGCGTCAGTGAGCCAATCAGAAGCCAGGACAGCAGGCGAATATGTCCGATGCAGTCTATGAACTCCTTCGGTCTACGAGAAATAACGAAAGTTGATTTCCCCCATTATAAGCATGAAATCCTGAAACTCTCTAGTCACACGGAACAGATATTGATAGTTAACATTCAATAAGTAACATGTAACACTTGAAGGCAAATGTTCATATTTGCCATACCTGAGTTTGGGATATAAACAAGAAATTTTCTGGGCAGTGAACTATAAAGAAATTCAATCTCCATATGCATTCGATTAGACCTAGGCTACTGAAATACCCCGTTTTCCGTCTCTAGCGACAAGCATCGGTTGCTGAAGACAAGCCATTATCTTCATGGGGACAGGCTCACTGTTCCACATGACTGTTGCCCTGACTCTACATCGAACACAGGTGAAGTTCATGCCGTTATTGCTCCGACAAAAGCATTGTCTCTACAGGTAATACAGGTGAAGTTCTTACCCTTATTTCCCCGACAAAAGCACTGTCTCTACAGGTAATACAAGCTAACTCTTACCCTTGTTGCCCTGACAACAGCATTGTCTCTACAGGTAACACAGGTGAAGTTCTTACCGTTATTGCCCCGACAACAGCACTGTCTCTACAGGTAACACAGATTAACTCTTACCCTTGGTGCCCCGACAACAGCACTGTCTCTACAGGTAATACAGGTGAAGTTCTTACCCTTATTTCCCCGACAAAAGCACTGTCTCTACAGGTAATACAAGCTAACTCTTACCCTTGTTGCCCTGACAACAGCATTGTCTCTACAGGTAACACAGGTGAAGTTCTTACCGTTATTGCCCCGACAACAGCACTGTCTCTACAGGTAACACAGATTAACTCTTACCCTTGGTGCCCCGACAACAGCACTGTCTCTACAGGTAATACAGGTGAAGTTCTTACCCTTATTTCCCCGACAAAAGCACTGTCTCTACAGGTAATACAAGCTAACTCTTACCCTTGTTGCCCTGACAACAGCATTGTCTCTACAGGTAACACAGGTGAAGTTCTTACCGTTATTGCCCCGACAACAGCACTGTCTCTACAGGTAACACAGATTAACTCTTACCCTTGGTGCCCCGACAACAGCACTGTCTCTACAGGTAACACAGGTGTAACTCTTACCCTTGGTGCCCCGACAACAGCACTGTCTCTACAGGTAACACAGGTGTAACTCTTACTCTTATTGCCCCGACAACAGCACTGTCTCTACAGGTAACACAGGTGTAGCTCTTACCCTTGGTGCCCCGACAACAGCACTGTCTCTACAGGTAACACAGGTGTAACTCTTACCCTTGGTGCCCCGACAACAGCACTGTCTCTACAGGTAACACAGGTGTAACTCTTACTCTTATTGCCCCGACAACAGCACTGTCTCTACAGGTAACACAGGTGTAGCTCTTACTCTTATTGCCCCGACAACAGCACTGTCTCTACAGGTAACACAGGTGTAGCTCTTACTCTTATTGCCCCGACAACAGCACTGTCTCTACAGGTAACACAGGTGTAGCTCTTACTCTTATTGCCCCGACAACACCACTGTCTCTACAGGAAACACAGGTGTAGCTCTTACCCTTGTTGCCCTGACAACAGCACTGTCTCTACAGGTAACACAGGTGTAACTCTTACTCTTATTGCCCCGACAACAGCACTGTCTCTACAGGTAACACAGGTGTAGCTCTTACTCTTATTGCCCCGACAACACCACTGTCTCTACAGGTAACACAGGTGTAGCTCTTACCCTTGTTGCATGGCGGAAGGAGGATGGTACAGCCATGGCAGGTAGCGTGAGATGGCACGGTTGTCACGTCCGTTGCCCCGGGTGATCTCCAGTGCCACATACTGAGCCATTCCAGACTTCAGCTGACTGCCAAGGGTGTCCTCATTCAGACTGTTGGCAGCCCCACCCTTCATAATACTCTGCAAATGTAACCATAGTAACAGTTTCTTCTCTGTAAAGAGATTCTCAGGAGCATTTCCATTCAAAATGTGTTGAAATGAGAGTGAATGTTCTTTCAAACTTCAGTCAGCAATCTTTCAGCTAAATCACACCGGTCTTTCAGTATCAAGCCTGAATGCAGTGGTTGACACAATCAACAACCTGTACCATCAAGAAGGCACACCATTGACAGGGTCATACACTGCTGCCCCTCTCAATGATGGGTTACCCCGAGCTCTCATGACCTCATACATATCATCTTGATTACAAATACATAGACATATGTCACCTTGACTTTGGTGAGTGTGTGTAGATCGGTGATGAACTCCATGGCATCGTTGAGGTGCTGCCTCATGCACTCGGCTGCACAGGTACTGACTAGAGACTGGGACTGGTAGTTGTACAACATGGCCGCGTCATCCACAGAGTGAGACAAGCAGATCGTGCCCCCAGTGTCCAGGACCAGAAACTGTAACAAGCAGATGAACTTAACTCTATACAACATGGCCGCATCATCCACAAACAGAGACAGGCAGATAACGCCCCCAGTGACCACAACCAAGCACTTTAACACAAGGAGACAAACGAGAAACAATACAACATTGCCGCATCATCCACAAACAGAGACAGGCAGATAACGCCCCCAGTGACCACAACCAAGCACTTTAACACAAGGAGACAAACGAGAAACAATACAACATGGCCGCGTCATCCACAAACAGAGACAGGCAGATAACGCCCCCAGTGTCCAGGACCAAGCACTTTAACACAAGGAGACAAACGAGAAACAATACAACATGGCCGCGTCATCCACAAACAGAGACAGGCAGATAACGCCCCCAGTGTCCAGGACCAAGCACTTTAACACAAGGAGACAATGAGATACAACACAACATGACTAAATTATACCTTTAACATCGGAAATAAGATGATAAAAAAGAATGAATTGGCACGTAAAGACGAAAGCTTTCTCAAACAGTGGTCACTATGATATTCGATGTTACCTGCACAAGAAGCAAAGCATTCTCGTCCGGAAGACTGGTCTTGAACTTGAGGGCCTGGACCAGCTCGTATATCACGGTGCGGGTCAGGATCAACTTGTCTCGCTCCTAGCACCAATTGAAGGACAATGGTCATAAGGAGAATAAGTAGTGCTGTTTTTTTAGTTAAATATTCATAATCAGAGCTCACAAATCAATTATTAATCAAATATTATCCTAATTTTTTGCTCATGAAAATATATACTGAAAAAGATTCTTTCTTTGTTTTGTTTTAAGAGCCATACTCAGCAATATTCCACTACATAAAATAAATAATAGTCAGGACCACACAAACCAGTGGTGATATAATATGAGCAAGGATCCATGTCATTATGGTATTCTAACCAAGGATCCCCACAGATGACTGGCAATACTCAACCTGGAAAAGGTCCTGGGGACCTATTTTAGCCAAAGATCCCCACAGAAGACTGTCGTTAGTACTCACTCTGGAAAAGGCCCTGGGGACCTATTATAACCCAGGATCCCCACAGAAGACTGTCAATACTCAACCTTGAAAAGGCCCTGGGGACCTATTATAACCTAGAATCCCCATTGATGACTGTCAATATTCAACCTGGAAAAGGCTCTGGGGACCTATTCTAACCAAAGATCTCCACAGAAGACTGTCGTTGGTACTCACTCTGGAAAAGGTCCTAGGGACCTATTCTAACCCAGGATCCCCAACAGATGACTGTCAATACTCAACCTGGAGGGGCCCTCATGACCTATTCTAACCTAGAATCCCCACTGATGACTGCCAATATTCAACCTGGAAAAGGTCCTGGGGACCTATTCTAACCCAGGATCCTCAACAAATTGACTGTCAATATTCAACCTGGAAACGGTTCTGGGGACCTATTCTAACCCAGGATCCCCAACAGATGACTGTCAATACTCAACCTGGAAAAGGCCCTGGGGACCTATTCTAACTAGGATCCCCACAGAAGACTGTCAATACTCAACCTGGAAAAGGCCCTGGGGACCTATTCTAACTAGGATCCCTACAAATGACTGTCAATACTCAACCTGTAAAAGGCCCTGGGGACCTATTCTAACTAGGATCCCCACAAATGACTGTCAATACTCAACCTGTAAAAGACCCTGGGGACCTATTCTAACCCAGGATCCCCACAGATGACTGTCAATACTCAACCTGTAAAAGGTCCTGGGGACCAATTCTAACCCAGGATCCCCACAGATGACTATCATTGGTACTCACCCTGGAAAAAGCCCTGTTACACATGTAGCAGACGTCCAGTAGCTGTTGCAGCTTGAACGGACAGTTCTGGATGGCAAAGCTCAAAAGCTTTGAGAATGGCTCCAATATACCCTGAAAAATAAGAACCATGAACTCTTTACATAAAAACAAGGCACTGTTGTTCACCTGCTCACTGTTGAACACCTGCAACATCACCAAAAACATTGGAATGACATCAATCGTCAATACAGCTGCAGTGCTGAGCTACAAACTACTCATTCTTGCAAGACTACATATTAAAGCTGAGTATTGCTTGTTGTCCTGCGATACGATTTATATCATGATACGGACAGACGATACTAGTATCAAATAGTCAGAAATGATGAAATCACTGAAATACATATCTCAAACCTCATTCTTAATACATTTATTTATTGTTATCTCAAAAACTTTGACAAAGAAAACGACAAGAAAAAAAAGAGTTTAAAATGAAGGGATGGTTATCAAATGTTAATAGTTAGTCAGCGTGTCCTCAGTCACCATGTCCTCACGTTCTCCCATGCGTACAGGTGGTATGTTACTTCTGCCATTACGGGAGGTAACTCTATGAGTTCCTGTTCTATTTATAGCATATCATGATCGCACACACTGCGTTTATATTAAAGTATCGTGTGCACCTAAGTATCGATGAAATAGTAGGTATCGATGAATCGTTACAGCCCAACTACATATATTTGTCAAATAATGGGATCAAAGCTCAACACAACCCCCCCAAAATGAGGCCTTTGGGTTCTATCACATGTCAATAGCACCACCTACCCTGACGTTACAGATGCTGGGTATCTTGAGGAGGGAGATGATCGTCTTCAGCAGCCCCGACATGTCACACGGGTTGGGCAGGACTGTGAGCAGACGTCGGAAGAAGATGTCAAACTGCGTGAGGATATTGGTCCACATGGGTGTGGAGCTCTCCAGGGTGATGCAGTTCATGTAGGTGCAGATGTTGCCTAGCAACAGCATGATGTTCTCCTGGGGCAGGTTCTTCCTCTCATTCAGCCCCTGCAGGAGTAAAGTGGGGCCATTGCAGTATTGGAATCAGCCCTTGAAATGGCCGACTTTGGCAACTCATTTATGGAGGCAGCTAAAGGCATCTTCTATGCCAAAATCCATAAAGATTCATTTCAGATGCAAAATAACATTCGATTTAAAAGATCTATTAAAAAAAAGTTTGGGGTAAAAATTCGCACCTTGGCAGGCTTTTAGGCTTTTACAGTTGAACAAAAAAAAATTCAACTACATCCCGGAGTCAGAACTGTTTGTCCCTAGCTTGTCATTTTCCCAAGGGAAGGGTGACTATTGACTACAGAAGTCCAGTTTCCACCCTCGCCAAACCATGCTGAAATTTTGTGGCTCGATCGTAGCGCCACCAGTGGCTATGTCCCTCCTATGTCCCTCCTACTGACCAATCAGATTCCACCTCTCATATCACTTGCCTTTGCTTCAAACAAAATGGTAGGCGCCCATGATTTTGATTGGACTATGCATTGACTCGTTAGTCCAAGTAAAAAGTAATTTCAGCCTAGTTGGGCAAGGGTGGAAACTGGACTTAGTCAGTTAACTCCCTCGCCTTGGAAAGATGCTATGCCAGTAGTTCCCTGACACTCCATAGGTCAGAGCGCAGGACAAAAGGGAAGACATGGCAGCTACGAGTGAGACAGCAGCAGCTACGACTGAGACAGCAACAGCTGAACCGAAGTGTGAGCCACTGGTGAGAACCTACCTCCAGGAGGTACTGCAGAGGGGCGTGGGACGTCAGGTCATTGAAGTCCACCAAGGCTGCTGCCATCGTCTTCAGGAAGTGGGGATCTACCAGCACATACAGCATACACTAACACATGTGCACTCACATCCACAGGGTAGGATAAACACCTTGGCCAGCACGATATAAACAATTCCAGAAACTAGCACAACTCTTAGAGGCTGCTTTGAAAGATATCAGATGCGTTCATAGGAACGAGAACTGGTCTATACTCTGTTCAACACAAGCATGCTTGGCGCTAACAACACCAAACATGAAAGTGTTAAAAAAGGCATATTTTAGAGGTTTTTAGGACCCTTTAGGTGATAATTAAACATGAGTAATTCTTTACCCAACAGATATTCCTAGATAAAAAGGTATTGGCAGTACAAACATTTAGTGCATCAATCCTGTTACAGCCTAATCATTAGCTTCACAATGTTATCAGATATTATTAGAGACAAAAATAATGTTCCTATTATTGCATAGGTGTGAAACATCATCAAATCTCAACAAGGTGGTAAATGGTGGCTGTGGCATTATGTCAAAGGCTTGGACAAATTAGGAAAACAGGAGCATATTTTAGTTTGTTTAACAGGACAGGAAGACTCCATCACCTTCCAAGTTACTTGTGAACAGCATGGGGAAGATTCCATTGGGGGCCAGCTGATGGAGGACACATCGCAGGAACTGCCTCGCGATGCTCACACTGTTGCCCGGCATCATGACACTACTGCAGACACACAGACAGACAGACAGGTAGGTAGGAGCTCATATATATTGTAAATCTTGAAATGAGATGCGACTGCTGGCCCCTAGCCCAAAATGTGACTCAATATGAATGCCATCCCTCCCCTAAACACACACACCCCTTCTCCCAGCCACAGTGTAATTACTAGTATACTACTCAAAAGAAGTTAAAGAACACCCAATTCTTTCATATTACTATAGTTAATCTCACATGCCAAGACAGATTAACTATAGTAATATGAAAGAATCGGGTGTTCTTTAACTTCTTTTGAGTAGTATATATATAGAGAGAGAAAATGGCTTCTGCGAGGCCACAGGGGGTTGATTATGTAATTTCAATTTGAATGACATTGTTGTATATATCTTACAGGTGCTGCTCAATAAACTGTGATGTGGAATATACATAGTTGATTGTTTTTATGTCCAAGTTGGTATTTCTGCTATCCAAAATGTGAAGTATGGCAGTCTTATTGTTGATAATCTTTTTGAGATATAAATGTGATGTTTAATCAATGCGAGCAAAGACCACTCGCATTTAATTCACACTCGCATTAATTTCAAGATTAATTTTTCATTTTGATCGTAACCTTTCTGTTAGAACCGTACATTCATCATTTTAGTCTTTGTAAATCTCGAGATGACAATCTGTAGTGACATATTATTCTACTTTATTATTTTTATTAACATTAACCAGATACACACATTCTACACTAACATAGACCAGCACTGTCCTACCTTTCAGCCTGCCAGGAATACTGACTGCCTGATGCAATACTGAAACAACAAGACAAAAAGTGAGCCGGGCTAACTAATAACCCGACTTTGACTCCAACATATTTCTAAGTTTAAAAAATGAAGAAAACATTATTTCTCAGAAAATCCGCTTATCAAAATCAAACTTTGCATTGCACCTCTCCTATTGCAATAGAAACTGTACCACCAATTGGAAAAGAATCCATGAAGTAGATTTTAAGTTATAGGAAGCACAAATGTTGAAGTAAAAAAATATTCCAAGTTCAAAACATGAAAAAAAATCACATTTTTTTCAGAACATACACATATCAAAATCAAACTTTGCACTGGACATCTTCTATTAGTATGGAAACAGTTCCCTAAATTTGAAAAGAATCCAAGCAGCAGTTTTCAAGTTATAGGTCGCACAAATGTCTCACTAAAGCAATTATAAGTTAAAAAATGAAAAAAATTCATAAAATCCAAATATTGAAATCAAATTTGGCAGTGCACCTCACCTATAGGTATAAAAAGTGTTCACCAAGTTTGAAGAGAATCTATGCTGTAGTTTTCAAGTTATAGGTGACATAAAAAAAATATCCGCCTAAGGACGGACAGAATGCCTTGGTATAACTATGTATCCCCGCCCTATTAGGTTGGGCGTATAACAAGACACTCTTCTCAGAAACTACACCAACACCTAAACTGACACACAATGAAACCACATAATTATGTTTTCAAGCTTCAGACAAGATGTGTTTTTGTGCTCAAGTCATCTCGAAACACATCGAATAAGGTTCCAATACAATTAATATACAGAACAACTTAAAAAAACAGAACAGCCAAATACTACAAAAAATTGAATGTGTTTTCCAAGTCTATCTGAATACTAACATAGCTTGGCTACAATTTTCTATGAATACACAATACCATTTAGAAAGTGGTCAAATATAACAAATGTTATCATGTGGATAACAATTTTCTAACATACAGAAAATGCAAAGCAAAGAATCTTTCTCAAAGCGCACCCAAGTTAATTAATCTAAAATTATTTTGAGATATGATTGTATGATTCTCAAAACTACAGGTAATAAACTCTCCAATATGAGCGAAAAATGTTTGTTAGTTGGTTTGTTGTTTAACGCCGCACTCAGCAAGATTCCAGCTATATGACGGCAGTCTGTAAATAATTGAGTCTGGACCAGACAATCAAGTAATTGACATCATGAGCATCGTACCACGCAATTGGGATACGATGACATGCATGAACCAAATTAGCAAGCCTGACCACACGATCCCATTAGTCGCCTCTTACGACAAGCATCGTCGCCTTTTACGGCAAGCAAACTACTGCCTGATGAACCTATTTTGCGTCAAATAGGACTCTTTGAACAAATGATTGGGAGTATTTTGAAAAAAAAACGTGCTTCAAATATGCAGGCATCCCGCATCACTTGAAACACTGAAGGAGAGGTTCATTTCACACATTGCACTAAGTAAAGACCCTGACTAGACATGGTATGGATCATGACAAGAGAGTCCCTCGTAAGACAGCCAGTACACACAACACTCACCTGGAGACACTCTGCAACATCTCCAGCAACATCGGCGTTGCCAGCGCTGGCTCTCGGTGAATGAAGGTTGCGAGGACGGTGGTGCACAGGCCAATGGTGTCGTCGTCATACTGCTCCAGCACGGCTCCACACTCCGAACACCGCTCCACCATCACGTTCTCTCCATACCGCGATGCAGTCTGCTTCTTGGCAGCCTGGCTCTTTGCCAGGAGTTCGGCTTTGCGGGCCTTACGTCTGAAATAAGTGTTTTGTTTGTTTGTTGTTTTACGCCGCACTCAGCAATATTCCAGCTATATGACGGCGGTCTGTAAATAATAGAGCCTGGACCAGACAATCCAGTGATTGATATCATGAGCATCGATCCATGCAATTGGGATCGATGACATTCATCAACCAAGTCAGCGAGCCTGACCACCCGATCCTGTTAGTCGCCTTTTACGACAAGCATAGTCGCCTTTTACGGCAAGCATGGGTTGCTGAAGACCTATTCTACCCCGGAATCTTCACGGGTCTGAAATAAGTGACATGAGCTACAGGGGGCGGTTACAGGGCTGTTACAGCTGTTGTAACTATATCTTGATATTCAAGGTGTTATATGGCAGTGTGTTTTATTGTTGAACAATGATTGAAACTGTGTTACATTGTTTCTGTGGAGATTCCATAGACATTCATTGCATTTGGTTTGAACAGTGAATAGTACTATTTAATGTAGGCAGTCGTCAGGAAGTTACTATATTTAGATGCTAGAGTGGTGTGGTAACTTCCGGAAATGGTAAGACTCTTTCACGATTGTATAGAGCCTTACAGCACTGTATAGAAATTTCCTGTCGCTAGTGAGACACAACAAGGGGACAAGAGCATGTCTCTCGTATCTCTCACACGTTTCATCACATCAAGACAAGCTTTTGTGTGAAGATCACTCATCACCCCTGAATCACAAAGACCGTCTCGGAAGCTTGACCACTGTCGCTGCTGGATGAGTATATATTATTGCTGACTTTTGCTATCACCACTGTATTTTGTATACTGACCACTGTCGTCATATTATATATTGCTGTTCAATATTGTACTCACACTCTATTGTGTACGGCCACTGTAATTGCTGTGTAGGAATTTGTATTGATTTGTAAACCTAGTTAATGTTTAATACAATTGTTGATTGTATACCATTTGTTGGTTGTTTGTTGGTTTCACGCTAAGTTCTTTTACGTACAGATTTCTGGATTGAGATATTGTTTGAGAATTGACACGTAACAAAGGTGACTGCAGGCTTTCAAATTGGCCCACAGTGACATGACTCATCCAAAGTGTTAAAGAAACTGTCCTATCAAAATGAGTGAATGAATTGGGTATAACTCCACTTCAAAAAGTATGTCTGTTATATCATGTCATGTCAGCTTTATGTGTGGAAAGCCCAAGGTGACACAGGTCTTAGGCATGTCTCACTTTGACACATCTTCCCCTCACAATAGTTTATGTTAGCTGTTTTACACTGAGCAGTACACCCCAGCAGGACCCTCTTTAATTACTTCTGTGAATCAGCAGACCCAAAATTTCTCAAATATGAAATAAAATTTAGTCTTTTCAAAAAGAAAATAAGTGACAAATTTTGGGAAGGTGAGTACTTAAACACTTTGACTTGTCATCGCCATGATCAATTAAAAATACTCTTTCTTTAATGTTTTTCAATCAGACTAAACAATTTTTACAAATGTATTGCGACTATTTGGTTTTGGTTATCTCCATGTCAGAATGATGAGATCTGATTGGTCCACATGATCTTGATAAAATACTGAGTACGGTATCCCACCTTGTAGGGAAATAAATTTCTCAGTGGGAGAATAAATCCCTTATATCCCACCACCAGCAAGTCAGGCTGCATGTGGATTTCTGAGAGCCAGAATAAATCCCTTATATCCCACTTCCAAGCAATGTCAATGAGTCAATGATAGTTCTGTGACATAGTACAAACTAACCTCAGCTGTTTTCTATCCGTGTTGATTTTGCTTTTATTCTTTTACAATGTCACATTAAAACATGTCGGTAGATAAATTCTTTGTAGCAGGATCACTCGGGGTACATGGGGTTTCATGTGTCCCTCATTAGGCCTGGTGATTAAGTAAGCAGCAAGACTTACCCTGAGTGGCGGGTGGTGATGCCCACAGCTTCCTCAGTAACTGTGCCATTCTCACTGAGCTCGGGGAACTTCTTCTGCAGCTCCACCGTGGTGAACCCCGTCCTCCTGGCCTTCCTCTGCCTGAAGTTGGGCTTCAAAATGTTGCCCCTACGACCCTCTGTACTCTCATCTACCAACACAGGGAAACAGTTGCCAGAACCTGCAAGCCATATTGCCTCCACTTTTATTTAGTAGTGAAGACTTAGCCCACAATTTCATAAAAATCTCCCCCAATATATTCATGATCCCTAACTTTTTTGTTCAGTATATATCAATAAATCAATACTCAAATAGCTGATGAGTTCACTGGGATTGCCACCATCCTGACTTAGGAGATTTCAATGTGTATCACATGGAACCACATAATTCTATGGTTCCAGAGAAAATCTTTGAAAAACATTGGCATTTGACATTCAATAATGTAAAACTAAGCGTTAAAGGCTCTTCGTCTTCACTGGTCCTGATTTCAGTGAAATACAAGTAGACCTGAGCAAGCCATCACATTTATATATCTATTTTAACATGATTTGGGAATGTGTTTTATCCCAATTTGGAATTTTTACTGACATTTGCTGGAGACTTGGGGCCGATTAACACTCTCTGAGGAGGTCAAGATACATCTGTGTGATTAATGTGTGATTTGCTACACTGACAAACCTTTCTCCATATTTGGAATCCATTTGTTCTAAACTTCTAAAGTTTGCAGCTAATATAAATCACAAAGTAGCATCTCTTCCCAATCCATAGTATTAGACAATACAGTTGCTTTACAGACTCAGCATTTCAGACCGATTCAGTGGTCTAGTGAATAGAGTGTCTGCCCCGGAAAGCGGAGAGTTGGTGGTTCTATCGTGGCTGAGTCACACCAAAAGATGTTAAAAGAAAGTACTTGTTGTTACCCTGCCTGGCTCGCATTAAGCTGATAAAACAAGGACAGGTCAGCTCGGAGTCAGTATGCTGTGTCTGAGTGGGGTATTCATCTTAAACTGCGGAATGGTATCACAGTGGGATAGCTCTAAAAAACGTCATTTGTCCAAGGACACACTCACAGACACACATGACATTAACCCCACTTCACCACACCTCAGCATCACACAGATTACCTTTGCCATCTTCCTGTGGGCCATCCCCTCCTGAGTCAGTTCCAACTTGATGCTTCTCAGACTCACAATCTGACGTCTGTGTCTTCTCACTCTCCTCCGTGCTCTCGATCTCACTCTGGACGTCCCGACTGATCTCGGACACTGTCCCGGCATCACGTGATCCCTCCGTGGTGCTGCTGCTGGCCGCCCCAGACATGCTGATACTCGGACGCTGGGTCTCACTCTGAGATGCTGCGAACTCCTTCAGCTGCTGCGCCATCTTCTTCTCCACGGCGGAGGCGTACGCTGGCGACCCCGGCTGACCGTGCTCAATAAGGACTTTGCTGTGGTCCGACTTCTGAGGAAGAAAAGATGCGGTGTTAGCTTATCCAATCATAACATTCAAAGGTCTTTAGTGGGACCTGCAATGCTCTGTGTAGAGTTGTGTCATTTGGGTATGCCGAAACCTATGATTTGTGGGTCAGAATGACATGCAGTGATAATACAGGAATACTGTTCAGCGTGGAGTTAAACCCAACTCACTCAAAGGTATCTGCTATTGATTCATATACATAAATGAACTGATCTCCTGAATATTTTATGACCTTGCAGCATCAAAAGATGATCAAATATATACTGATCCTCAAGTTATTCCCATCCATTCACTTCCAAAGATTAAATGTTTGTTTGTTTACTTGTTTAACGCTGCACTCAGCAATATTCCAGCTATATGACGGGGTCTGTAAATAATTGAATTTGAACCAGACAATCCAGTAAACAATAATGTAAGTAACAATCCACACCATCGGGATATGATGACATGCGATCAACAAAGTCATTGAGCCTGACAACCCAATCCATTTGGTCATCTCTTCAGGCCTAGGTAGCTGGGGACCTATTCTGACCTGGAATCCCCACTTGGTCAGTCTCCCTAAGAGGATGACATACAATTCAGAACAGTTTTAACCACGTCAACCATTCTCAAAGACACTAGACCGCTGTCTACATCTGAACAATCAGCCCCAAACCTTCATCATTGCCTATTCAGCAATATGATGTACATGCAGGGATTACAGGATTTTATGAGCTGAATGTTCTTGAACACCATGGGACCAAATTTATCACAATGAGTTCATAAGTTACAAGACTTTTCAAAGAAATTATACTGTGTGAGAGTGAGATCTATCTCGCGTCTGCCACCATGGTAACTCAAAGTGTGAACGGGGTCTGTTTTGACACATGATGTTAATATGAGCTGGATTGTTTCATGAGGATATCAATATATTCTTTCCAGTTCTCATGAAGGTATGGGTGAGTGAGTGAGTTAGTGAGTTCGGTTTAACGTCGCTTTAAACATTACGACAGCTGTATCATGTGTCAACTTGATGTGGGAGGAAGACCGAAGTGATGCACGTTTCATATGTTTACAACTTTGGTGAAATTCACAAGCATGGTATGGTGCTGACAAACCTAGAAAAATAATAAGATCGAACCCAAGATCATAGGTCTCTGGTGTGCCAAAGGGACATGACTCTGTACAGTGAATTCCTGAACCTTCGACGACTGGGCCTCCCATTCTCCACAAACTGTCAAAAATTGTATGTTCTATTACAAACAGCAACATTTTTTACCTCATCGTCTGCTGAATCCGGCTCCGAATATTCAACGAGTCGTCGTGGCTGTCGGAACTTGGTGACTTTCCTCACACCATCCTTCTTGGCTCCTGGCAGGGTCGGTGTGCACTCGGCATCGGACAGCATCCCCTCGCTGCTCTCAGCTCCATCTGTGTGCCCCTTGAGGTACTTGACGACGCTGGCCCCGGGAGGGGAGCGGACATGGACCGTGGCCTTGTCCTCCTGCACTGACTTGGAGCTGGATGGACTCTGGGGGGGCGTGTCCGTTTCTTGGATGTTCTCGAGGTCACTGATGGACATCTTGCTCAGATCTGTGGACAGACAGTTATTTAAATAACAGAGACAAATATTTTAAGTCCACAGTGGGTCAGTAATTAATTTTTTTGGTTGCTGTCAACAATATTCAAACCATATACTAGTAGAGGTTCTTAAGCTGTGGCTATGAGGGGAATCAAACCCAGGTCTTCGGCAGAACTAACCAACGCTTTGACCACTAGTCTTATCCACCACACCAGGGCAAACTGATAACATATTTAGGGAGTTTTGTCAGTCCCCTGTCTCCAAGTTTACAAGTGCAGACAGATATTACGGTCCTCTTCCATGAACAATCTTAGCGAAAAAAATAATCAAAACTACCCTCCTTTAACTTTGACTAACGACAGTCACAGCAGTCATTCCCTTTGTGGAACAGGGCCGAGATCATTATCAGAGCGAACAGGGCCGAGATCATTATCAGAGCGAACAGGGCTCAGATCATGATCAGGGCAAGCGGGGCACATATCAGGATCATAACACTGCGAGGCCACCATTGTCCCCTGAAGGATGACCTCAGCAAACCAAAGAAATACAAGGTTTTCAAAGAGACCTCAGTTTTATCAATATACCACCAACTTGATACGTGACAGAAACTGCAAGAACTTGTCCCCACAGTCACCGCATGGTGCCTGGTGGGACCCTCACCCTTGTTGCGGTGGATGGTGGGGGAGGGAGGGGGAAAGCCGTCCTCAGTGATCTTGCAGCGGTGGTGCTGGGCCTGGATCGTGTTCACCACCAGCTGCACCAGGGTCTGAATTATGGCCGACACCGGTGACGTGCTGATGTGATACTGCAAGAAATACCAAATTGTTACTGCATGCTTCTCATAGTCTAATAGCAATGGAATTCAAATATAGTTCATCAGTTGAACAGACAATGATCCCATAGATATATGAAATGTCACTCCTTAGATGGACCACCTACCTTGTAAAGTATGACCTATAAGAAGGACCACCTACCTTGTAAAGTATGACCTTTAAGATGGATCACCTACCTCGTACAGTATGACAAACAGAGTGGACCAGCTACCTTGTACAGTATGATGCACAAGATGGACCTCCTACCTTGAGCAGTATGACCTATAAGATGGACCACCTACCTCGTACAGTATGACCAGCAGAGTGGACCACCTACCTTGTACAGTATGACCTACAAGACAGACCACCTACCTTGTACAGCATGACCTACAAGATGGACCACCTACCTTGTACAGCATGACCTACAGAACGGACCACCCACCATGTACAGTATGACCTACAGAACGGACCACCCACCTTGTAGAGTATGACCTAAAGGACGGACCACCCACCTTGTACAGTATGACCTACAGGACGGACCACCCACCTTGTACAGTATGACAAGCAGGGCCCGGAGCCAGGAGAGGCGGGTATGGGGCTCTAGGTACCACAGTGTGTAGTTGGGGGGCTGGTAGTCGGAGGCGTAGCGCTGGGGGGAGGGGCAGTACTGCAGCAGTAACAACGTGATGGGGAGGATGGTGTTACCCAACTTGAAGTTCCGGTCAAGAACCTGGAACAAGTCAACAGTAATTAAAAAATGAAATAAATCAATCATATGATATCACGATACATTTCTCAAAACATAAAGGATCTTCAGCAGTAAAAGTTATTGCTATATGCTAGAAAAGAATATTCCTTAAGCATCAGTTGAGTTGAGAGAATACCCGACAAGAAATTATGGATTATCCATCCCAAGTGAATCCCATGACAGGAAACGTTCAACATTATCAAACTATGGACAGATAACCCATAATTGCAAGTTGCACATAGGCTATTCTTGATATTACCATAGTATTCTTTTCTGAGAAATATGGAAAATGTAAGTTTCCTGATTTCAAATGGAGACATCTAGTCAATATTGTTGGCATGGAACAATTGGAACGAACTAGCCAATCAGCAGGAAGCAGAAATAATGATGATCTGTGAGAGAATAACTGAGAGTAACTGCACCAATTTACTTGCACCTAATATAGAGATATACTGCCTTAGTACCGGAATATGGAATTTGAATGTCAAATAAATTTTCCTGATAAAGTCTTAAACTCACAAAGGGTACGCCACTCAAGAAAGCATTGAACACAGCTGAAGATCTGAAAATAGATACAAAAAATATTAAATTCTGAAAAAAACAGTGACAACTTGAATTTATCACCAGATAAAGTCACTGGATAGAAATGGTATCCTTTGGAGTAATTTACGGATAAAAATGCAAAGGTCAGGTCTGTATTACTTTCAGTGTTCACTAACAAACATGGCATGCCTTTGTCTATTGGAGATCAAGTCAGAGTGACGTTTGAGGGCTGGACAAATATTGGGATAATTGTCATCCTTATCAAAATAATAGTCAAAGATACCTAAAATTAGTGTTTAACAGCGGCGTAGCTTAGGCTTTGACAAGTGTAGGCAACATTGGAGACATAATTTGCAAAGATATTTAGCAAGGACACTAGAGGGAACAGTGTCCATATCTCTGCTTGTGGATATGCCTTAAATGTTTATATGTAGAGTCGCTTCCCTTTGACCAAAGGGCAATTACTCTAGTGGATGCAGCTATCGCTGACAAAGTTATTTTTGAGCTCCTTGATGTGTAAATATTTGCTTATATGGTACTTACACAACTCTCTAAATAAGTTTCACATGGAACAATATTACTTTTTTGACTAATAACTAACCGTGTGATGTAATATGTTATTGCACACTTTCAAGGGCAATTTGAAATGTTAAGGTACAAATTGTGAGAGATAAATATTTTTTTCCAGATGCACTATTTGTCTCGTGCAGTATCAGCATAAAAAGTTTGGACATCACGTGCAGCATACCGTGATAAGAATCAAGACACTGTGGTAACACTTGACTGATTGTTAGTTACATCATGTTTCTATGGTAAACTTTTCTTTTGGTTGGGAGTATACATAATGTCTTTTCCTGATATAAGATATTTACCATCCCAAACACACACATGATAACCTCGATATATCAATAGCCATTGTCAATGGAAGGTGTCCCTACAGAAACATGAAGGCTGCATTCACAGTGCTACCTGAGTTTATAGGGTGGCACGCTGAAGGACTTCTCTGTCTGGTTGTATCCGAGGAGGACATTCAGGTGCCGCAGGACTACATTCTGCAACAAATAACCATGGTAACCATGGTAACCATCACAACAGTGTTGAGGGCATGGAGTCATAGGCCAAAAAAATAATAGTCTTTGTTCTCTGGCACTGCCAGATGCGGCGTTAACAATATCCACTCACTCACTGGCACTGCCAGCTTCATCATAAAGGCCGCCACATGTTTCACTTTTATTTCCATTTTCCAAAAAAGAAAAAAATCCTAATACTTAAAAACAATGGGAATTCAATATAGCTCACAGTTACTTCCCTTAACATGTGCACTGCTTTACTGTGCATCTCGTGTTATGGTCATGGCAGCAATAGGCGTTTGTATGCTTGTTCATGTAGGGAGGCCTCCAAGGTTGATGGTTCACAACTGTTTATTTGGTTACATACTTGTTTGAACGAACAAAAAAGAAGTTACCTCCCTTAAACAATCATCCATTTGTCCACTCTTTCACTTCATGATGTTAATAACTGGATTGTCTGGTCCACCCGCCGTCATATAGCTGGAATATTGCTGAGGGCAGAGTGAAACAAACAAACAAAACTCATTCACTCACTCACTCATCCACCAGTAAGACCTACCTGAGCCTTGACATCTTCACTGGCGTCATCCACCTCCTCCTTCACCATGAACTGAAACACAAGACGAGCACCGTGAACATGTGCTTCACTATGTCACTGTCAATCTGGCCTACAGGAGGCCAGACCGCCTCCGTGGTCTAGTGGTAGAGCATCCACCCGGAGGGCGAACGGTCCAGGGTTCGATCCCAGGCCATGTCATACCAAAAGACGTTAAAAGATGGTACTTGTTGTTACCCTGTCTGGTGCTCGGCAGTTGGAGTCAGTATACTGTGTCTGAGTGGGGTATTCAAGTTCAACTGCTGCATGGTATCTCAGTGGGATAGCACTATAAAATGTGTTTGGACTAATACATGCAGCCACACACATGCACGTCGCTATATAAGCGCAATAATCTTGAATGCGACCTTTAACCCAATTTCACCTCACCTCACCTCACCTCACCTCACCTCACCTACAGAAGGTCAGCTTGTGACAACCACAAAGATAATCATTCACAGCTTGTAAAACCAATGAGCGTGTTTGAAGCAGTCTGATTAGTAACAAAATGTTGTGAAATGGGATGAGAGGACCTGAAATCTTTTAGACTTTTCACTGCGTATGAATACATTTCTTGAGAAGCATCATGTCTCAAATTTGAAAGAGAAAAAATTCAGCTCTTGACATGTGACATCAATATCACAGCCATTATCTATTGTGTCTGATTCATATATTAAAAAACCCTTTGATTCCAGAGTGATGGCATATATAGTTCACAGCGGTTTGAGTCCATGTAAGAAGAGAGTGATACAGAAAATGACCAGTTATGTGATTATTGGTATTAATCATCCTCAGACGTTGAGAGATAGTTCTTGGTGTATTCCTGCCTGGTGCTCGGCATCAAGGGGCCAAAACAAGGACTGGTCAGCTCAGAGTCAGTATACTGTGGGCTAGCACCATAAAGCCAGCATTCGTCCGCACTAGTACAAGCCTCACACACACAGGTGCAGTCACAGAAACAAAGAAACAAAGAAACAAACAGACAGACACACACACACAGAGACATGCACACACACACACAAACAGACAGACAGACAGACAGACAGACAGACAGACAGACAGACAGACAGACAGACAGACAGACAGACAGACAGACAGACAGACAGACAGACAGACAGACACACACACACACACACACACACACACACACACACACACACACACACACACACACACACACACACACACAAACTACCTTCATGAGGAGGGCCACCAGCTGGTAGACAGTGTCGCGGTCCACCCCATCCAGGTCCATGGCTCGCTGTAGCAGGGCAGCAAAGTTACTCTCCTCGTCTGTGAACTCCCGCAACTGGCCGCCTGTGGGGGACAATACTCCACATTTCATTTAATTGCCCATCCCATGAAGTATACATTCACAAGGCTCTGCAGCTGGCCTGAAGTATTTTTGAACCTTCCTTTACAAAGATCATAATAAAAGGTGAAACAAAGGTGTTGATACAAGAAAACAGCATGAATATTGCTTAAAGGTACATGTTGAAATGTTATGACAAAAATGATTTTTTCAATATGGCTGCACTGACGACCATGTCTAAAACAGGAACATAATTCTCTGGGCACTCTACAGAAACACCTGGGATCATCCCTACAAAGTTACAGCTTCATAGGCCTTATGGAATATGTAAGATACAGTCAAGTCTTGTATATCCGATACTCGTTAATCCTACAATTGGCTTTATCTGACACAAATGACCTGTTCTTATTAGACCCGTTAATCCGACAGTCTGGCACTCCGATTTAAAAAAAACCTAATTCCCAACGAATTACCAAAATCACTCTTTATCAGCCTCGATAATCTGACACAATGATCAGCGTACTCCGTGGTCATCTGCCCGCAAGTACATAGCCCGTGTTTTGATGCGAGATGAGTCGGCTGGTAGCTGCATATTACAACAGCTGCAGAGATAAACTTACTTAACAATAAACAATTAATGCTTTAAATAAACAAAACAGGATTAATCACATGCCTAGATTACCTCAGTCTCATGAATAGATACAAGTTCTACCACTGAGGACATCCCATTACAGGGCACGTCAGAACGACATTTCGCAAACTTTGACCAACCAATGAAATGACAAACAGGAAGTCGACATTAGCAACTGTATTTTGAATCAGTCATACAGCCCCTAACCGTAGTTTTGTGTTACGAACACGGATATAGCGAACAAACGGATACAACGAACTGTTAAAACATCCCCGATTTATCTCCTATATAATATCATATAAAATTTACGTATATAACGAACTCTCTACAGCGAACTAACGGATACAGCGAACTGATACCTGATCACCAACAAGCCCATCTATAACTAATTAGTGACGTGTATAGCGAACTGAGAAATCTCACTCAGTGTCAAGTGTCACTGACAATTGGCTGTACGCAATCAGTGGCGAATCAACACAATCGCGGCGAATCAACACAATCAGTGGTGACGGGTCAACCTTGTTAAATTTGCATTGTGTTAATCTTACCTGTACATGTAATCTTGTTTGTAAAACAAACATTAAACATATACATTTTATGAGATTGTGTCCAAGTGTCAGTTCACTTGCATGTGCTATCATGGCGGGCTATAATAAGAGGAATGCTGTTTAGACACGAAATTGAGAATTATTAATGCTGTTGATGCTGGCATAAAAACAAAGAAAGACCAAAGCTGACGAACTTGCGGTGAAATTAGGCCATGAAGATTTCACGTGTAACACTGCAATTACGTGTATTGTGTTTTGTCTTTTCCAAGATGGCGGACGTTTTCGAGCGAAAACGTGCATAACGAACAACGGATATAACAAACTGATTTCTCTGGTCCCTTGTTGTTCGTTATATCCGTGTTCTACTGTACTTAATTTTGTTTATCCGACATACTCATTAATCTGATATAATCATATGCAACCAACCATGTCGGATTAACAGGACTTGACTGTACAAAGATGGTCGGACAGACGTGCTACAACATCACTTCACCTGAACAGTTCAAGTGTGCTCATAAAACAGGTACATCTTTATAGTTTGTTTCATGTGCTCTGTACCTGGAAACATCATGCCTCCAAACGACCCGAGGTTCATCTTCGACGTCATCCGCCTCGTCAGACTAAACTGTGGCGCTGACTTCTGACGAATGTAGGATTTCTCTCGGTCAACTAGCAGAAGACAACCAGGCCATGAATCAATAAAATATATCATGAAAGATACAATACTTTGATTTAATACAGTGCAAGGAAAAAACAATCAGCACAAATTATTTTTCTGATATATGATAACATTGCAGAACATTTGCTGCTGTATCCTCTCATCAAGACCAACATGATCCACTGGCCTAATGCCACACTAAGGGGTGACAAGCTCAGCAAGTGTTTGCAATATCATTGCTGGAAACACCAGAAATAGACTTCACACATTTTACCCATGTGGGGAATTGAACCCAGACCTTTTGTGTGTCAAGCGAACACTTTAACCACTAGGCTACCCACTGCCCCTCTTACAATAAGCAAAAAGTGCTGTGGACTGATTCTAACCCAGGTCTCACAGGGTGGAAAGGATGATGATGATGATGATGATGATGATGATGATGATGATGATGATGACGACAACAAAGTAATGATAATATACTTCATACAAACTGTTTCATAAATTGACATTAGATTCTCAGAAGAAACTTGACTTGAAATGAAACTTGTAAATAAGAAATGTTAAAGTACAATATTATTGTGTGGGTAAGTGCATGTGGGGAAATAAGAAAGTCACGAAATTCATGAGCAAACTGCGTAATTTGGTATAAAAACACAGTATCTAGTATAAAAGATGTGTGTGATTATTCTGACACTAAGATGTGTTAGGCCAAAGAGAAATCGTCACAAAGGTAAACAGTGCATGGTGACGGGATCACATCATTTGCCATGCTAGAGCTAAGTAACAATGGTGGGTGAGTGAGTGAGTGAGTTGGGTTCACACAGAAATACGATCACAGGGTGTGTCAGCTTTATGAGTGAGGAGAAAAAGAGGTGATGCAGGTGACAGCCATTGACAACTGTGACACCTGCATGCACAGAAACATGATCAAGGATCGTAATCCGGGATTCAAACCCACAACCAGCGGATCCAGCATTGCTAAGGGATGCAACTTTGCACAGCAAGTTATGGCATAAGAGACAGTATTTATCAATGTCAATTTCTTTATTATGAGGAACACATTTTGGTGTATATGCTTATAAGGGTGATGAATGCTGGTATGCACAGAGCATATATATGTGAGTGAGTGAGTGAGTTGAGTTTAATGCCGCTTTTAACAGTATTCCAGTAATATTGTGGCGTGTCAGCTTAATGTGGGAGAATAGCCCGAAGTGATGCAGGTCTCAGACATTTACCACTTTGGTGAAACCCACGAGCAAGGGTATGGTGCTGACAAACCTAGAAACATAATCGGGGTGAACCGGGATTCGAACCCACAATCATAACTTTCTGAGTGCCCAAGGGAAGCAACTCTTCACAGCGAATCACGGCGCCTAAGACGACTGGGCCACCCGTGCCCCCAAGCATATATATATGTACATGCATAAACAAGCACATAAAGTAACCACATACTCCGAAACATGTTCCTCATAATATAGAAGTTGACATCCATAAATTCCCCTCTCTTGTTTGTATCAGGTATCAGTTATGGCACCTTGGACTGGGGGCCACCAATGTAATCCAGTGAAATGTTAGGATAACCCACAGTGTAAGCAAAAAGACATTAAAAAACACAAATCCAGCAACAACATTTAGCAGAAACTTCAAAATTCAAAACTGGGATTGTTTTTGGACTTACGTATACCTTCAACAAATATTTCCGGATATAGAGAATGTCGTTTTCTCGGTGCTTGTACATGGGCCTCGGCTGTCAGTGAAAACACATGGAGACTGACAACCACACACACCCAATGCTCTTAGGCAACATAATATTCAGTTTAGATTTAAATTTTTCTAAAAATATTTGATGGGAGAAATTTTATTTTGGGGCATTTTTTAAAGCAAACTCTCCTGAGCATCTTGCATACATCAGTAATGGATGGATATGGGTTATATGTATATAGAGTACACATCAATAAGGTGAATGGAGTTTCATGTCACATCCCAGATTATTGCACTTATATAGCGACGTGCATGTACGTGTGTGTGTGTGCTTGTACTAGTCCGGACTGATGCCGATTTTATAGTGCTAGCCCACTGAGATACCATGCCACAGTTTAACATGAATACCCCACTCAGACACTGTATACTGACTCCGAGCCGAACAGTCCTTGTTTCAGCAGCTCATGCTGAGTGCGAGACAGGGTAACAACAAGTACCATCTTTTAACGTCTTTCATATGACGTGGATAGGGAATGAACCCGGACCTTCCGCTCACTGGGTGGATGCTCTACCACTGGACCACAGAGGCGGTCTACATCAATAAGATGAACAAGGGAACACACAGAGCAATGTTCTTCATCTGTGGGTCCTTGAGGCAGAAGCGATGTGAGATGGAGGCCTTTGTGTATTTTCATAAATGTCCTTCAATGGGGAGAGCAGATCAAAACCTTTCCTATGCAGATAAGGCTGAATGGACCAAAGTAAAGATGGAAGATACAGAATTTTGGTATTGAGTCTAGTTTTGGCAGTGGTGGTAGTCGATGATTTGTCTCTAAAATATATATACACAGGGGTTGGTGTCTGTTAATGTCGAGTTGTTAATGCCTGTACCCGATCATAGATTGGAGTTTACCATATAAGCGTGAACCTACATATTCAAATATTTTCAGGGATTTATCTAGGATTCTCAACAAGTGTCCCTGGCAGACAGTTTGTTAAAAAAATGATTATTTTGTTCATAATAGGGAATTTTTTTTTAAAGGCAACATTTTTTACCATGTACATTCAGAGTTATTTTAACATTGCATTATGAGATTGAATAATATAAAACAAAGCATCAAAACCTCATCCTATTTATTGGTCCTGTTATCAGTGAAATACGGGTTATCTCTACACAGCCATAACATTAGTTATGAGGTATATATAATAATATGAACAGGGAATTTTCTTTATTCCAATTGTGGAATTTTTACTGACATTTGTTGAATACTAGGGTCAAGTATCAACCTCTCAGCAAGTCCAGGTCAATCCTTGAACATATACAAGAAATCCTTTAGGAGTTGTGCTCAATCGGGGGTATCTGTCTGGCTACTGGCCTCCTCATACTGACCACTGTGGCAGGCTACCAAATTTGACCTGTCTTTACATATTTATAAATATTAATATTGATATTGTTCAGAAGTACTAAGTAAGTTTGTTTTGTTTGTTTGTTCGTTGTTCAACACCACACTCAGCAAATATTCCAGCTGTATGACAACGGTCTGTAAATAATCGAGTTTGGACCAGACAATCCAGTGATTGACATCATGAACATCGATCCACGTAATTGGGATATGATGACACACATTGACCAAGTCAGCGAGCCTGACTACCTGATCCTGTTAGTCACCTCTAACGACAAGCATGGGTTGCTGAAGACAAAGTACTAAGACAAATATGAGCCTGGTCATGCGACCTTTGACCTATTTGGCTTTTTATTGGATTTCACCAGTCTCCTCATATACCAAATTGGGTCAAACGTCTTGACATATCAGGTAAATTTATTGCCTGGAAACCAAACAAATAATAGCTGGACAACAGACAGATGACCAACCATATTTAAGCTGTTCTGGTCTATGATCAGCTGAGTCAAGCTATAAAATAGAGAAAAGAAATAACACATCCTAATGCAGACACTTATGGTTCATTACCATATTATATAAACCTGACAAATGAATATGAAAATATGCATGGAAAGTTCCACATCAACGCTTACGTTTTGGTGGAATCGTCCCCTTGGTGATGAGATGCAGAGGGACAGACACCGCCCTCCTGTATGGCGGCTTGCCCCTCAAGCTCTCGCTGACCGACCGGACACTGTCCGTCCTCGCTAGTGCAAACCTGGCCCGGTTCAGCTTCCGCAGAAAGTGTTCACTCTGTCGATCGCTCCCACTCAGATCTAAAAAGAAACCATACTGGATTACTTTGACTCCATGACTCCCTACTCATGCCGAGCGGGGACCCTCATGCTGAGATGTCATGCAGCCTTTACCCTAGAGGACACTGACAAGCCAGGCGTTACCCCCACTGGGAGACAGCTAGAAGACCATGCTCACACTAGGCAGACAACTCAGAAGTTCACCATCACTAACAAGAGGAGAAAGGTTTAAAGGAACTTTCCTCAGGAACCTAGACCCTAGAAAACCTGTTATATCCTACGAACTGTTAGAAATAATGCTAAAATATTACAAGAGAAGCATCTGAGACTATGAAGGTCTACATGTGTGAGTGGTGATGCTTAGGTACTGGAACCAAAGATGAGGATGCCATATTGCTAAGCAACAAAGGAGACAAACTGGAAGGGATACAAAAAAAAACAATGCAAAGAAACAACAGTACCAGTGCAATGGTGCTAGGTAGGGATCAGGAGAGTTTAAATTTTAAAAACAGTTGACATCTTTACATTAAATGTTTCTTGGACTTGGTAGAAGATGGTTAAAAAGAAATTATTATTTATTATTTCAAGATGAGTGAACAGCAATCATTTTAATCAAGTCTTAATTCTTAATATGAATGACATTTTAAACGTACAGCTCACACACTGATAATTAATATGTGTTCAGATATACAATCAACTGACTTACAGAACTAGCAATCAATACGATCCATCATAAAATTATTTGAAGAAAATCATATTTGTTTAGAAAACAATTTTTTTTAAATGTCATTTCAATATGACTAAAACTCTCCTGGTCCCGGACACGGACGACGGGAGGGAGGAAGTTCTACAGGAGACTAGAATGCATGGACGGACACACGGACGGACAGACACACGGACAGACAGTGAGGGTGAGGTATGGTTGGAGGTAAGTCGCTGGTAGCTCTAGGGGTTGGAACCTGTAAGACAAGATATATCACCACTGGTTTCCAAGTCTAGCTGGGCCTCCAGAGACAAAGTGTCAAAACGGTTAAGGAAGAATTCCCATGAGAGAATATTTTCTTTCGGTAGCACTGATGCCAGCAGTTGCATGCGATGGAGTATCATGCTGCGGTCGTTGATGACAGAGTCAAACTGGAACTCCAGACATTGACAAAGGCACTGAAACAGAGAGAAGGTGAGATGAATTGTGTGGCCATCTCAGATTCTTGTCACATTTTCTAAATACGTCATTTTCTAAATATGTACCTTAGTATGTATATTTGTGATGAAGGGCAAGAAGAAACCTTGAAAAATTGTACATCGAGTGAGAGTGAGTGAGTGGGTGTGTGAGTGAGTGAGTGAGTGAGTGAGTGAGTGAGTGAGTGAGTGAGTGAGTGAGTGAGTGAGTGAGTGAGTGAGTGAGTGAGTGAGTGAGTGGGTGGGTGGGTGGGTGGGTGGGTGGGTGGGTGGGTGGGTGAGTGAGTGAGTGAGTGAGTGAGTGAGTGAGTGAGAGTAAAATTCATAATATTTTCATTAAGCCTTTTTGTCTTTATTCACCTGCCTAATGCAAGAGACCGCCTCCGTGGTCTAGTGGTAGCTCGTCCGCCCGGAGAGCGACAAGTCCGGGGTTCGATCCCCGGCCGCGTCATAAAAAAAGACGTTAAAAGATGGTTCTTGTTGTAACCCTGCCTGATGCTCGGCATGAAGGGGCTAAAACAAGGACTGGTCGGCTCGGGGTCAGTATACTGTGTCCGAGTGGGATAGTCATGTTTAACTGCGGCATGGTATCTCAGTGAGCTAGCACTATAAATCGGCATCAGTCCGTACTAGTACAAGCAGCCACACACACACACACACATGCACGTCGCTATATAAGTGCAATAATCTTGGACACGACGTTAAACCCAATTTCACCTCACCTCACCTAATGCAAGAAACACACTACAGAGGCGTAGTACAGGCTAGGCGGGTCTACAACACAAGCAAGTGGTGCGAAGACATGAGGAAAACCACTCACTCTGAGTGCTACCGGTCTAATGGTCTCTAGGAACATGATGGTCTTCTGTGCCACGGCGGCGTTGATGTCCTCCACGGAGCCAATCAGATGACAGAAGGCGTGGGAGAGACCTGTCATGATCACCTGGTTGTTGCGGATGGAGTCGGTCTCAAGACAGCGGGACAGCACAGTCACCTTCTCCACTACAACAGAGGTTCATGCACATTTCAGTTCAGTCAAAAACCTGCTTTCAAGACATGTTTTATTCACCCAAAATGTAGGCCAGTTAGTCACTTCAACATAATAAATTCAATGTTTCAGAGCTTCAACTTTTCAACTTTTCTCATCATACGGATGTCTAGTTATGATGATGATAATGTTGCCCTATCATGTGGGGTGCATGGTTGGTTTGTTTGTTTGTTGTTTAACACCGCACTCAGCAATATTCCAGCTATATGACGGCGGTCTGTAAATAATCAAGTCTGGACCAGACAATCCAGTGATTAATATCATGAGCTTCGATCCACGCAATTGGGATCGATGACATGCATCAACCAAGTCAGCGAGCCTGACCACCCGAGCCCGTTAGTCGCCTCTAACAACAAGCATAGTCGCCTTTTACAGCAAGCATGGGTTGCTGAAGACCTATTCTACCCCGGATCTTCATGGGTAATGGGGTGGTCCAGTCATCTAAGGCGCTGCAATTCACTGTGCAAAGTTGCATCCCTCAGGCATGCCAAAAACCTATGATAGTGGGTTCAAATCCTGGTTCGCCCCGATTATGTTTCTAGGTTTGTCAGCACCATACACATGCTTGTGGGTTTCACCGAAGTGGTAAACGTCTAAGACCTGCATCACATCGGGCTTTCCTTCCGCTGTGATATAACTGGAATATTGCTAAAAGATGCTAAACATAACTCACTCACTCATTCACTCACTCACACAATCACGTGACAGGGAAAATAACCAAAGAAGTGACAATAGATAATCAAATTTGTAAACCTATAGAAGGGAGGTTTGTTCCCATTAAATTTCCAGCCCTTTTCAAGCACTGTGAAATGGTCAATTTCATGTTTGTATGGACCATGTCCACCATGGATTATCTCACACTTTTGATATAGTCTGCTTAACTTTTGACTTCTTGATAGGGATAATCAGATATATCATTCTATATAAATACACACTTGACATGTGATGAGATTCAGTGAGTGTATCATGGAGAGATACATCAAGCTGTTACTTTTTTCAAAGTAACATTTTTTTTAATGTGACGCTTACACGACATGCACCTTATCCATTAGATGAGAATCTCCTCACATGACCACAAAACTGAAGTTCATAAGCATATGATCGACACATTTTGTCATTCATACCCTTTACATAAGACTGTATTCTTGAAATGACGTAAACACTGACAGACTACATCCACATTCCTGGGGAACCCCTCGGAATTCCGTAGCATGAATAAATACAGAAGCGTTATTTCTGAAACTTAGACCCTTTAATCTTGAACTCAGCTTACGGATAAATGGACAGTGACAGTCTTCAGCGATCTGTAGACAATCAATATCTATTTGACATCTTTATAATCACCTATCAATGACTAACACTTGTCATCACCCAAAGTTCATCAACAATTTCGGAAATATCTCCCGTCACATTCATCTTGTCTGCCATTTTGACGTCCCGTTCTTGTAAATGTATTATGACATGCTCTCATCCTTAGGTAATTCTGAGGTATTTCTTAACAGAGCTATCCCATTTAATGATGATATTATTTGAATATCTGTTGTAACCAAACTACAACAGATGTGAGTGTACAGCAATTGGAGCTCCACCTCTCAATTTGAGGAACTATTTTATTCCACAATACAGCCGGTTGTTGTATGGCTGTCAGAGTAAACATGAAGTCACACTTACCAAATGAAATTGTGTATATGTTACACCCAATCTGTGCAACTGCCCATCATGTGCATTAGGCAGGCAGTTTGCCCATTGCGTGCATTAGGCAGGCCGTTTGCCCATTGCGTGCATTAGGCAGGCCGTTTGCCCATTGCGTGCATTAGGCAGGCCGTTTGCCCATTGCGTGCATTAGGCAGGCCGTTTTCCCATTGCGTGCATTAGGCAGGCCGTTTTCCCATTGCTTGCATTAGGCAGGCCGTTTGCCACTTGCGTGCATTAGGCAGGCCGTTTGCCACTTGCGTGCATTAGGCAGGCCGTTTTCCCATTGCTTGCATTAGGCAGGCCGTTTGCCCATTGCGTGCATTAGGCAGGCCGTTTGCCCAATGCGTGCAATGGACAATCACGTGTATGAGTTCTAAAATCTTATTCACAGAAGTCAAAAGGACAAAGTTATTATATCAGGATCTATTAACCGAGTTATTTTACAAAGATCTGTTCACTGAATCAGAAATTACGATTTATATGGTTTCTTAACTACTGTAAAACACAAATAAAATACGACTCGAAAATAATATGTCTGACCAAATGTAGACTTAAATGCACACCAAATAATGCATTCAACCATAATTTCTCTTTTTTTTTAAATAACTAAACAATGATCTTCGCTGAACTATATCTAAGATCTTAAGATCACATATTTCTTTTGTGGTTATTTTTAACAGTTTATTCACTTAATAATAGAGGTTACTTTATTAAAAACAAAACATGTAAAACAATACCAACTTCAATCAAGTGCTTTGGGCAGAACAGTTACCTGCCCACTGCGTGAAATGAGCAACCTGGTTGCCCATATTGTGAAATATTTGGAGAATTATTTTTCATTCACAACTATTGGCCATTGCATGCAATGAGCAGTAGCACAGATTGGGTGTACATCACGATATACAGATATAATAGAAAAAAAATTAAGAATTGACATTCACTCTTTGAGTTCATTGGAGTAAGAACCTTGATAGAGTGAGGGCCAAACTGTATGAACATCTTCGCAATGGTATTTGATACCTCATTTTAATCCTGTTTGGACCATTGAGAATCTAGAATTCTTCAATGTCATGGTAGAATTAGAAATAAAGACATCTGTCTGACTACACGTGACATAAGGTTACCTGAAGCAAACCTGGCTCTCCAGTCATCGTTGCCGAAGTCCTCCTCCACCAGCCTCCACAGGATGTCTGCGCCGGTTGGGAGGGTGATGCTGTGCAGCAGGAGGGGCACGGAGACTGTGGCCAGCTGGGAGTGCTCCGCCTGCAGCAGCTTCCACAGGCTGAAGCAGAGAGTAGCTGGTATCTCAGTGGGCTGGCACCATAAAACTGCCCAAGGTCCAAACTACTACAAGAATCCAGACTCATGTTGCCAAATGAGTGCAACAATCTTAAACACAGTTTATTAATCTACTGCCACTTTTGCCTATTGTATTTTTCGATATCTTCCTATCTCGTGATAACCTCTAGGGAGGTTTACTGTTTCCTAGTAAGACCTGATGATTTGAGTAGCAGATGGAATTTGGAATTACTGTTTCAAACGTCCAATGTTCTAAAATCGAAGACAAGAACTGAAACTTTTTTATTGTGGCTGACAGGAATCGAACCTGCAACCTCACATATCATGTTAAGTTTTGTAACCCACTGTTTTCCCACTGAGCTACTGGGGCAGGTGATGAGAGAATGTTCTATTTTAGATGTCATGACTTAGTTTTGTCTATGCTGCATGTGTTTCTTCTCTCACACTCTTTGATCGCATTCCTTTTATACCTTTATATTTTTTCTGTCATTTCTTGCATTTAGACGGTTTATAAGTGAGATACAGCACTCCTCCTCGGTTATGGTTGAGGAAGTAAGACCTTGGTAATCGGGTTTCAGCAATGTAAGCACCTGTTTATTGCTGATACCCTCTTGCCTCGGTCTTACTTCCTCAACCATAACCTAAGAGTTGTGCTTTATCCTTCACATAATGCACCATTTCCCCTCACAACAAGCACAACACCATCACTATCCAGACAGACTATAAGAGTGTTCTAGAGCACAACACCATCACTATCCAGACAGACTATAAGAGTGTTCTAGGGCACAACACCATCACTATCCAGACAGACTATAGGAGTGTTCTAGAGCACAACACCATCACTATCCAGACAGACTATAAGAGTGTTCTAGAGCACAACACCATCACTATCCAGACAGACTATAAGAGTGTTCTAGGGCACAACACCATCACTATCCAGACAGACTATAGGAGTGTTCTAGAGCACAACACCATCACTATCCAGACAGACTATAAGAGTGTTCTAGAGCACAACACCATCACTATCCAGACAGACTATAGGAGTGTTCTAGAGCACAACACCATCACTATCCAGACAGACTATAGGAGTGTTCTAGAGCACAACACCATCACTATCCAGACAGACTATAAGAGTGTTCTAGAGCACAACACCATCACTATCCAGACAGACTATAGGAGTGTTCTAGAGCACAACACCATCACTATCCAGACAGACTTTAGGAGTGTTCTAGGGCACACACTTTGGTATGAGCCTCCTGCGGAATGTGAACTTGATGAAGCCCCCGAACTGGCTGATGGTGTAGTTGAGGCATTCCCCATGCAGGATCAGGTACTTCATGGACATCAACAGCGCAAACAGAGCATCGACATCGGTGACGCTGCACAGGCTCTGCAAAACAATCAGGCATACTCAGAACTGTTTGAGAAACACTGGTACTGAAACATTCAGTACATCCACAAGTTGGCAGTAGGGCTGGGACAATACACCAACTGGGCGATCCGATACGTATCATGATACCTTGCTCACAATCCTCTAGTAGGAAGGTGATGTCAGACAACAAGGGGGTCATCAACTAATTGTGACACTGGGGGCAACATGATCAAATTGAATTTAGAACAAATACAAAGAAAATATTTATTTCAGTATTTTAGAATATTTGACGTTTCTCCCATTTATATATTGGAACATTACTGTAGCTACAGGTGATCTTCCAACCATTGATCCTGAAGCCTTGACTACTATGAAGAGTGGAGATTTACCTTATGGGAGACAGTCCTCTAGGGGTACCCGTATATAGTTCGGCATAAAGCAACTAAAACAGGCCTGAAGTACTCATATCCCCTGCCAATATCACATGTCCGGTTGTGTGCAAGGCAAGAAATATTGAACAGGTTTCAAGATCTGCTTCCGAAACGAGCACTACAGCCATTTTCAGTATAACTCAAAGTCATTCCATGTAAACTCAAAAAATAAATTTTTACCAAATCCCAAACTATCAAAAGGTACCAGTTCACCACCAGACCTATCTATGTGCCAAGTGTGGTTAAGATATTTTTCATGGGTTTTGAGTTCTGCCCTAGAAAAGAAACATGGCTGATGTCTACAGCACCTATTCCCATATCCCCCTTCCACTTTGAGGCGGGGGCTAAAAAACCTGTTGTAAATGTAAGATGAGTCAAACTGTCATCATCAAAGATTAACATAAAATATACAAAAAGACTGCTAAGTGTAAACTAAAACTTAATGTTTATCGTACTCATGCTAAAATCTCAGGATCTACTGACAAGAAAACCAGTCAGGGTGTTAAGAGTTATGAAACCAAAGCAGAACCAGCTGTCCCCATGTTTCCCTATAGACGGGCTGACGACCAGCATTCGCATGGAGATAATTTCGCATTTAAGACTCAACTTGACAGCACTTTCCCCTGGGTCCAGTCACAATCTTCTGTCACTACAAGTCCACACTGTGCCCTTACTGTCTTCAGAGATAGCAATGGTTCTAGGTTTGTCAGCACCATACCCGTGCTCGTGGGTTTCACCGAAGTGGTAAAATGTCTGAGACCTGCATCACTTCAGGCTTTCCTGCCACATTAAGCTGACACGCCGTGATATAACTGGAATACTGTTAAAAGCAGCGTTAAACCCAACTCACTCACTCACTCAGAGATAGCAATACAGTGGAACAGTGCACAGCAAGGCTGCAGCTTGACCCTGAACAACACAGCCAGCTAACAAACTTGACAAGGCATGTCTGTTTATTGTCATAAACTATATACACTTTCTTCCCATGTTGTTAGAATACATTTCAAAGTTATTAACTAAATATCCTACCTTTTAAGACACCTTTCAAAATTTACTGTAACTACATTAAACACACCTTAAGCAGCATGTCGTACAACTGCAGATAGACCGGCATGGTCGTCACATCATAGTCCTGCTCCCGCGTCTCTCGCTCCTCGTGACCATTGCTGTCTGCTGCTGTAGCAGAAACACAGGCTCTAGACATTTATCAAAATGAGACCAATGTTATATTTAGATAATTCCAAAAGAAGTGGAAGTTTGGAAATATTGAAGAGGTGGTGCTTAGCCTTTTTCAACGACTATATTTCATTGTCCCTGACTTACCTGACTCTGGAATGGTCTGATGGCGAATCTCGTCCACTTTGGGCAGCTCCTTTGTGGGTATCTTGAGCGGGTCCCGTGGGCAGATGTGTTCCATGAGCTGTGTGGCCAGTTGGTGCCACAGAGCGATGTTCTGGCAGAACACACAGTTGACCCGGTGCTGCTCCGTGGTGCACGAGTGAAGGCCGTCCCACTCCTTGCGTAGCATCCCTGTGAGGAGCTGCATCACCTCCCGGCTCATCTCATTGTAGATGCCGAGATGCGGGGGAGACTCCTGCAGCTCCATCTGCAAACAACAGTGTGAGGAGTACAGGGCTGAGGGCTTCCTACAGCATCTCAATTACTGTAAATCGTGAAATTAATGCATCTCCAAAAGAATGCAACCACTTGACCCTAGCCAAAAATGCGACTCAATATGAATGCGACACCTCCTCCTCTCAAGCATCAGTGGATTTCTATCTAAAGATGTCCTCAGTCAGGTTTAGAATCCTCACCTTAATCCAACCTTACATTAATCCAATCACACACCAAATAGCACCGCTTATTAGCACTGTACTTCCGCAAAAACAATACATGCGCGCTGGCTCGTGTCGGCCTGTGACGCAGTTGCAAAGAACAAAGGGTGGCATCTGTTTGGACTTGCAGGTGTGATCAGAACTCTTGTCTTGACCCCAGCAGTGACAATTCACAGGACGTAATTAGTGTTTGAATGACATTGTTTATATACTTTATATACAAGTGCTGCTCAATAAACAGTGGTGTGGAATACATCAGCGTTTGTCTAAGTTGGTATTTCTGCTATCCAAAATGTCTTATTGTTGATATAAATGCGATGTTTAAAAATGCGAGCAAAGACCACATGCATTTTTCGCATTTAATTAGCGTTAATTCCAAGATTTACAGTATATCATTGATGGGGGAAAGCTGGGGAAAGCTGGACAAAGGGTCAAACATATCTAAGACGCTGACAGATAACAGTTTGGCATGATATGTTTTGACCTGTTGCCCCTGCTATGATATGTCTATATCATGGACTATTTTGTATCAGCCAAACCAACACGCTTGAATACTGGGCAAGGCGTTTGAGGCTAGTACCAACATGGCTGCTGGCAACTGATCGGTCTGATTGTCTAGTTGAATACAGATTGAATTCTTTTTTCTTCTTTTTTTAATTCTTGAACATTGTGTTGTCCATGTTATCACAGCACCTAGTTTCCCCCAATGGTTGTTCTAAGGTGCTGCTATTTGCTGTGCTGTGACACTAGTCAAAGTCTGCCTGTAACAGCCTTTAACCATACAAGCTGATGACTACTGATACAAATACCATACTTGTTGTAGCCCACACAATTCATGTTTGACAGCTACTTTGTGGGCCAGCATCAGTTGAGTGTGAGTGTATCACCTCTTCTTCAGTGCCTTTTTCGAGCCATTTTTAAGATACTGTAACTGGGTTCCAGATAAATGAGCAATTTCTAAAAGTTTGGTCTTAGATTTTTAATGGTGGGACTTGCAGCAGTTATGTGAAGTCTGTACTAATGGGATCTCACAACAGTATTTTCTGACTCTCCGGTCTATGCCAACCAACCCACCTACTTGAGGCAAATGTCTACCCACCTGTCTGAGGAACAAGTCCACCCCCTGTCTGAGGAACAAGTCCACCCACCCACCTGTTTGAGGCACATGTCCACCCACCTGTCTGAGGCACATGTCCACCCACCTGTCTGAGGAACAAGTCCACCCCCCTGTCTGAGGAACAAGTCCACCCACCTGTTTGAGGCACATGTCCACCCACCTGTCTGAGGCACATGTCCACCCACCTGTTTGAGGCACATGTCCACCCACCTGTTTGAGGCACATGTCCACCCACCTGTCTGAGGCACATGTCCACCCACCTGTCTGAGGAACAAGTCAACCCACCTGTTTAAGGCACATGTCCACCCACCTGTTTGAGGCACATGTCCACCCACCTGTTTGAGGCACATGTCCACCCACCTGTCTGAGGAACAAGTCCACCCACCTGTCTGAGGCACATGTCCACCCACCTGTCTGAGGCACATGTCCACCCACCTGTTTGAGGCACATGTCCACCCACCTGTTTGAGGCACATGTCCACCCACCTGTTTGAGGCACATGTCCACCCACTTGTCTGAGGCACATGTCCACCCACCTGTCTGAGGAACAAGTCCACCCACCTGTCTGAGGCACATGTCCACCCACCTGTTTGAGGCACATGTCCACCCACCTGTTTGAGGCACATGTCCACCCACCTGTCTGAGGCACATGTCCACCCACCCACCTGTCTGAGGCACATGTCCACCCACCCACCTGTTTGAGGCACATGTCCACCCACCTGTCTGAGGAACAAGTCCACCCACCCACCTGTCTGAGGCACATGTTTCAGACACATGTCCACCCACCTGTTTCAGACACATGTCCACCCACCTGTTTCAGACACTTGTCCACCCACCTGTTTCAGACACATGTCCAACTGCATGATGAAGCAAGGGAGGATGAGTTCCGTCTCGCGCTCGTAGACTTCGAAGGAGTTGTCCACATGTCCACCCACTTGTCTGAGGCACATGTCCACCCACCTGTCTGAGGAACAAGTCCACCCACCTGTCTGAGGCACATGTCCACCCACCTGTTTGAGGCACATGTCAACCCACCTGTCTGAGGCACATGTCCACCCACCCATCTGTCTGAGGCACATGTCCACCCACCCACCTGTTTGAGGCACATGTCCACCCACCTGTCTGAGGCACATGTCCACCCACCTGTCTGAGGCACATGTCCACCCACCTGTTTCAGACACATGTCCACCCACCTGTTTCAGACACATGTCCACCCACCTGCTTCAAACACATGTCCACCCACCTGTTTCAGACACTTGTCCACCCACCTGTTTCAGACACATGTCCACCCACCTGTTTCAGACACATGTCCACCCACCTGTTTCAGACACATGTCCACCCACCTGTTTCAGACACTTGTCCACCCACCTGTTTCAGACACATGTCCACCCACCTGTTTCAGACACATGTCCACCCACCTGTTTCAGACACATGTCCACCCACCTGTTTCAGACACATGTCCACCCACCTGTTTCAGACACATGTCCACCCACCTGTTCAAGACACATGTCCACCCACCTGTTTCAGACACATGTCCAACTGCATGATGAAGCAAGGGAGGATGAGTTCCGTCTCGCGCTCGTAGACTTCGAAGGAGTTGTTGTAGTGAGGTTGTCTCTCGGGACTCAGTGGTGGGGGGTAGTCGTCTACAGGGGAGTTGGAGGGTAGGATGTTATGGGTGTGGCCCTCTGTGGCGTCCTCGGGATCGGAGTTGATCTGCTCCACCCCCATCTTGAACATCTTCAGCAGCAGGTGCATGGGGATGACGATGTCGAGGCTGGACAGGATCTGCAGCAGCAACACCATCACAATGTACGTGGAGGCATCACTACCAAGGGCACAACATCTAGGACCCTGTTCCACCTATCGATCTTAGCGCTTTGGAGATCCTAAGTCTCATACTTTAACATAGACTTGGTCCGCGTTCCACAAAGCTATCTTAGCGCTGGGGTGTTCCTAAATCTCATACTTTAACATAGACTTACAATCATCACAATGCTAAGATCGCCTTGTGGACTGGTATCTTGTGCCATGTTCCACAAAGCGATCAAGTGCAAAGATGATCGAAGCTCGCACAGCTTAACACAGAGTTAGGATAGTGCTAGTCTGCTTTGTGAATCAAGTCCCTTGGCCTACTTGGATAAAATAGTTGTAACACTATGATTATAACGTAATTCCCATACCTTACATCAACTAACAACAGTTGTGGTACTAAAACTGCTTTGTGGTTCAATGCCCTTGGCATACTTGTACATAGTGATCTTAGCACTGTGATGACCACACCTTCCACACCTTATTGTGTATTGGCATATGAGAGTTAAGGCACTACAGTCGATATAGTTGACCTACCTGTAGCCTACTGTCTACACACAGGTGCTAGTTGACCTACCTGTAGCCTATTGTCTACACACAGGTACTAGTTGACCTACCTGTAGCCTACACACAGATGCTAGTTGACCTACCTGTAGCCTACTGTCTACATACAGGTGCTAGTTGACCTACCTGTAGTCTACTGTCTACACACAGGTGCTAGTTGACCTACCTGTAGTCTACTGTCTACACACAGGTGCTAGTTGACCTACCTGTAGCCTACTGTCTACACACAGGTGGTAGTTGGCCTACCTGTAGTCTACTGTCTACACACAGGTGCTAGTTGACCTACCTGTAGCCTATTGTCTACACACAGGTGCTAGTTAACCTACCAGTAGCCTACTGTCTAGATACAGGTGCTAGTTGACCAACCTGTAGCCTATTGTCTAGATACAGGTGCTAGTTAACCTACCTGTAGCCTACTGTCTACACACAGGTGCTGATTGACCTATCTGTAGCCTATTGTCTACACACAGGTGCTAGTTAACCTACCTGTAGCCTACTGTCTACACACAGGTGCTAGTTGACCTACCTGTAGCCTATTGTCTACACACAGGTGCTAGTTGACCTACCTGTAGCCTATTGTCTGCACACAGATGCTAGTTGACCTACCTGTAGCCTACTGTCTACACACAGGTGCTAGTTGACCTACCTATAGCCTACTGTCTACACACAGGTGCTAGTTGACCTACCTGTAGCCTACTGTCTACACACAGGTGCTAGTTGACCTACCTGTAGCCTACTGTCTACACACAGGTGCTAGTTGACCTACCTGTAGCCTACTGTCTACACACAGGTGCTAGTTGACCTACCTGTAGCCTAATGTCTACACACAGGTGCTAGTTGACCTACCTGTAGCCTACTGTCTAGATACAGGTGCTAGTTGACCTACCTGTAGCCTACTGTCTACACACAGGTGCTAGTTGACCTACCTGTAGCCTACTGTCTACACACAGGTGCTAGTTGACCTACCTGTAGCCTACTGTCTACACACAGGTGCTAGTACACTGACCTGCAGCCACTGTAGGGCCTGTTCCTGCACTGAGGCGCTGCTATCGCTGAAGCGGTCCGTCACAAAGTGGTACATCTTGTCCAAGCTGAACGGCAGGGGACACATGTCGATGTCAAATGCTTTGCTGGAAATAACATTTCAACAACTGTGATATCTGTATGATGAAAAACCACCATGTAACAAAAACGATATCCATGATATTAAAGACACCATTTTTCAACTTTGAAAAAATCTAAAACATTTTACCATGACCTTTCAGAACTATATGATATTTTTCCGCTTTCACCCATGAGCAGTGTTGTTCCCTCCTCCTCGACCTGTGAAGATCCGGGGTAGAATAGGTCTTCAGCAACACATGCTTGCCGTAAAAGGCGACTATGCTTGTCGTAAGAGGCGACTAACGGGATTGCGGGGTCAGACTCGAAGACTTGGTTGATGCATGTCATCGTATCCCTATTGCGTGGATCGATGCTCATGATGTCAATCACTGGATTGAGTGGTCCAGACTCAATTATTTAAAGACAGACATTATTTAACTGGAATATTGCTGAATGCGGCGTCAACCAACAAACAAACAAAAAATCCTCCTCCTCACCTGAGCAGCACCTTCAGCTTACTCAGCTCATCCTCCGGGACCTCCGTCCTGATGGCCTCCAGCCAGTAGGGCATCACGTAGTCCCAGATCTACAAGGGCAACAACTCTTAAACAGGCCATATCTTATTCAGTGTTTGTTCCAGAATGCAAATTAATCATGTCTTATAAAATATAAGATAGCTACGCAATAAAACACAAAGTACAATAAGTAACGAAGAGTTGGTTGTTTCATGATAAAACATTGTCCTATCATGACGTCATTTCTGGAGATTCGAATATGCGCTTGCAACTTGATGGCGTCGTAAATTGGACAATGTTATTTCTGAGAGGGAAGTGTCCAGTTAAATTGTTCCCCATAGATGTAGCTGGGCAATGCAGATAAACGCAATGGCTGAATGATCGCACCCAAAAGTGGGAGAGATATGAGAATCAGTATTGGGAGAAAAGGTACAGGTATTCAACGTGAAAATTGTGAGAAAACCAAACTTAACCCCCCTGCACATAAAACAACTTGTGGTAGTTGTTTATCATACAATAAAACACTGCAGGGAGAATAAACCACTCGGGAGAATAAACAACAACAACTAGTCGTTTATTTCTTAATTAATCATATCTATTTATATCATATTGTTGCCATGGTTGCTGAGCTTCAACAATCTACCCAGGGAAATAGGAAAACTAATTTCATTTTGTCAGAGTTACTTTTCTTAATTTTTTGGCCCAAAATAATCTCAATACCAAGATAATGTGTTCAGCCTTAGCAGATCCTTGTTTATAATTATTCCCATAAATCATAACAATTCTGATGGTATTCTTATCTGAGCTGAATAATGAAACACTTTAGTTAGGATATATTTCTCAATGTACTCAACAAAATGTTGTGCTGAAAATGGGGACAAAACGTTCCAAATGATATATTGTCTTGTAAACAGAAAGTAAACGGTTACCTCAAATGAAATAATGTACGGCACAAGACAGAAGAAGCAGTTGAGTCCCTCCTTGATCTGCGTGGTCCGCGTGGCCAGCGTGTCCCTAGGGGGAGATGGACATGATCAATCTTCTGACCCAGGAATCCATTTCAACATGGCATTTAATCACGTCATTTAGAAAGTGGTCAAATGTAACAAATGTTATATAACAATTCCTTAGTAAAATACATCCAGGATTCAAACCCACACTCTCAGAGTATGTGATCTAGGCCACCAGGTGTCAGACTTCCATTTTTAAGGAGGCCTCGGTGGCTGAGTGGATTAGATTACTGCCTTTGTGTGCTGGCGATCAGGTGCCTCACTCTGGCAGTGTGGTTTCGAATTCCAGTTGGGACTCAACCCCAAAAAGTACTAGAATATGTACTATACTCAGGAAGTGTAATCCCAAATATAACATTTGTTACATCATACTAAGTAACAAATATTTCCATCTGGAATTGTTTATAACTCTAAATAAACACGTTCTGTTATGATTATTATATTTCCAAATAGGTCTACAGTCATGCCTCGCTTATACGGACTTCAGATATCCGGAAACCTCGGTTCCCGGACGATTTTCATTCAAAACGAAATAATTACTATATAAATTTACCCGTATATCCGGAAATTCAGTTTCCGGAACCGGACGGTCATTTTCATACACAAAACACTGAAATGCACACTTATCCGGACAATACACTTCCGCTGGTGGTAATCCTTTGATTCGTGAGAAGTCAATTAACCAAGTGACACTTAGTTACGTTTGAGACGAGCTTGTTTATTGTACATGTAATCCCATTCGATAAATATGGCGTCTGTGGAGGTCAGAGGTCAAAGTTGTGTAAGTATGGCCTGTCAACTCACAAGGAGGCTCGTGCTTGTATAGAGACCTTGATTACCTATTACGAGAACACAGGCGATCTGGACAATTTGGAATTATTGTTTAAAATTCAAACCTCAAAATGTGGTAAAGTTCCATGACAGACTTTTTGAAACGTGTATGAATAAAGATTGAATGGATGTATCTGTTTGCTCTGTCATCTGTCATGAGTTGCATAATTGAAGGGAAGTAACTCTTCCAGTAAGAAGCTGGTTTCAGTTATACGGAAATTCGTTTATACGGACGAATTGTGAAATGACACAAGTGTCCGTATAAACGAGGCATGACTGTAATACTACTCACACTCATACATTATTCGAAAATGTCAGAACATAATTACACTACTTCTGTATTATCAGTGTCATGTGTAGTAATACAAGGCTTATATGTATTGTTGCTCGGCAAGTCATCACAGCTGTCATACCTCCCCGTTAGTACTCACCAGACTCCTCCCACTCGGGAGTACTCCACTGGGTGCGGCAGCAGGCACGACACCACCACCTCGAAGTGAGTCTTCATCACCTCCTGCAGCCAGGTGCAGATGTACTGGAGGAGAGGGAATACCACTGGTTATAACACTTAGCATGGCAACAATGTACAACATCAGTGTGAGATCATTGTGAATACAAGATGGTCACTACTGTAAGTGGATCAGCAAATTGCATGTGCAACAATGCCATAGTAAATCATATGTAATGTTATAGAAAAAAGGTTGAAACGAAACACATTGTTACATGGGTGAAGAGAAAAATCAAAATAAGTTTACAACAGGACAATGTCATAAACATCCCTTGCAATGGTAAATACTTGTCGTGAATAAATATATGAAACTTGTCACCATGGAAACTCGAAACACATTTGTTGAAAAAATCACAAACAATCAAAAAGCACCTGTACACCACTTGACCTTGCCAAGTCTGGTGAAGAAATATTGTAGTTTTCAAGATCTGCTCCAGAAACAAGCACTACCACCATTTCAAGCCCAAGTCAAAGTTGTTGCCATGGAAACTCAAACAAATATATTTTTCAAAAAGCCCAAACTATCAAAAGTCACCAGTTCAACACTAAACCTACCAATGTACCAAGTTTGGTGAAGGAATATTGTAAAGTTTTCAAGATCTGCTCCAGAAATGACACCTTCCACAGACAGATGGACAGTGTCCATTTAATACCCCTGCAAAACGTGTTGCGGGGGATTAAAAACAAATGCTTATGATTACGAATTCATCCATTTATCAAGAAACATCTAATCCATAATCTTACCTCGGGCTTCAACCTTTCAAGCGCATTGCCCACATTGTCTGAAACATAAGGTACAGCATTAATCACCAACAAAATTATTGGCAAATCGTTCTATTGTACCGTTCATTACAAAGAACCTTTTACACATATAAATTAGTAAAGTGGGGATTCCTGGTCAAAAAACATCGACTGCAATCAATGCTAGTCGTTAAAGGCTACCAAATCAGTTGGCCAGTCTCTGATGCCGACAGCATGGATCTATGGGCGGCCGAACAAGCCGACTAAACTCGGAATGTTTTACAAGTTGCAGCGCCATCTGGCTTTCTTTATTGTCAACGTCCTTTAGCAGTTCAGTGTCCTTTCATGCGCACTGACGTTCTTTTGTAGACATTGTTCTTTCTTTACATATGACGTCTTTTCGTAACATTTTATTGTGTCAATGTTCTCACCATTAGGAAGGTAGGCGGTGGCATCGAACCACTGGAACATCATCCCCAGCAGACGCCCCAGCACCTCCTGAAACACAGCATCAGAGTCAAACATCCATCTTGCCAGCATCCAACACAGCCCATACATTGGTGACTTTGAACCAAGAAACATTTGGACCTTTAAAGAATTACTGCTTGCTGAGAAATCATAGATACACCAGTTATGATGGTTATTTATCCAACTTGATACATTTCCATGTTTTTTTTCTTTTAAAAATCCACTCACTGGCTTTAGCAATCTATAGAAACTGCCCCATCTTGGTTCATAACATGGGCGTAATTCTTTCAAGCCCATTCCCCTGTTCAGCTATTGCTTGGTGCATAGACTGCAGACCTAGCAAACTCACTATAGGTATCTCCACGTCCACCCCATCTTCTCACTATGGGTATCTACTCACTATGGGTATATCCTCATCTATCGTGAGCTACAGCGTCTACTCACTGTGGGCATCTACTCACTATGGGTATATCCTCATCTATCGTGAGCTACAGCGTCTACTCACTGTGGGCATCTACTCACTATGGGTATATCCTCATCTATCGTGAGCTACAGCGTCTTCTCACTGTGGGCATCTACTCACTATGGGTATCTCCATGTCCACCCCGAACTGCAGCGTCTACTCACTATGGGTATATCCTCATCTATCGTGAGCTACAGCGTCTACTCACTGTGGGCATCTACTCACTATGGGTATATCCTCATCTATCGTGAGCTACAGCGTCTTCTCACTGTGGGCATCTACTCACTATGGGTATCTCCATGTCCACCCCGAACTGCAGCGTCTACTCACTATGGGTATATCCTCATCTATCGTGAGCTACAGCGTCTACTCACTGTGGGCATCTACTCACTATGGGTATATCCTCATCTATCGTGAGCTACAGCGTCTTCTCACTGTGGGCATCTACTCACTATGGGTATCTCCATGTCCACCCCGAAACTGCAGCGTCTACTCACTATGGGTATATCCTCGTCCATCCCGAAATGCAGCGTCTACTCACTATGGGTATCTCCATGTCCACCCTGAACTGCAGCATCTACTCACTATGGGTATCTACTTACTATGGGTATATCCTCGTCCATCCCGAACTGCAGCGTCTACTCACTATGGGTATCTCCACGTCCACCCCGAACTGCAGCATCTACTCACTATGGGTATCTACTCACTATGGCATCTACTCACTATGGGTATATCCTCGTCCACCCCGAACTGCAGCATCTACTCACTATGGGTATCTCCACGTCCACCCTGAACTGCAGCATCTACTCACTATGGGTATATCCTCGTCCACCCCGAACTGCAGCATCTACTCACTATGGGTATCTCCATGTCCACCCCGAACTGCAGCATCTACTCACTATGGGTATCTACTCACTATGGCATCTACTCACTATGGGTATATCCTCGTCCACCCCGAACTGCAGCATCTACTCACTATGGGTATCTCCATGTCCACCCCGATCTGCAGCATCTACTCACTATGGGTATCTCCATGTCCACCCCGAACTGCAGCATCTACTCACTATGGGTATATCCTCGTCCACCCCGAACTGCAGCATCTACTCACTATGGGTATCTCCATGTCCACCCTGAACTGCAGCATCTACTCACTATGGGTATATCCTCGTCCACCCCGAACTGCAGCATCTACTCACTATGGGTATCTCCATGTCCACCCTGAACTGCAGCATCTACTCACTATGGGTATCTCCATGTCCACCCTGAACTGCAGCATCTACTCACTATGGGTATCTCCATGTCCACCCTGAACTGCATCTTCTACTCACTATGGGTATCTCCATGTCCACCCCGAACTGCAGCATCTACTCGCTATGGGTATCTCCACGTCCACCCCGAACTGCAGCGTCTACTCACTATGGGTATCTCCATGTCCACCCTGAACTGCAGCATCTACTCACTATGGGTATCTACTTACTATGGCATCTACTCACTATGGGTATATCCTCGTCCATCCCAAACTGCAGCGTCTACTCACTATGGGTATATCCTCGTCCACCCTGAACTGCAGCATCTACTCACTATGGGTATATCCACGTCCATCCCGAACTGGAGCATCTACTCACTATGGGTATATCCTCGTCCACCCTGAACTGCAGCATCTACTCACTATGGGTATATCCACGTCCATCCCGAACTGGAGCATCTACTCACTATGGGTATATCCTCGTCCACCCTGAACTGCAGCATCTACTCACTATGGGTATCTCCACGTCCTCCCCGAACTGCAGCGTCTACTCGCTATGGGTATCTACTCACTATGGCATCTACTCACCATTGGTATATCCTCATCCTCCCTGAACTGCAGCATCTACTCACTATGGCATCTACTCACTATTTGCATCTACTCACTATAGGTATATCCTCGTCTATCATGAACTGCAGCATCTACTCACTATGGGTATATCGTCTATCATGAACTGCAGCATCTACTCACTATGGGCATCTACTCACTATAGGGATATCCTCATCTATCATGAACAGCAGCGTCTACTTACTATGGGTATATCCTCGTCCTCCCGGGGTTTACACAGCTCCACCTGGAGCCAGATGCCGTACCGACTCAGCAACTTCCGCTCCCCACCCTCCTCCACCTCAAAGTCCTCCTCCTCTTCGGTGGGGCGACGATGTTCCTCGCCCATCTCAACCATACGCTTCGACTCGATAGGCTGGGCCTCTTTCAACAGACTGGGGGAATTTGGGCCTTTATTAGATGTAGTTGTGATGCATATGAACCTTAGGGTAGTGATGAGGCACCCTAAGGGTGGATTCTGTACGTATTGTAACATTAACATAGCAAAAACGTCCTGACCATCATGACCCGCCTGACTGTGACCCATATACAGCCTACTGAGCATGCTTAGTGAACTCAAACACGAAGCTGACATACCTTAATAAGAAGAGATACTGTAAAAACAGGCCTTAAACCCTCAAACACATACCCTTGGAAATACCTGGGAAATATGAGTAAATACCTGGGTCCCGTTTTACAAAGATGACTGCATCTTCCCGGGGCAAGTCCAGTTTCCACCCTTGCCGAACTTGGCTACTGAGTTACATTTTGGCTGGACAAACGAGTTTATGCATAGCCCAATCAAAATCACATAAGGAACTAGACATCCGGTTTGTAAACAAGAAGAATTTCAACATGCAGATTTTGGTCGACTGCAGGATTCCACGTATTCCACCAACAGATAGTTTGCAAATATTTTCATGTTTATAATTAAGGTGCTCAAGTGATTTGAAGCACTTCGCAGAGTAAGACCCATTTTATTACAATATAGATCTTGATTATCGATCAAATAGTTTTTGACTGGGTGCTGCCATTTTGTTTGAAGCAAATTCAAGTGATATGAGTGATGGAATATGTTTGGACATAGAAGGGACATAACTCATAATAGCCACTGGTGGCGCTACGATCAGCCTCGAAATTCCAGCCTAGTTCCACAAGGGTGGAAACTGGACTTTCAAAGTCAGTTAATGCCCTCGCCTCAGGAAGATGTATGACTGTCATAAGTCTATGTTTAAGTATCTATAGTGTTAGCACTAAGATCACATTGTGAAGGGGGCCCAGGCATGTCTGATTTCAGGATGCATGCTTCGACCGAGGATTATTCAAGCAGACCAAAATGCTCCTACCTCACGATGGCGTCCATCAGGTACCTCTGTATCTCTGGCAGACAGGACCAAATGTCAGGGATGCTCAAGTGGAACACGTGACTCTGACCTCCCTGGTTGCTATGGCGAAACTCATGACACGCTCGGCAGTATCTGATTGGCCGGTTTCCATTGAAGCTGGCACACTCAATAGAGAAGCAGGTGCACACGGCCAGGTTCACCTCAGATCGGCAGTTCTGAAGGAGATGTGAGCTTGTTATTCACCTCCTTCTCAAGAGGAGTTTCCGTTATAATGACAACAATGTACCAGCATTATTCATAGGCCTTCAAAAAGGTATAGAACTTGTAGCAAGCTTGTAAAAATTAGAAATTAAAGAAATATTTAACTGTTACTAATTTTTTTTAAATATATCTCCTTACATAAAGTAATCCAAGCTATGAATTATTTTAATGTTTCATCATGATAGGAAAAACACTATATTTCTGGGAAAAATAATATATATCCTTAAGATTGAGGCACTGAGTGAGTCAGTTGGACAAGGATTGGCTTCACAAATACCCAATTTAGGAGCTAACACCTCTTAATCTGAGGCACTGGACCACCTCCTTGGTCTAGTGGATAGAGCAAAAGGTTGGAGGTTTGATTTCAGGCTCTGTCCCACCAAATTCGGTGGATCACGATTTTTTACTTACAATCACAATTACACACTTAGTAATGTGAACCCAAACACTAATTACACATGAAAATGAGTAGTGAAAACGTAAATATTTCAAATCCATTGCGCCATACTTGACACTGCCAACTGTGAATCAATAGTGTGCTAGGTATTTGGCCATCCTGTCTATGACAAAGATGGCTTAGGGACCACAGATAAGAGCACATGCATGTATCTTGATAAGTATCGTATCGTGAGCAAGGTATCGTGATGCGTATCGGATCACACAGTTGGTGTATCGTCCCAGCCCTAGTGTACCTTATTCTCGCAGATGGTGGACACGTGTGTCATGGGGAGGAGGAGGTCGACCATGTACTCGCTATGCTCTCTCCTCAACACCTCCGCACAGTCACTGCAGATGTACAGGGGCGGCGGCGTGTTGCCAGACTGGATTGCCAGCGCCGGGTTGATGCACATCTGAAGCAAAACAAACATTATTCTCTTTCAAAGGAAGCCATACAAAAAAACTGTTGAATAGATCAAGTATGTTCAGCTTATTTCAGTCTGAAGCTCATAATGCTTTTCATCCAGGAAAGCTCTTTCAACAGTGAGTGAATGAGTGTTGTTAAACATTGCAGACATAGCATGAGTCTTAGTCAGGCAAGCCAGTGGTTGATAGCACGAGTCTTAGTCAGGCAAACCAGTGGTTGATAGCATGAGTCTTAGGCAAACCAATGGTCGATAGAATGAGTCTTAGCCTGTCAAACCAATGGTTCAGAACTAGGGCAAAGATTGACAGTTTAAGTATAAAATGACTAACAATCTGCCAGGTCATTGATTATTACCACCCTATATTCATTAGTTGCCTGTAATTACGCCCCAGAATCCAATTTGGGTCACCTGAACAAAGATCAGTCCCTTCAAAAGACAAGCATCAGTTATTCTGTGCACACTCTAAAACAACCAGGGACACAGGTGACCTGGAGTTGCGTCCCTTTGGCATGCCAGAAACCTGGTTTGAATCCAGGTTTGTCCTGATTATATTTCTCGGTTTGTCAGCACCACAGCCGTGCTCGTTGATTTCACCAAAGTAAACGTCTGTGGCCTGCATCACTTCAGGCTTTCATCCAACTGACACGCTGTGATATAACTAGAATACTGTCCATTGTGACATCAAACCATCAATGTTACACGCTTGACGGTAATAACTGAATTACTGTTCAAAGCAGCATTAAACCAAATTCACTCATTCACTCTAAATAATAAGTGACATTATTACAATGTCAAACCAACCTTGACAGCTTGACAGTTTTTAGAATTCACACAGTCCTTTCTCTGGCAAAGAACTGGGGGCCAAGCTGAAATAAATATTTATTTAAAATTACGCACTTTTTGTTATTATGTTTTCATGTTTTAGTTTTTAGCAAACATAATAAACATCCATTCTTAGGTCAGGTTTTGATTTATCAACTGATATTGTTTGAATAATACAATTATGTTATCAGGATGTTATTTTTATATCTAAAATATATGGTGCAATATGCTGCGGACTGACATATGCTCACAACTATGATATTAATATTTTTATTGTTACCATCAAAGAAAAGGCAAATTACATACTTGCATCTAAAGTGTTTTGAAACTGATAATTATATATATATTTGATGGTCCAATACATTTCAAGTTCAAAAAGTTTTATTCTAGTCTTTAAACACTGGATAAGATTGTACCTCATACTATGATCTACATTTACACATGAACACACACACAATGTAGGTACTTTACCTGTGAATTCCATTCCTTTGCATGCATTTGAACATGACATAGATATTAGCAAAAATAACTTTACATGTATATCATCAATAAAGCTAATCACACTGACAATCAACTGTTTTAATTTTTAACATAACAGTTAATTAGGAGATAAACCTCCCATGTTTTCAATGGTTAACTGTAGATTTAAATGTTTTACCACACATACTAGGAATATTGTGATAACGGCATATCTGCATTTTACAATTGTAATCCCTACATGTAATCCCGATAATTACTTCAATACGCCCACTGGCTATGACTGGAAAAGCCAGCTTCCGTGGTGATGTGGCCGTCAAATCGGTCATTTCAATCAGAGGTGGTTATTTTGATTTGATACCTCTGATTGACCAATCAGAAACAAGTAATTCATGGTGAAATGTTTCTTGACCCCATGATTTATTCAAGCTGTTGCAATGATGCTTCTTCAATGCTGCACCAGATATTTAGCTATTTTTTGCATCATGATGATCAACATGTTTCACAAATGTTAACCTATGCAACATTGTATTGGCTTAACAATCAACAATAGCAACCTGTGTAACATTGTCCATATTTAGCCATAATACTGTCAACAGCTACAAAACAGGGTTTCATATGACACAGGAATCATCAGTCCGACCAATGAAAGCCGGAGAAAACCGGTGAGACCAACCAGATGGTGGAACAGTTTTACTGGAAACAAGCACTGTAAATCACACAGACTGCAACAAACCAAGGGCGCACACATTCAGTTTGTTGTGGTCACCATTGAAAATGGGTGGGTGTAAACATTACCCATGCACACTTTATGGGGATTAAGTGTTGTTTGGAATTTGTGTGGCTGTTTATAGGTGATTTCAGTGTATGCATATTTTACTGGCACAACTCCAGTCTTCAATACATATTCAACCCTAGCGTATTTCTAGCATGACTCTACCCCGCCTACCACAGTACTTGTAGTGGATCCCCCTGCGGTCACTGAGGGAGGGGTTGAGCTGTGGCCAGTAGTAAAACAGCAGGTGGGCGGCGGGGGCCCGGGCAGCAGGTGGACCGTAGGCGATGATGCTCAGAACGTCCTACACAGAACAAGACATCTCAATGTAATACATGTTTTGTTTTAACTACAATTTTCTACATTTTTTTTTATTATTCATCAATCTAACGACCCCATTGGTAACTGGGAACAATAAGTCCAAGCTTGTAAGAGGCTGTCAAAGACTTGGTTGATAGCATGTATCGTATCCTGAGAGCGTAGGAAGTGTTCATAACATAACCAACTCATTCGATTGGCCCAGATTTCATTACCTGCAGGCTGCTATGATACTGCCAGAATACGGAAGACTACAGTGTAAAAAAACAGCAAACAAATAAAAGGGCAGTCTGAGGTCTTTAAAGTTCCTTGAAGACACTAAAATAACATAATGTTTAACATTCGGATTACGACAAGGACTCTTTCAACATTTATTTTATAAATTGATCATTCTTGCCAAACTTATCATGCTTACAAGCAGTGAATAATATCAAACATGTACTGGAATGAAATTAGCAATCAACAGCAAATTCTAAATGTAAAACAAAATGTCAGTTTATGAATTCAACTGATTCTAAGACCACATTCCTCCTAGTGCCAAGGGCCTCCATCTATACAACTCCTAACAGAAGCCTATTGGACAGGTGTGTAGAATGATGCCCACCTTGACGATGTCCTTCTTCATGCTCATGAGACACTCCAGGATCTGGGAGTGGAAGGCTGAAATACAACAATGAACACAATCTCATTAAAATCAGATCTTAGTTCTCGCTACCACTAAACAAAGATCTTAGGACATTCCATTACGGGTCACGTCAGAACGACCTTTCATCTGATCAGTCAGAGCATTGCTTAACAGATCAGGAAAGTGACAGTCGGAATGTGTTTTCTAATCGTGCAACCTCGAAAACTTTAACACAAGGTATTCGGAACAACAGTTAAAGGCTTCAAAACTGAATCCATACTATCTAGACCATCTATTGAATGTTCTTTTGTTCAGTTTTCACATTTTAAATCGAGAATTTGTCAAAATATGTTTCGAAGCAAAGTCACCAGTTTGACACTTGTGTGGTAAAGCACGAGAAAGCTGCTAATGTTGACTTCTTGTCAGTCATTCTACAGGTCGGTCAAAAAGGTCATTCTGAGGTGACCTGTAATGGGATGTTGTCAGGTCTTTGTTTGGAGGTAGCAGGAACTAAGATCTGATTTTAATGAGATTGGAATGAGCATGGATACAGGAGGGTCACAGCATGACAGCCCAATCGAAGGCAGGTTGTGGAGTTAACTAGGGCTGGGATGAGTCCAAATTTACTACCCAGGTATCCAACTCCCTATTACCCGACTCTACCTGGGTACCCGCTGTAGGTTTCAAGACCTGGGTACAAAATGTTCGATTGCTAATTGTTTTACCACAGCTCTGGCAAAAAGTATTTAGATACACGTATTAAATGATCTGGTCATGCATGTAGAGAAGTTGACTGAAGCTTCATCTTTACTGAAACATATAATAATAAGAAGGATTGTGTGAACAGTCAGAAAGAAATGAGAACATTAGTGACTTGTAGTGCAATCATGGTGTTAAAGTGACAAAACACGGGTCCGGGTAGGCCAGTGGGTACCCGGGTCCTTCTCATTACCCAGCTGACAAAAGTACCCAAGTTACCCGTCCAGCCCTAGAGCTTACCACTTTGGTGAAACCAATAATAATAGTACTGACAAACCAAGGGTCATAATTAGGTTAAATCTGTCGATCAAACCCATACCTTGCAGTTCCTGGCACAACTAAGCGATGCAACTCTGCACATTGAATTCAGATACCAGGTCCACTAATGCCACTGAGAGTCACAGAAGTGACAATAAAATAAAATTAAATAAAATATTTGATGCAATTACTAACTGGAATTAATACTATAAAAGGACAGATTTCTAATTTCTTGGTTCAAGTTTCATCTTGTGAAAATCTTTGTAAGATGGTGAAGAAAAAAAATACAAAAACATTTCAAATGAAGTTTTTGATTCTTGGTCAAAATCACCTTGCAGATTGTATGCAGTGGACATGTAAATTTGTGTGTCACAAATAATAAAAATATTGCTTTTCCTATTGCCTTTTTTCACATTTAATTTTTTATGGTTGCAGAATTGGTAAACAAGTTAAAAAGGAGCCTCTACTAAGAGCTGTAACTGCAACCTACCCCCATTCTCAGTATGCTGAAACACCATGGTAATGATGGCCGCTGCAGACTCGCTGGCGTAGGTCGGCTCAATGCATCCGTCATAGCCGAGGGTCATCGGCAGCAGCCTGGTACAGAGCAGGTCGATGGTGTCCTTGTGGAGGGTGGCGGGGAAGATGGCCAGGGTGGACGCGACGGTGTAGGGCAGCGAGTCCAGCAGGTCGTGCTCCAGGAAGGGCACCAGCCACCCCAGCACATTCAGCACTGCCTCGCCCACATTCAGAGCTGCACACAGACAGAAATCATAGCATTGTGTGGTCTGAAAATGTTACAATTCTATCACTTCCAAATGTCGTGGCACAATCTACAGGATTCAGCAGAACAGATTTGGAAAAGAATCCCCTTCTACATACCAAAAACATGTTATGTTTATTTAGATTTAAAATTCAGTGCCCATTACAAGCATATCAGGGGAAAAACATGGCATTTTGGAGTGAAAAATGTACAACTAAATATATTGTCATTTGCGTATTTTCAGTGAAATTCAAGTTACCAGTGTATAGCAAAAAGATCAGTCTCAACTTCATGGACCATTACACATCTTCCTGAGGCAAGGGAGTTAACTAGCTCTAAAAGTCCAATTTCAAGCCTTGCCTAACTAGGCTGGAATTTCTGGGTTCAATCGTAGCGCCACCAGTGGCTATGAAGAGTTATGTCCCTTCTGTGTCCCTCCTATTGACCAGATTCCACCTCTCATATCACTTGCATTTGCTTTAAATAAAATGCTCTAAATAAAATAAAATGGGTTTACTTCACGAAGTGCATCAAATCACATGAGCACTTTGATTGAAAACATGAAACTATTTGCAAAATATCTGTTGACGCTAAGTTGACGGTACACATGCTTTGCAAATCCTGCAATCAACCAAACTCTACATGGCAGTTTACGAACCAGATGTCGATTTTGTTACACAATTATGATTGGACTATACATACACTCGTTAGTCAGGCCAAAATATAACTCCTTAAATCTAGGGTGGAAACTGGACTGTTATAGTCAGTTACCGCCCTTGCCTCAGGAAGATAGGCTAGACAAATCCCGGAGTCAAAGTAACACTAACATGTGCAATCACTTTACAAAGACAGTATACACACTAAACTGTGGGCCCCGGATTGGGTGGTCAGGCTCACTGACTTGGTTGATGCATGTCATCAATCCCAATGATGTGAATCACTGGATTGTCTGGTCCAGACTCGATTATTTACAGACCTCCGTCATATAGCTGGAATATTGCTGTGTGCGGCGTTAAACAACAAACAAACAAGTTGAGTGAGTGAGTGAGTTTGGTTTTACGCCGCTTTTAGCAATATTCCAGCAATATCACGGCAGGGGACACTAGAAATGGGCTTCACACAGTGTACCCATGAGGGGATTCGAACCTGGGTCTTCGGCGTGACAAGGGAACGCTTTAACCACTAGGCTACCAGACCAACCCCCAAACAAACAAAACTAAACTGTGACATAACAATTGTGTGGAGCAATTACATTCAATATCAGAAAAGTCATCAAAACCATTTGAGTATGTACACACAATAAAATATGGATTTAATAGAACATGGAAAATAAACACTGTCAATAAAACGAAATTGTGTAATTCAACCCTCATAAAGATCACAAAACACATCACATCCCACCTTGTGTTGGTTCCATCTGCGACATCGGGAACAGGTCGATGATGTTGAGAACGGAGTGGTAGAGACCGCAGTAGTTGAGGTTGGGGAACACAGAGAGACGTACACTGTCACGTTGTCTGGGCCCATAGCTCTCCGCCGGAATATTGGGGACATCCTTCAACACACTGACAAAAGAAAATGGAGTTGTTGAAATACTGAACAATTTGTTGAGATTGTTTCCTCTCGTCCATCGTATAAACCTCCAGTGACGTCATGACAATGAAGTTTTTATAACTTTGAAAAAACCCTAGCTATGTCATTCTTAGCTGGGACTTTCTACAGAATATCCTTCTGACCAAGAAATATTCTTGTTGGTATTGCCTGCATTTAGACATCAGTTGGATAAAACACTTCTAGATTTTGGTTGAACATGTAAACACCAAGACTATTACATTCCAATGAGTTTACCCTTTCAACAAAAGCGTGAAGGCGTGTGCTACCCTTTACTTCACATGATATATAATATAGGGATTATCATGATTATAAGGATGCCTTTATGATGTCAAGTAATATGATAGAAGAAGTACTGATACAGCGTTCCTTTGACATTCAGACAATGAGGGCGATGACCTTTCAATATCATCTGACTTAAATCATGTCTGCAGTGATTTCAACAATCCATATACATTTGCCTTGTATATTCAGAACTAGTGTAATTTTATATCAAATATGTCATGACATGTCAATATATTTTCTCAAGGACACAAAGACCATCAAAGTACACATTAAAAAGTATTATGGAAATATTTTACGTCCTAGTTCCAAAACCATTTGCCTGTTTCCATGATTGGCATGATGACTACACTCAATATGTTGAATGAAACTGTATCCTGTTGAATGTAACTGTATTCTGTTGAATGTACCTGTATTCTGTTGAATGTAACTGGATCCTGTTGAATGTAACTGTATTCTGTTGAATGTAACTGTATCCTGTTGAATGTAACTGTATCCTGTTGAATGTAACTGTATTCTGTTGAATGTAACTGTATCCTGTTGAATGTAACTGTATTCTGTTGAATGTAACTGTATTCTGTTGGATGTAACTGTATTCTGTTGAATGTAACTGTATCCTGTTGAATGTAACTGTATCCTGTTGAATGTAACTGTTTTCTGTTGAATGTAACTGTATTCTGTTGAATGTAACTGGATTCTGTTGAATGTAACTGTATCCTGTTGAATGTAACTGGATTCTGTTGAATGTAACTGTATCCTGTTGAATGTAACTGTATTCTGTTGAATGTAACTGTATCCTCCTGAATGTAACTGTATTCTGTTGAATGTAACTATTCTGTTGAATGTAACTGGATCCTGTTGAATGTAACTGTATTCTGTTGAATGTAACTGTATTCTGTTGGATGTAACTGTATTCTGTTGAATGTAACTGTATCCTGTTGAATGTAACTGGATCCTGTTGAATGTAACTGTTTTCTGTTGAATGTAACTGTATTCTGTTGAATGTAACTGGATTCTGTTGAATGTAACTGTATCCTGTTGAATGTAACTGTATCCTGTTGAATGTAACTGTATCCTGTTGAATGTAACTGTATTCTGTTGGATGTATCTGTATCCTGTTGGATGTAACTGTATTCTGTTGAATGTAACTGTATCCTGTTGAATGTAACTGTTTTCTGTTGAATGTGACTGTATCCTGTTGAATGTAACTGTATCCTGTTGAATGTAACTGGATTCTGTTGAATGTAACTGGATTCTGTTGAATGTAACTGTATTCTGTTGGATGTAACTGTATTCTGTTCAATGAAACTGTTTCCTGCTGAATGTAACTGTATTCTGTTGAATGTAACTGTATTCTGTTGAATGTAACTGTATCATGTTGAATGTAACTGTATTCTGTTGAATGTAACTGGATTCTGTTGAATATAACTGTATCCTGTTGAATGTAACTGGATTCTGTTGAATGTAACTGTATCCTGTTGAATGTAACTGTATCCTGTTGAATGTAATAGATCGGAAAACAACAAAGTTTCACTGACATCGTCAGTGTGCATTTGGAACGCTGTTGTGGGCTGGTGCAATAACAGGACCACACCGAACGTTACTGTACGAGGGAACTGTAGCTTTGAGTAACTATCAGCAACCAGAAAACATGGTAATCACGGTAAATATTGGATAGTAAGGCCACACATTTTTAATTTTTCGTTTCACAGGCCAGCCGATCCTCCTGAAAAGCATTGTTATGTCTCCCGCTGGTAACATAGACCCTCTCATGAAATATAAAATGTAATATATCAATGCCATGTCTACATCACTATCAGTGATTCAAGAAGCCAGCTGCAATTTTAACTCATCGGCAGTATGATTATCATATAAAATACATAAATGATTGACATAGTTGTTTATTTTTATTTCGACCAACCTTGTGCGGAAAAGCTTGTATAAATCCATGAAACATAAAATTAAAAAGGCCTAAAAGCAGAAGTTAACCATAGCTAATATTTCTCACCTAAGCTGCCAGGCAAAAGAAAAAATACACTTGAAAATTGGATTTGAGTAAAGAAATTACAAACGTTAAGAAATGCTACTAGATGAAACAGTGCAGACTTAAGCCAAGGTCTAAAACACAACCATGATATCTGCATCAAGTACATCACCATCAACATGATCAAATAACCATGTTTTGTTTGTTTCATTTCTAGCCACCATCACACATTAGTATACTTTCTTCTGTCAGGCAGTGTACACTGACTTACAAAGTGCAGTGCTAACAACCTCAGAACATCAGACACATATACACGATATAGGGAGCTTATTTTTATTGTGCTGGTGATACTATCAGTGCATTTCCATAAGAAAACTGACTAAATGCATGTCGTATATGCATACTTCAAGTGAAGAATTATACAAACTGTGCACAAGAAAAAGCCAATTTACTGACTTGAGCAGGGTGGTGGAGAAGTATTTGAGGGTGTTGGCAATGTCTGATCCTGTGGGGAGGGGTGTCAGGTTGTTGGTGATCCGGTAGTGGTAATCCTTCAGGTTCCGAATCTTGGATGTGACTGCAAATAAAATATACATGTTTAAAACAAATCTTTTGACCAATATTTCAATGTTGATATTTGTGTGTCCTATCTGACCTATCATGTCACTTGTGACCACCATTTGTGTTATCATATCAGGTAGTTGTTGGGAAATCAGTTGTAGGTATTCGTATTGATGGACACGAAAGGTCAGCCTGTGCTGAAATAGTACTGAGCATCTTCCCGAGGCAAGGGTGTTAACTGACTATAAAAGGCAAACCCTTGCCGATTGGGAACATTTTTAGCATAGCCCTGGCAAAATGTACTTAGATACATGTATTAAACAATCTGGTCATTCATACACCCAAGCTGAATTAAGTTATATCTTTATTCAGCAATATGAAAAATCAGAAGGAACTGGAGCTTAGTCAGAAAGAAATGCGAACATTTGTGACTTGTAGTGTAACCATATAGTTCTTGATAATTTTTGTCATTAAACAATATATCACATGACTAAACACGGGTCCGGGTAGTCCTGTGGGTACCCGGGTCCTACTCAGTACCCACCCGATCCGGGGAACGAGTTACCCGTCCCAGCCCTACTAGACCGCAATTATGAAGTTATTGTTTGGCTGGACTAACGAGTCTATGCATAGTCCAATCCAAATCGCGTAAAGAAATTGACGTCCGGTTCATAAACTGTCATACAGATTTAAATCAATTACAGGATTTGTAAAACATGTGTACCGACGCTTTCAACAGACATTTTCAAATCTTTCCATGTTTTTAAAGAAGGTGCTCACATGATTTGGCACAAATTTACAACATTTCAAACATGGTAGGGGTCATGTGGTTGCAAATTCATTTTTTACCCCAGTCTCCATTGAACCAATATATTTTTACACAAAATTACCCAGCCACAGATTACTTTTCACAAACTGTTGCAGGAATGAGTGATGGTTAAATAGACATTATCAAATTTAACAACAGTTCTTTCAATTTTCAATTGCCCTTTATGTTTTTTAAAGATTAGTTTTAATCTGCTGCTGTGATGCACTGCCTGAATGGGTTAATAAAACCACGCTGACATTCAGTGCTGCTTCAGAGTGTGCCAGCATTTGGTCCAATTCTGGTCAATGTTCTCAAGGACCAGAGGAATTAACTGAGTGGTAAACTGGGCATGATGGAGGCTTTGTCAAATTTGGGGGCAGCAATGTTGATTAATTCTCTAACTGGACACAGAAAACTGTGGCACACTTAAAGCACAATCATCAACCAAAACAACTGTGGACATATTTGGTTTTTTTTTCTATCATGTTCATCACGTTCATAGATATTAATCATGTCAATTATTATTGACACATTTTGGTCAGGGCCACAAGAGATGGTCTGCATATGCATAAGCACTCCTGTGCTCTATTCTTACATATTGCTTATATTGCCACGACCAACAATTTGATACTTATTATTTATTATCATTAATACCATATTTGTGGCACTAAGTGCCCAGCTGCAATAAACGCCACCTACCAAATTCTTGGCCAGTCTGAAAGTAATCTTTATAGCGTGCTGTACTAAGACCAAACATTTACACGAAAATCCATCTATGTTCTTCCGTAAATGTATGTATGTATGTATGTATGTATGTATGTATGTATGTATGTATGTATGTATGTATGTATGTATGTATGTATGTATGTATGTATGTATGTATGTATGCCACTGGATTGTCTGGTCCAGACTTGATTATTTACAGACCGCCGTCATATAGCTGGAACATTGCTGAGTGTGGTTTAACAACGAACAAACAAAAACATTTTTGGTATATTTGAGATTATTAACAGGACACAAGCTTAAAAAGGGTATTGTAATCGTGACTGATCAGCTGCATGATATATACTACAATCTATGAAAAACAATTTAAGACATGTTGCGTACGGTTTTAATAAGCACCCCATTTGTCAGTTTTCTAAGCAGCCTAGCCATTATTGTATTACCGTATTCGACGTAATAAGCGCCCCGCTCTAATAAGCGCCCATGGTGATATTTGCTGATATATAGGCTAGTGAACAAACCCAATTAGCACCCCTTCCGATTGATCAATGTACACAAGACTTAATTATTCGCGTATAATACGCACAAGTGTGTTATATGCACCCTTAATTATGGGCAAATAAATTCTGGAAAAATATATCTGTTGTATATAAACATTTCAGGCTGTCAGCATAAACCACAAAATTTATCTTTTAACTCTGTTTATTTCTAATTTTGAGAGCGCCATTGGCGCTTATTACGTCGAATACGGTATTACGGCAAATACGGTACTAAAATGATTATCATCACACAAATCATTAGAGGTACCAAATACAGTTGTCTATGCATCTAACACGTCACTTACATGTAGCGGCTCTGGTCGCCATCTCGAACACAGCTCAGCGAAGTAAACAAATGTATTGATGCCGGGCCGTTATCGCAGACTCAACAGGCTTCGGCGAATCGCAATGGCTACTGTGCAGCAATAATTGCAGGTCTCCGCTTCTAGTTGAATTGTGGTCGTTTCAGATGCATCTGGCGCATGTCACCTTCCTGGCAAAGAGTTCTCCATGCATCGCGGATCTTGTTGTAACGTTTTACATGTTTGCTTCGTCTGTACAACAATTTCTGCTACAGATGTCAGTGGCCATTTTTCTTGCAGAACAGTCCATTCTCGCGTCACAGAGATGAAAAGCTCTGTTGATTGAGATAATGGGTGATTATCAGTATTGTGTGGCATCGGAAACGCTGTCACATTATTTATACGACAAGTTTACGAATAAGCATTTTATGGAAATGTTCTCTATGTGATTAATAAATATGCATCACTCTGAAGGATAAAAATATCTATACCTACGGTGCCAAAATAGAATCGTCCGATAATACCAATCGTCCTGACGCGCGGCTAGGATCAATATCGCTCCTCGCAGCGTTATCTCTATTTCTACAATCTCAGTAGTATGCCGTGATCGTAGTGAAAGCAGCACGCGTTGGTATGGAGCTTTGAATCAATAGCAGCACTGTTGGCCTTTATCTAAACAATTTGAGTGTAGGGACTGGTATGGCAAGCGGTAATTTGAGAAAACTTTCATCGGCACCTTTCATGATATTTAATACCATATTTTATATTCGTACTGTAATACGTTTCTTGCTTTATCGAGCTATCCATTTAACAGCTTTAACAAAGGTACTAAGCTATATGCATCCCTTTACATTACATTTTATTGTAATTTCCTCCCAATTCATAGGAATGATAATGCTTTGTTTTATATGTTTGTTTGAGTGAGTGAGTGAGTGAGTGAGTGAGTTGGGTTTAACTCCGCTTTTAACAGTATTCCAGTTATATCACGGCGTGTCAGCTTAATGTGGGAGGAAAGCCCAAAGTGATGCAGGTCTCAGACGTTTACCACTTCGGTGAAACCCACGAGCACGGGTATGGTGCTGACAAATCTAGAAACATAATCGGGGCGAACCGTGATTCGAACCCACAATCATAGGTTTCTGGCGAGCGCAAGGGACGCAACTCTTCACAGCGAATCGCAGCGCCTTAGATGACTGGGCCACCCGTGCCCCCATATGTTTGTTTGAATCTTGATTCAGTGATTCGGGTTAGAATTGGTTTTAAGTAATTCATGCTTGTCGTTAGAGGCGACTATCAAGATCTGGTGGTCAGGCTTGGCGTCATCGTAACCCAATTTATTAAATCGATGCTCATGATGTTAATCACTGGAGTGTCTGGTACAGACTCGATTGTATACAAGCCCTCGTCATATAGCTGGAATACAATCTTGATCTTAGTTCTTGCTATCGCTAAACAAAGATCTTTGTTCAGCGGCAGCGAGCACTTAGATCTGATTTTAATGAGATTGCTGTCCAGATAGTTTAAACTGACTTTATTTCACCTTATCCTTTTACGTTAAATCAAATTGAAAGTTGCGAAAGTGGTGGGTGCATCACACTCACGGGGACCCTCGATCTTTTAATCTAGTCGTACATTGTAAATGGATATAGCTCGATTATATAATGTCTGTAGAAGCTCTATGCATAAATTATATAGAAAGCAAACCGAATTTGATGCGTGTTACTATCTTGTTTGGTTTAATAAAGTGTTTGTAAACATCTCTCGCTCTCATGAGATTGCTTCAGTTCTGCCTCGTAGTTGCAAAATGAATGACGTCTCGCGGTTTTAAAGAATGAAAAAAGTAGTCCCGGTGTGACAGAGGCCACGGTTATCCAATCAAAACGAATAAAACAAGGTCAACCGACACACGTGTGACGTGCGGATTTAGTATCTTACCACCTGTATCTTCACCACGTGGGAAACAACAACAATGAAAATGCATCACAATGCTTAGCAGACCATTGTGAAGTCATTGTTACCATGACGTCACAATCAAATGACATCACTAATCGCTCTGCTACTGAAGCGGTTAGCAGTGGTTGGGTGGTTTGTTGTTTAACGCCGCACTCAGCAATATTCCAGCTATATGACGGCGGTCTGTAAAATAATCGAGTCTGGACCAGACAATCCAGTGATTGATATCATGAGCATCGATCCACGCAATTGGGATCGATGGCATGCATCAACCAAGTCAGCCAGCCTGACCACCCGATCCCGTTAGTCGCCTTTTACGACAAGCACAGTCATCTTTTACGGCAAGCATTGGTTGCTGAAGACCTATTCTACCCCGGAATCTTCACGGGTCCCTCGTCATACGAGGTATGCCGTTAGCAGTACTTTTTACACTTAGACACTGCTTATTACTGTCTGCAAAATGAAACAGTTGGAAGAATGATGTTGGATGATAAATAAAATCTCACCCTCGTGTCTTTTCATATCAAATATATCAACACTCGTTGATATATTTGATATCAAAGAACACTCGGGTGAAATTCTCTATATAACAAATGGGATTGTAAAATACACATGGGAAGAAAAACATATTTACTGGAAAATAGTTAAAAGGAAATCATAGGAGAGAATCATTTATTGTATTTGCATGTGGGGCCCGACCAGGGTGCTGTTGTATCAGTGCTACGATGATCGTACGTCTATGTTAAAGTATGGGAGTTGCGATCACCTTAGTGCTAAGATCCCTTTGTACAGCGGCACCTAGTTCCGAAGAAGCTTTCAGAAATTGCTATATGATTCATCTTTTCTCAAATCATTCGGAGGCAAGTTCAGATTCTGGTGGCCTCCTAAGCAAATGAATTTATACCGAAGTTGTTACCGGAGAAACCAGAAATGGGCTTCACACATTGTAACCAGGGTCTTCGGCGTGACGAGCAAACGCTTTAACCACTAGGCTACCCGACCGCCGACAGATACCATATCTTACCCTTCCTACTCAGGTATTGGCCCATGGGTTTAAGAACTGCGAGTTGGAGATTTACATTACTTGTGCCTTGCTTCTCTGGGTTACCCTTCCTTTGATTGTTCTCAAACAATCGTGCATTTCTAAATTGTGACGTCATAGACTGGATGACGTCCGTTCTCAACAATACTGAGAGTTGTTTCAATAACCAAAGAAAAACGCCCCATCCAGTGTGAACTGATTCACTGATGCGGCGTAATATTCGCACTAGGAAACCACAATTCCCTCAAGCAGGACAGTGATATTAAATGCCGGACCCATATACATAAATAGGCATGCTTCTTGGGCCTGTGTGCAAAACCTGTTTCATTTCAGTCCGGTAAACAACTGAGACAATCCAGGGGAGGTAACTCTCACCACTAAAAGGAAATATTAACGACTGTAATAACATCGTGCCGAAATTTGCTTTGTTTGGGAATCGCATCCTGCAACCACACCGGCAATATGTCTAAGATCTATTTTGTCAACATCTCAGTGACCCCGCTCAAGGAAGGGATGGACATGGTGCTATTTGTGTCAAAACTCGCAGGATTAGTGCAAAATTACTCCAACCACACGAAGATTCTTCACAAGTTCAAAGTAGGCTTTGTGCTTTTACAACACGTATCAGTTGTTTATTATATGTTCCCCACACTGTTCTTAGGGCTTGCTTAGACTAAATTCACGTCTGTGGGTTGAAAAGTCCAAACTGATTTGTAAGTAAGAATAATGGAATGGTAGATCGATTTGCATATATAGGGCCTATGACCACGGATGTAGGTTGATAAACATGTCAATAAAAGATTTGAACATATATGGTGACAAACACGATGTATAATAATAGATATATAGAAAGTATATTCATATGTTATCACGACACAACAAATATAGGATCGTATAGCAGTTTGTATTTTTAAAAAAAGGCATGTTATAGCTATAAATCTGTTGCTCAAAGAATTTATATGTATATTTATGAATATATGACTGTGTCCACTTAACTGGAAGGGATGCGTTGGTATTTGTGTTCCAAAGTAGATTTGTATGAGCAGGGAATTCGTACCCAGATATGCTTTAGGCCAGTTACAAAAATATTCATGTTTCTTGATTTTATATTTTCATTGTGCTTTTTTACAAATCTGTAAAAGTCAATTTGAATTGATGACAATTTGACCTTTTTTTGAAAGGGACCCAGCTGTGAAGTATAAAGAGGTGTGTCCAAAGCATTGGTGACCAGGGCTGGGCTTCGCCATGAATATGGCATACTCTGCCTTCGAAATTCACGCTAGTCCGCAGGCCTGAGATTACTAAACTCGTTTAATTAATGTACTAAAAAAATATTACAGTAATGTTTCGGACCGAAACATGGGTATCAAACTTATAAAGGCTGAAGGGGCCGTTGTCAGCACAGGTACTATAGACATGTATACATAAATGTACCCCAGCCAAAAGTGGAATACAGAAATGTACCTGGTACACTGAGTCTATCTTCCCTAACCCGAAACTAAAACCGGTTCATGTTGTAGTTTCTGTATACAGAAACGTACCTGGGGTACATTTGTAGTACCTGAAATTGTTTCTGTACTTTGTCCTCAGGACTAGTCTTAAAAAATAAATTTCTAAAGCTGCATTTTATGGACAGCATTTGCAGAAAGTTGGCATCCGGTGCAAAAACAAAATCGAAGCTGAAAAGTTCAAAAGGGTTCAATTTTGGAGGCGGGCAGGTATTGAGAAACAAGGAATTTATTAACACAAAAGTTTAATGTGCATAATTATTTCATTAAATATGGCAATTCTTATGAGTTTCATCTGGGTACAAATTCACTACTCTTGTTTTGTATATGTGTATTTATATAAAATCATTATTTTATATTTTTGAAATTTATTTATTTATTGTTTGTATTACATTATTTATTTTTCTGTTATGCCAACACAGGTAACTGGAGAGCCCCAGATAGTAGCTAGTGAGTTTATATATATTACTCACAATATCATATATTTTGTATCATTTATTGATTATTTATCATATTTCTCATATATGCTCTTTATACATTTTTATGATAATGTCATATCATATAGATATTAGATATTCAGTAACAAACACACTAGCAGCATGTAATACACACAATGCTAAACATTCCTGAGATATCCTTTGTGAACATGACAGGGGCACAGGTGGCCCAGTCGTCTAAGGCGCCGCGATTCGCTGTGCAGAGTTGTGTCCCTTGGGTACGCCAGAAACCTATGATTGTGGGTTCGAATCCCAGTTCGCCCCGATTATGTTTCTAGGTATGTCAGCACCATACCCGTGCTTGTGGGTTTCACCGAAGTGGTAAACGTCTGAGACCTGCATAACTTCGGGCTTTCCTCCCACATTAAGCTGACACGCCGCGATATAACTGGAATACTGTTAAAAGCCGCGTTAAACCCAACTCACTCACTCACTCATTAACATCACTGCAGGAGAAAGTGGTCCTCTAGTAATATCTTAACTCTTTCACTTCTAAACAAGAGCATTAAGAGCCCTGAATAGTTTCACCCTAATACTTAACCTTACCAGAAATAATTTATAAACTAATTTTACTTTCATAAACTTGGGCCAGTAGAGTCCTTCTTGCACATTGAAATGTTAACAGTTACATTTAGAACCCTAGCTGCACTTAACGCTTAAAAAAGAAAAGGCATATGTTCTATAAGTGTTTGTGTTCATTATGTACAGAGATAAGCCAGAAAATGTTTAAATCTAACAGGTAAGATTGCCAATTAAAATGTTGAGATTGTCAAAAACTCTTGAACATGTTAAACATTTAATGTACCGGTACATGACTTGTCGTAAGAGGTGACTAACGGGATCGGGTGGTCAGGCTCGCTGACTTGGTTGATGCATGTCATTGTATCCAAGTTGCGTGGACCGATGTCAATCACTGGATTGTCTGGTCCAGACTTGATTATTTACGACCGCCATCATACAGCTGGAATACTGCCGAGTGCGGCGTTAAACAACAAACAAACGAACAACAAACATTGTTAGTCACTGGATTGTCTGGTAGTTACTTGATTATTTACAGGCCACTCTCATATAGCTTGAATATTGTCGAGTCTTGCATTGGATAAGAAAGAAAAAACAAAAAAACCAATCAATAAACATGTTTAAGGCCTTGTGTATAGGTACAGAAGGAACTGACCTGTGTATTTCATCACTTAGTATTTTAGGATGTCGGTAACAGTTTGCTTCATCCCACGTCCTTTTCGGACTTAAATTCTGCCTGTGATTGAATTTAATTAAAACAAGGCCAGACTTTTTTTTTATTGTTTTTGGTTTGCTTAAAAAATATAAGGACTTTTGCTATTCTTTTTGTGATTTTTCAAAGTGTTATTTGATTTGTTGCCATGTGAACAAGTTAGTTTATCTTAACAGTCTTACAGTTTAACCTATTGATTATAGAATGTTTGAATGGGGAACAAACAAGTTTGCAATTTTTGAGAGCAAGAAATGTTGGGATTTTTAAAAACTCCTTTATTCATGATATAAGTCTTGTTGGAATCCATAAACCAGTTCATATAAGACTCATTGAAGATCGATGTTAATCATGTGACGTCAGTGTCCTGCAAGGTTGATAATAATGATAATAACCACAAGAATATACAAATTTATAACAAATACATTATGCATAGATTTGAATAAAAAAAGCATAAGTAAGATTCTCAAATCATTATCAAGTTATATATATTTAAATGGTAATTATTATTATCATTAATATTGTTGGTATTATTATGGGTGTTCCATCACCTTGACCTTTACGCATCGTTACCTTGTTTCAGTCATTGAGGTGGCTGATGTTATTGGACTAGAGAGGACAATTGCTGGGCTGTATCGCCTTGGTAACGTGTCTGTGACATGCACCCCTCTCTACTGCTATGAGGACTTCGCCAACTTTCTGGAAGTGGGGCCGATCACATTCCCAGGACCATTGCCGGAAAATGACCTCTACTGGCTCGAGTTTGATTTGGAGTATAAAGGTAAGTGTCTGCAGAGTAGCTGCTGTTGCCAAAATACCATCTTCCTGAGGCAAGGGAGTTAACTGACTTCATGAATCCAGTTTCCATCCTTGCCGAACTAGGGTGGAATTTCCAGGCTCGATCGTAGCACCATCTGTGGCGATTATGAGTTATGTCCTTTCTATGTCCCTCCTACTGACCAATCAGATTGCATCTCTCATATGTAATCTGATTGGTCAATAGGAGAGACATAAAAGAGGGACATAACTCGTAATCGCCACTGACGGTGCTACAATCGATTACATCTCTCATATTATGCTTGTTGTAAGCGGCTCATGATATCAATCACTGGATTGTCTGGTTCGGACTTGATTATTTACAGGCCACTGTCATATAGCTGGAATATTGCTGAATGTGGCGTTAAACAACAAACAAAACAAAACAAAAAAACCCATCTCTCATATAAGTTGCATTTGGTTCAAACAAAAGATGCCAAAACACAGGATGGTGGTGAGGTGAAATGATGTTTAAAGTCATGTTCACGATTATTGCACTTCTATAACTGTCTGTGTCTGGGTGTCCTCTCTGTACTGGTCTGGACTAATGCTTGTTATATATAGTGCTAGCCCACAGTTTTTAATATGAATACCCACTCAGACACAGTATACTGATTCCGAGCTGACCAGTTCTTGTTTCTTATCCACGAGTTCCAGACATCTTTCAACATCTGTTGGTATGACATGATGAGGGATCAAACCACCGACTTTCAGCTCTCCCAGCAGACGTTTAATCCACTTGGTCGCGGTCTTACCAAATTATAAGATGTTTATGGTTCTTTCCAAGGATGGTTTCTTATTGAAGACAAGCTATTCTGCATTGTTTTAACTTGGTGAAGCTTACTTTACAATATAAAAAATACAGACCATGCCTATGGTAAAGAACATATGGTTTATGTTAAGGACACTTAAAATTTGTTCTCATTTCAAAACGTTGGATTGCTTAATTGAGGTGTGTTTAATCAATTAGATTTAATCATTAGATCAGATTTTTTCTCTCATATACAATACCTGCAGATCTGAGGACAGCTCCCTTGGAGTTCTTCCTGTGAAGATTCGGAGTTAGAAATAGTCTTCGGCAACCCATGCTTGTCGTAAGAGGCGACTAACGGGATCAGATGGTCAGACTTGCTGACCTTGTTGATGGATGTCATCGTATCACAATTACCTGGATCGATACTCATGGTGTCAATCACTGGATTGTCTGGTCCATACTCAATTTTTTTACAGACCGCTGTCATATAGCTGGAATATTGCTGAGTGTTGCATTAAACCACAAAGAAACAAACAGATCACATGAGTTCACCTTGAGAATGTTTTATCAGCCCAGTCTAAATGAGGGATTCATGGGTTCTTGAACCAATCAGATATCAGCTTTCTAAAACGATTTGGCTTCATTTGTTAACTACCTCAATTGAGAAACATTTATTTTAACAAAAGAAAATCCACACAGAACACTAACATACCTTCATTAGTACTCTCTTACAACAGGGTAGCCATGGTAACACAGCCTCTATAATATTTCATTTGGAACTGCTCTTTTATATTCGTTTTATATTCCTCTAACTAACCTGAACCTAGACTGTGACTAGCCTGTATTAAACTAACCTGTACCTAGCCTCTAACTAACCTGTACCTAGCCTCTCACTAACCTGTACCTAGCCTGTAACTAGCCTGTATTAAACTAACCTGTTTCTAGCCTCTAACTAACCTGTACCTAGCCTCTAACTAACCTGTACCTAGCCTCTCACTAACCTGTACCTAGCCTGTAACTAGCCTGTATTAAACTAACCTGTTTCTAGCCTCTAACTAACCTGTACCTAGCCTCTCACTAACCTGAACCTAGCCTGTAACTAGCCTGTATTAAACTAACCTGTACCCAGCCTCTAACTAACCTGTACCTAGCCTCTCACTAACCTGGACCTAGCCTGTAACTAGCCTGTATTAAACTAACCTGTTTCTAGCCTCTAACTAACCTGTACCTAGCCTCTAACTAACCTGTACCTAGCCTCTAACTAACCTGAACTTAGCCTCTAACTAGCCTGTATTAAACTAACCTGTACCCAGCCTCTAACTAACCTGTACCTAGCCTCTAACTAACCTGTACCTAGCCTCTAACTAACCTGAACCTAGCCTGTAACTAGCCTGTATAAAACTAACCTGTACCTAGCCTCTAACTAACCTGTACCTAGCCTCTAACTAACCTGAACTTAGCCTGTAACTAGCCTGTATTAAACTAACCTGTACCCAGCCTCTAACTAACCTGTACCTAGCCTCTAACTAACCTGTACCTAGCCTCTAACTAACCTGAACCTAGCCTGTAACTAGCCTGTATTAAACTAACCTGTGCCTAGCCTCTAACTAACCTGTACCTAGCCTCTAACTAACCTGTACCTAGCCTCTAACTAACCTGAACCTAGCCTGTAACTAGCCTGTATAAAACTAACCTGTACCTAGCCTCTAACTAACCTGTACCTAGCCTCTCACTAACCTGAACCTAGCCTGTAACTAGCCTGTATTAAACTAACCTGTACCTAGCCTCTAACTCACCTGTACCTAGCCTCTAACTAACCTGTACCTAGCCTCTAACTAACCTGTACCTAGCCTCTAACTAACCTGAACCTAGCCTGTAACTAGCCTGTATTAAACTAACCTGTACCTAGCCTCTAACTAACCTGTACCTAGCCTCTCACTAACCTGAACCTAGCCTGTACCTAGCCTGTATTAAACTAACCTGTACCTAGCCTCTAACTCACCTGTACCTAGCCTCTAACTAACCTGTGCCTAGCCTCTCACTAACCTGAACCTAGCCTGTAACTAGCCTGTATTAAACTAACCTGTACCTAGCCTCTAACTCACCTGTACCTAGCCTCTAACTAACCTGTACCTAGCCTCTAACTAACCTGTGCCTAGCCTCTAACTAACCTGTACCTAGCCTCTAACTAACCTGTACCTAGCCTCTAACTAACCTGAACCTAGCCTGTAACTAGCCTGTATAAAACTAACCTGTACCTAGCCTCTAACTAACCTGTACCTAGCCTCTCACTAACCTGAACCTAGCCTGTAACTAGCCTGTATTAAACTAACCTGTACCTAGCCTCTAACTCACCTGTACCTAGCCTCTAACTAACCTGTACCTAGCCTCTAACTAACCTGTACCTAGCCTCTAACTAACCTGAACCTAGCCTGTAACTAGCCTGTATTAAACTAACCTGTACCTAGCCTCTAACTAACCTGTGCCTAGCCTCTAACTAACCTGTACCTAGCCTCTAACTAACCTGTACCTAGCCTCTAACTAACCTGAACCTAGCCTGTAACTAGCCTGTATAAAACTAACCTGTACCTAGCCTCTAACTAACCTGTACCTAGCCTCTCACTAACCTGAACCTAGCCTGTAACTAGCCTGTATTAAACTAACCTGTACCTAGCCTCTAACTCACCTGTACCTAGCCTCTAACTAACCTATACCTAGCCTGTTACTAGCCTGTATTAAACTAACCTGTACCCAGCCTCTAACTAACCTGTACCTAGCCTCTCACTAACCTGAACCTAGCCTGTAACTAGCCTGTATTAAACTAACCTGTGCCTAGCCTCTAACTAACCTGTACCTAGCCTCTAACTAACCTGTACCTAGCCTCTAACTAACCTGAACCTAGCCTGTAACTAGCCTGTATAAAACTAACCTGTACCTAGCCTCTAACTAACCTGTACCTAGCCTCTAACTAACCTGGACCTAGCCTGTAACTAACCTGTACCTAGCCTGTAACTAACCTGTACCTAGCCTCTAACTAACCTGTACCTAGCCTCAATCCTGTACCTAGCCTGTATTAAAATAACCTGTACCTAGCCTCTAACTAACCTGTTTCTAGCCTCTAACTAACCTGTACCTTGCCTCTAACTAACCTGAACCTAGCCTGTACGTAGCCTGTATTAAACTAACCTGTACCTAGCCTCTAACTAACCTGTACCTAGCCTCTAACTAACCTGTACCTAGCCTCTAACTAACCTGAACCTAGCCTGTACCTAGCCTGTATTAAACTAACCTGTACCTAGCCTGTATTAAAATAACCTGTACCTAGCCTCTAACTAACCTGTACCTAGCCTCTAACCTGTACCTAGCCTCTAACTAACCTGTAACTAGCCTGTATTAAACTAACCTGTTCCTAGCCTCTAACTAACCTGTACCTAGCCTCTAACTAACCTGTACCTAGCCTCTAACTTACCTGGACCTAGCCTCTAACTAACCTGTACCTAGCCTCTAACCAACCTGGACCTAGCCTGTAACTAGCCTGTATTAAACTAACCTGTACCTAGCCTCTAACTAACCTGTAACTAGCCTCTCACTAACCTGTACCTAGCCTCCAACCTGAACCTAGCCTGTACCTAGCCTGTATTAAAATAACCTGTACCTAGCCTCTAACTAACCTGTTTCTAGCCTCTAACTAACCTGTACCTAGCCTCTAACTAACCTGAACCTAGCCTGTACCTAGCCTGTTTTAAACTAACCTGTACCTAGCCTGTACCTAGCTTTTAACAAGCATGTAGAAGCATCAATGCTGATTGGCTAATGAGAAAGTTCACCTCATCATGCTGATGCAACCTCCATCGAGGTGTCGTCAGATCTTCACACACAGAGGTTTCGTACCTGAGTAAAAGATTTGCTTGTCATGATATCTATGTATATACGACAAATATTGTATAGTTAATGAGGTAGAAGCATGGTCAAGGCTAATGTCATGTTACAGGGAAAAGCCTGGATCAGTTTGTGGAGATCTGGAGGAAAGAGGCCCACATGGCGCTGAGTTCCAGAGCTGAAGGTCTGCCTGTTGCCCTGTACAAGGTGCTGATGGAGAGGAAAGTAGGTATCCATGGATGCAGCCATGGTTGTTTGTTGGTTGGCTTGTTTGTTGTTTAACGCCGCACTCAGGAATATTCCAGCTATATGACAGCGTTCTGTAAATAATCGAGTCTGGACCAGACAATCAGGAGATTAACATTCGAGCCACGCAATTGGGATCGATGACATGCATCAACCAAGTCAGCGACCTGACCACCCGATCCCGTTAGTCGCATCTTACAACAAGCATAGTCGCCTTTTACAGCAAGCATGGGTTGCTGAAGACCTATTCTACCCCTGATCTTCACGGGTCATGCAGCCATGGAACTGATGGAGAGGGAGGTAGCTATCCCCTCTCATTTTGGTTAAGATTAGTCAAAGGTCAGGGTTTTTAAATAGAAAAATGTCATGTTCTCTTTGAAGTTCATTCACTCATGAACTGACTTTTAAATGATGAAAATAGTCATAAGACCATCTATCTAAGTTTACAAATCTTATCTATGCATGTGATTTGAGGACATTGAAGGTCAAGGTCAGTGAGCATGAAGTGATCCTAAGCGCTTTTATACTCAATATCTAAGCATTTATTATTCAAATTTGACGAAACTCCATTCTCAGTGACCTTTAATGAAGTTCACCAGAAACATGGAACACTTGATATGAAGTCATGAAAAGGCTTAAAAAATCTTAGAATTGGTTCTTAGGTAGTGACTTTTGAAAATATGTAATGGGCTTTGTTTTTTAAATTTTTTTGCTTGTTCAAACTAGTACCGGTATGTAACAAAGTAAACAGTTGTGTACCATGAACCTGGGAAAGGGCCTCCCTATATAAACAAGCTTACAAACTCCTATTGCCGCCATGACCATAACCAGAGATGCACAGTTAAGCAGTGCGCATGGAAAGGGAAGTAACTCTGTGCTATATTGGATCGCATTGTTTTTAAGTATTAGAATTTTTTATTTTAAAAAAAAATGGAAATAAGAACGAAACGTGCGGCAGACTTTATGACGATGTGGGCATAGGCTGAGAACCAAGACTATTGGTTTTTTCAGCCTAACACAATACATTTTTTGATGATTAATAATACAGTAGCACTTTCCATGTGTCAAGGCACCCAAGGGTATGTATGTGTTTCAGGTACATGTGTTCCTGTGTGTGCCCGACCCTGCCAAGTTGGATGAGATGGCCTTCAACCTGCCAATCATGGTGGAGAACGGAGAGAATGTCCACATCAAATGCAAGGCCATTCAGATGCTGGACGTCTTCAGACAGAAAGTTGTGGCCTAGTGGAGCTCCATACTGGTAGACACATTTCCGCCATACTGGCGGACATATCTTGGGATTTAACATGTAACGCGAGGTGGCCTAGTGCAGCTCCATACTGGCAGACACATCACAAGATGTATCATGTAACACGATGTGGCCAAGTGGAGCTCCATACTGGCAGACACATCACAAGATGTAACATGTAACACGATGTGGCCAAGTGGAGCTCCATACTAGCAGACACATCTCCAGATGTAACATGTAACGTGATGTGGCCAAGTGTAGCTCCATACTGGCAGACACATCTCTGAATGTAACATGTAACACGATGTGTCCAAGTGGAGCTCCATACTGGCAGACACATCTCAAGATGTAACATGTAACACGATGTGGCCAAGTGGAGCTCCATACTAGCAGACACATCTCCAGATGTAACATGTAACACGATGTGGCCAAGTGGAGCTCCATACTGGCAGACACATCTCCAGATGTAACATGTAACGTGATGTGGCCAAGTGTAGCTCCATACTGGCAGACACATCTCTGGATGTAACATGTAACACGATGTGTCCAAGTGGAGCTCCATACTGGCAGACACATCTCCAGATGTAACATGTAACACTATGTGGCCAAGTGGAGCTCCATACTAGCAGACACATCTCCAGATGTAACATGTAACACGATGTGGCCAAGTGGAGCTCCATACTGGCAGACACATCTCCAGATGTAACATGTAACCAAGTATCTCACAACAGATGTAGTGAAGGGCGAAGTGTATTAAGCTCTCTCATCATGGGCAGGAACTTTTAACCAAATACAGGTATGTCTTGACAATGGGTTCGTCTCATTTGTGACATAAGTCATGTACATGTTTGTAATATTTCATAGTTTGAGTGTACAATATATGTTATCATTGTTCGACCACGTTGTGAGAAAATGATTTGTGTATTATCGTTGACTATAAGCATACGTCTCCAGGCTGTTGGTGGTATCAAGTTTCTGTGTTTTGTTGCTTGGGTCAGAACTGGGTTTTGAAAATATAATAAACCTGTGTTTTAAATTACATATAGAGATATACATACATAGATATGAAATTGTTGTCATATATCACTGAAGGGATGCTTTGCTTCAGAATTTAGAACCCACAGTGATTGACTGATTAGAAATGTTGCCTGACAAGAGAGTAATGAATCAGATCTGTTATTATGGCATTGGTGGGAAGCAACATCTTAACAATAATAGCTAGGGATCGTGAATATTTTTGAGGTTATATTTATGAAATTGTGTGCTCAATCCTCACTATAAAAATATAACCCCAAAAATGTTATCGTCCTACGCCTTTGTTCAGTATGTAGTGACTGATTTATCCACCTTCTGGACCTCGAATCATGGAGATGAGATCCAAAATGTAAGACTAAATTCCTCATCCTATACCTGTAGATCGCAATCTCATTAAAATCAGATCTTAGTTCTCGCTACCGCTAAACAAAGATCTGAGCACATCCCATTACGGGTCATGTCAGAACAACCTTTCACATACTTTGACAGACCGATGAAATGACTAACAAGAAGTCGACATTAGCCAATCAGAAAGCAGCTTTCTCGAGCTTTATGGCACAAGATTTCAAACTGGCAACTACACTTGAAAAATATGTTGCCCACGTACTATGCAAAGTCTCTTCCTTTCAAATGTTTATCCCATTAAAGCGAGATAGACGATGCTTTATACGGCATGTTGTAATTGTCGTTCGGAATATCCTGTGTTGTCCTTTTCGACAGTTGCATGAATAGAAATCACATTCCGACTGTCACTTTCATGATCTGGTAAGCAAGGCTCTGGTAAGCTTGGATGAAAGGTCGTTCTGATGTGACCAGTAATGGGATGTCCTCAGATCTTTGTTTAGCGATAACTAAGATCTGATTTCAATCATTATTGCCAGGACAGTGACTGGATTAGGGATGTCCCAGCACATCATTACCCTATTGTCTTGTGTATAGTACACGCTTGAGTTGAAGGCACACACCCCATTGTTGGGAAGAGGTTCGGGGGAAACTTACATACTATTTGGTATATAATAAGCTGTCAAAAACTACTGAGATCACATCAGGTGAACAAACAATAGATAAAAAACTTGGTCAACAAGACTTCACCGAAAATTAATGTACACAATATTAAATGAAATTATGAATAAAATTATGGATGTAGATTATAAACATGAAGCCACAAATTGAACACTTTATTACGGTGTTTAAGGCTTAAAAAATAAAAGAATTGATTCTCAGCATTTTGAAAATATAGTGCAGATGGTGTCTTTGTTTTTTGTCTGTTTTTGTTGTTGTTCAAACTAAGATGTACCCAAACAAACAGTTGTGTACAATCAGCCTGGGAAAGGGCTCCCTACAGAAATGTATGTTTTGATGAGTAAAATACTGGAATACAGTATTTGACTACCGTTGGTCTTGGAATATTTAAGGATTTTTATATATTTTTTTTTAAAAATGGAAATAAAAAACCAAACGTGTGGTGAACTTTATGATGATGACTGAGAACCAAGACTAATATTTTTTTTAGTCTAATAACAGGACTTTAGTACAGATTTTGTTTACATGCAGTTTTCGGAGCTATTTACTTTGGAATTAATTCATTTCCTGCATGTTTAATATGTAACCCCCTCAGCTGTATTTTTTGGGGTGGTAGGGGGGAATTGAACATTATACACAGGAATATATGGCATTATTGGTTATGAATTTAACCAAATTACCTCGTCATAATCCTGTCTAGTGTACAAGAACTCAGCCCTAACTTTATATCATAAACATTCTGAATGGCTCATTTTCATTGGAGTTTGAATGTTTTCCCTTTGGCTTATTTCTACCTTTATAGGGCAGTGGTTAGCCTAGTGGTTAAAGTGTTTGCTCGTCGGACCAAAGACATGGGTTTGATTCCCAACATGGATATGTGTGAAGCCCATGCCTGGTGTTTCCCTCAATGATATTGCTTCCTAAAACCAAACTCACTCACTTTTTCTACCATAAGAAATATTAATATTTAATCTGTAAACTACTATATGCAGGTTGCTATATATTTTATCTATATTATAACCACATGGGCGGATGTTGTAATGGGTGGATGGGGTCCATTTGGGAATTTGTCACTTCAGTGTGGGATTGGGAGGAGCAGATGTTCAATGTTTTACCTTCAGCATCAGGATGTATCAGTGGGGTTGGGTGGAGTGTTTAACTTGTCGAAATACACATGTGTATCAATAAAACAAGGATATTCTTCGTGATTATTTGTTTTTTATTCTGGAATGTTATTACAGAGATGTAGAAAAGGGAGGAGTTCAAATGTTTGATGTCTGATAAACATCATAATTCCTTGCGTTTGGGGGGAAATGTGGAGGGCAAACAGGTCTTTGAAACTTTTTTGATAAATTCAAGATAAATTATGGGAAAGATTGTGTGAATTCAAAAACACTTTTTGGTGCCATGCTGTTTCTCTTTTTATAATCTCAGAATATATCTAAACAATGTAATGTTACAAAAGTTAAGGAATAAAGATTTTATCAGACATAGAACTTTGAACTGCTCCCTTATCCACAGAATAGCATCATTGTCCCACAGTCAGCCAAGAATAACATCATTGTCCCACAGTCAGCCAAGAATAACATCATTGTCCCACAGTCAGCCAAGAATAACATCATTGTCCAACAGTCAACCACAGAATAACATAATTGTCTCACAGTCAGACCCAGAATAGCATCATTTTTCCACAGTCAGACACAGAATAACATTATCCCACAGTCAACCACAGAATAACATCATTGTCCCACAGTCAGACACAGAAGAGCATCATTGTCCCACAGTCCGACACAGAATAACATCATTGTCCCACAGTCCGACACAGAATAACATTATCCCACAGTCAACCACAGAATAACATCATTGTCCCACAGTCAGCCACATAATAACATTATCCCACAGTCAACCACAGGATAACATCATTGTCCCACAGTCGGCCAAGAATAACATCATTGTCCAACAGTCGGCCAAGAATAACATCATTGTCCCACAGTCAGCCAAGAATAACATCATTGTCCCACAGTCAGCCAAGAATAACATCATTGTCCAACAGTCAACCACAGAATAACATAATTGTCTCACAGTCAGACCCAGAATAGCATCATTTTTCCACAGTCAGACACAGAATAACATTATCCCACAGTCAACCACAGAATAACATCATTGTCCCACAGTCAGACACAGAAGAGCATCATTGTCCCACAGTCCGACACAGAATAACATCATTGTCCCACAGTCCGACACAGAATAACATTATCCCACAGTCAACCACAGAATAACATCATTGTCCCACAGTCAGCCACATAATAACATTATCCCACAGTCAACCACAGGATAACATCATTGTCCCACAGTCAGACACAGAATAACATCATTGTCATAGTCAAAAACATAATAACATTATCTCACAGTCAACCACAGAATGACATCATTGTCCCACAGTCAGCCACATAATAACAATATCCCACAGTCAACCACATAATAACACCATTGTCCCACAGTCATACACATAATAGCATCATTGTCCCACAGTCAGCCACATAATAACATTATCCATCAGTCAACCACAGAATAACATCATTGTCCCACAGTCAGACACAGAATAACATCATTGTCCCACAGTCAGCCACATAATAACATTATCCCACAGTCAATCACAGAATAACATCAGTGTCCCACAGTCAGACACATAATAACAATATCCCACAGTCAACCACAGAATAACATCATTGTCCCACAGTCAGACACAGAATAGCATCATTGTCCCACAGTCAGCCACATAATAACATTGTCCCACAGTCAACCACATAATAACATCATTGTCCCACAGTCAGACACAGAATAACATCATTGTCACAGTCAGCCACATAATAACATTATCCCACAGTCAACCACAGAATAACATCACTGTCCCAAAGTCAGACACAGAATAACATCATTGTCCCACAGTCAGCTACATAATAACATTAAACCACAGTCAACCACAGAATAACATCATTGTCCCACAGTCAGACACAGAATAACATCATTGTCATAGTCAAAAACATAATAACATTATCTCACAGTCAACCACAGAATGACATCATTGTCCCACAGTCAGCCACATAATAACAATATCCCACAGTCAACCACAGAATAACATCATTGTCCCAGTCAGACACAGAATAACATCATTGTCCCACAGTCAGACACAGAATAACATCATTGTCCCACAGTCAGCCAAATAATAAGATTATCTCACAGTCAACCACAGAATAACATCATTGTCCCACAGTCAAACACATACTAACAATATCCCACACTCAACCACAGAATAACATTATCCCACAGTCAGACACAGAATATCATCATTGTCCCAGTCAGACACATAATAACATTATCCCACAGTCAGACACAGAATAACAGCATTGTCCCTCAGACAGCCACATAATAACATTATCCGACAGTCAACCACAGAATAACATCATTGTCCCACAGTCAGACACAGAATAACATCATTGTCCCACAGACAGCCACATAATAACATTATCCGACAGTCAACCACAGAATAACATCATTGTCCCACAGTCCGACACAGAATAACATCATTGTCCCACAGACAGCCACATAATAACATTATCCCACAGTCAACCACAGAATAACATCATTGTCCCACAGTCAGACACAGAATAACATCATTGTCCCACAGACAGCCACATAATAACATTATCCCACAGTCAACCACAGAATAACATCATTGTCCCACAGTCAGACACAGAATAACATCATTGTCCCACAGTCAACCACAGAATAACATCATTGTCCCACAGTCAGACACATAATAACATCATTGTCCCACAGTCAGACACAGCATAACATCATTGTCCCAGTCACCACAGCATAACATCGTTCTCTATATACTGAGGATATTGTATAGACACTTTTGTTTCTGAACACCATGACATATACACACCAAAAGGGCGTACTAATGATGGTGCTGGGGTTGTGCTCTGTTACAATCAAAATTTCCGAATCGAAATTTTAGAAAGCTGACATCAGATTTACTCAGGAACCCACGTAGCCTTCATTTAGACTGGGCGGTCAAAGTTCGCTCGATTGGCCTGGTGCGGCCTTCTTTGTAGTTCAGGGACCGCCTCCGTGGTCTAGTGGAGCATTCGGTAGAGCAGAGATCCCTGGTTCGATCCCCGGCCGCGTCATACCAAAAGACGTTACCCTGTCTGGCGCTCGGCATTAAGGGGCTAAAACTAGGACTGGTCAGTATACTGTGTCTGAGTGGGGTATTCATGTTAAACTGTGACATGATATCTCAGTGGGCTAGCACTATAAATCGGCATCAGTCCGGACTAGTAAAAGCAGCCACACACACGTGCATGCACGTCGCTGTATAAGTGCAATAATCTTGGACGCGACGTTAAACCCATTTCACCTCACCTCACCTCAGATCTTCAGGCAGAGAGGTATGGTAAATAACACCGGTCCATAATACCTATTACATTACCAGAAACGTTCGAGGCGCACATAAAAGTATTTACAATTTACAGTACATGGTTTTGGGGTTTATTTACACCTTTAAGACAATAGCATAGATTTGTTTGGACGTTTTCATTTTTGTTACTTATGACGTGTATTAGGGATGAGAATTTATGGATGACAACTTCTTTATTATGAGGAACACAACATTTCGGAGTATATGCTTACTCCATCAGGTGAATGAATGCTATGAGGCAGAGAGCATATTTCTGTACATGTAAGAATAACAAAAGTAATGAGATAACAAAAGATGGAAACTTAACAAGGGAAGCCAATAGATAATTGCCGCTGATAGGTGATTAGCAATAGACAATGGAAGCCAACACTTTACAGTAATTAGCGCTGATAGTTATGGACAACTTGAAGCCAAGATTTAAATTATCACCGGTTGGTAACTGGCAATGGACAATGGGCAAACGGGAGGCTGGGGATAATTAGCACTGATAGTAGTCTGCCATACAGAACCTGCCAAAAAAAAAATCCAATACAGCCCATGCAAGTCTATAATGTTTGGCAAGTCTAGATTACTGCAGTTTGAAAATGAAAAACGTCTCTGGCCTCCTTTTTATTACATTTTATAACTATAATTTAACAACTGTTTTTTTCTGTAAAATGTGTTCATTTCAGAGCCTAGATGTTAGTCTACACTGATAGGTAAAAGAATAGAAAAAGCAATGGGCAAATAGAAGCCAGCAAGATAATTACGTGTATCACTTTTAAATGCCTTTCAAAGACTTGACGTGTATTAGATAGTGTTAGTTTTCTAAACTATGGACGCAACGGGTAATAAATGTATTTCTTACATCATAGTATCATTTACATACAAACAAAACACCTATGCCAAACCTATAACAATGAATAAAGCCATGACTGTCTTCTTCACGTAAACAGGGTAGGAGTTGGAGCGGGTGGTGACGTGATGAAGGGACGCAACTCTGCATAGTAAATTGCGGCAGAACCTGTGCCTCGCTGAAAAAGGGAAATACCTTGCTCTGTGATAATATTTGTGCCTTTGAAGATAGTCACACTACAGTCAGGCTCAGGTAGGGTTTAACACGTTTTCACTTCATATCGGAAACAATGTCGTATAACAATTATGCAATATATGTTCAGTACGATATATAGAGGAATTCACAGATTCGCACGCTATATATAAATAAACAACATGTATATAATTAATACCTAGATCTAAAGTTTTTCCAGTGTTCATGACTGACATGATGACATTTTAAAAGTATTAAATGACTATTTAATACTTTTAATAAAGATGCATGATTTACTACAAAAGTACCTCACCAAAGGACCGTTAAACAGTGTTATATATATGCATCAGATCTAACTCATCGAGGCACATACCTATGTGTCACCTTTGAACAAATGTATTTTATTCACGGTTGTTACATAATGCAGAACCACGATCGCTCTTTTGACAGAATGGCCAGGGGAGTCGAACGCTGACTTCGACATACGGTAACGGATCGAGAAACAGAACCCGAGCGCCAAGCAGATCTACGGAAGATCTGTCAGGTTTCACCCGAATGGGCTGCCCGCGCGATATGATGTCGGTGTAAAAGTGTGAATTTTTCTTTCAGAATGTTGAAGATTCCAAGAACTCTCCACCGACGAAAGGATGCCACCTGCCTCTTTCAAGCACTATTTTACCATGCAAGATCGGGAGTTTTCGGATTTAAGGCAAGACAATCACAAGAAAGCAACGATTTTGCACGTAAGTTGTTTTTTCCGAATGACCGACATGGGATGTCCTTGACACTCCGATGTGGCACTGATTGTTTAAACTACAATGAGCTGAGATATATGTTCGTTCGTTAACGCCATGTTGTTAATAGTTACGTAGATGAAAATTGTGGGTTATGAGAAACTTTTTATTGAGTAAATACGTTACAAATGGTTGCTATTGTAGGGAAATTGGTTAGGGGGTCAACACCCAATTTTGACCAATCAGATGATTGTATCCGACCACACCTCCAAGTGAAATATTCAACGTGTGATTGTGAGATTTACCTGTTGTCACAGAAACGATTACCTGTGATATAAGGCAAATGGTCGATAAACATCAATATTTAATGACATGTTTTACAAGAGAAAGATTCACCATATAATTAGAAACAGTAATACCAGAACCATATTCCATATCACAGTTCCGTTATGTCAGAGACCATATACCGATATGGTCTCTGGTTATGTTCATTATCACATGAGCTAGGTTAATTGATGAAGTCTAAAAAAGTTAATTTATGAAATAATAGGTATAGAATCAACAGTACAGATCAACTATTTCATGAATATAGACATATAATAAATGATATATTGTACTGAATAAAATGAAATAGTTTGGACCAGAACAATCTTATTAATATCTTGTGTTATAGTTTTAATGTTACAATTAAAGCTTATTATGATGGAGACTTATTGAAGGCCAATTACAAAGAAAACATTAAGTATATAAACTTGAACGTCCAACAAATTTAGAAAACTCTTCTTCGGGGATTTCATGTGTTATTTCCCTGTTAAAGAATTGAATGTGATTATAAGCATTACCATGTGATTTCAAACATTTGAGGCTTCATAAAACATGGGTTCACTCGCAGATGCATGGATTCGACGGAAACATTGAGAGCATTAAGATGCGCATTATTGTGAAGTAAACAATTTGACTCTTTCTAATATTTGAACATACAAATTGTATCAGTTCATCATACTGTTTGACAAAGAGTTAATGTGTGTTCTTTTAGGGCTGGGATGGTAAACTTGAGTACGTGGGTCGGGTGGGTCCTAAGTAGGACCTGGGTACCCACAGTACTACCCGGACCTGTGGTTAGTCACGTGATATATTGTTTAATGACAAAAACTCACTATAGCTCAGTGGTTACACTACAAGTTGCTAATGTTCTCATTTGATACATGTATATAAATAGTTACTGCCTGGGCTGCAGTAAAACAATTCCCAATAAGACATCTTGTTCCCAACTCTTGAGACCTACAGTGGGTACCCGGGTAGGGTCGGGTGATAGTGGGGTGTTTGAGTGGGTGGTTTAGGGATTTATCTGGACTTTCTCACTTTAGATTTTCCTGTGACACTGTTCAAATTCATGTTAAACTAAACTCACCAACTCACTCAAACACCACCCACTCAAACACCAACTCATTCAAACACCAACTCACTCAAACACCAACCGCTCAAACACCAACTCACTCAAACGCCACCCCCTCAAACACCACCCACTCAAACACCACCCACTCAAACACCACCCACACAAACACCACCCCCTCAAACACCAACTCACTCAAACACCACCCCCTCAAACACCACCCCCTCAAACACCACCCACTCAAACACCACCCCCTCAAACACCACCCACTCAAACACCACCCACTCAAACACCACCCACTCAAACACCACCCCCTCAAACACCAACTCACTCAAACACCACCCACTCAAACACCACCCACTCAAACACCACCCCCTCAAACACCAACTCACTCAAACACCACCCCCTCAAACACCAACTCACTCAAACACCACCCACTCAAACACCAACTCATTCAAACACCAACTCACTCAAACACCAACCGCTCAAACACCAACTCACTCAAACACCACCCACTCAAACACCACCCACTCAAACACCACCCACTCAAACACAACCCACTCAAACACCACCCACTCAAACACCACCCACTCAAATACCAACCCCTCAAACACCACCCACTCAAACACCACCCACTCAAACACCACCCACTCAAACACCACCCACTCAAACACCAACTCACTCAAACACCACCCCCTCAAACACCAACTCACTCAAACACCACCTCCTCAAACACCAACTCACTCAAACACCAGCTCACTCAAACACCAACTCACCCAAACACCACCCACTCAAACACCAACTCACTCAAACACCAACTCACCCAAACACCACCCACTCAAACACCACCCCCTCAAACACCACCCACTCAAACACCACCCACTCAAACACCACCCACTCAAACACCACCCACTCATCCACTGATCGATAGTGCTGTTACTGTTGTCTCTCCAGCTGTTGAACCATTTGACATACTTCTTATATGTAACAATTATGATGTGCATTTTTTTCATGCTTTACACATTTTTTAGGGGCAGGGGAGACAAAAATGCAAATCCATTTTTGTATTTCAGTTTACTGCTCCACTACAGGCTGGCTGGTATAAAAAAATATTAATGATTTATTGTGGGAGGTGAGTGAGTGAGTGAGTTGGGTTCAACACCGCTTTTAATAGTATTCCAGTTATATCGCGGCGTGTCAGCTTAATGTGGGAGGAAAGCCCGAAGTGATGCAGGTCTCAGACGTTTACCACTTCGGTGAAACCCACGAGCACGGGTATGGTGCTGACAAACCTAGAAAAATAATTGGGGCGAACCGGGATTCAAACCCACAATCATAGATTTCTGGCGAGCCCAAGGGACGCAACTCTGCACAGCGAATCGTGGCACCTTAGATGACTGGGCCACCCGTGCCCCCTATTGTAGGAGGAGAACCTGCAACACAGCTGTTGCTTTAAGCAATTCAAACCTGACGAATCAAGCAGGATTACTGCTGTCCTATCAATTTCAGGAACAACAAACTATATATTGCCTCCTATGATTGATATATTGAGTGGGTCCTTGTTTAGAAAAGATTTTTTGGATGCAATATGGTGGGATAAAAAAAAAAAATTGAAAAAAAAATCAATTTCTACAATTTTAGTCAGCGGATCCATAAAGCAACAAAAAAAGAAAAGTGTGGCCTAACTTGTTGTGATATTAAACGCAATACTCATATTTGGTGAACCATTTCTGGTTCTTATTTCTGGTGAACAATGTTCCACTTCAACATGTGATTTTCACCCCTCAGCCACTGTGGACCAGCTGCGGAACCGGACTGAGAACGCCAATGTGTTCCGTCTTGTGGAGGCGTACAGACAGTTCGGGCACAAAAAGGCGAGACTAGACCCCCTGGGGATTACACAGATTGGGTGAGGGTCTTGAATTATTGCAGACCAGCACACAGCCACTTGTTATGATTATTATTATGCTGACATTTATGTTACAAATATACCAGCAGTGAATCTACTTGTTCTACCATCTCACTGCTAGCCCCTAAGTTACAATTAATGCGGTTGCATGTGACATCATTTTGACTTTGGCTGGTCTTAAAACAAAATGGTGGTTGGCAAGTTGTACATTCAGAAAAATAATATTTCTGGTAAAGATGGCTAAAAATGTTATAAGATATATGTGATAGGGGTGATCATAAGGTGTACTTTTTCTATTGCAATAATTGTGCAATTATCAGATCATAAATATTATCAGAGTTACCTCCCTTGACTATTGACACCCCAAGCTCCTCACAGCGATATCCCATTCACAGAGCTCTCTGTACTATCATCGTCACCAGTCACAGCTCTTCACTGTGCTAGGCAGCTTACAACCATGCATGGAGTTGAACACGCAACCTACTCACCGTTATGTTTACAAACACGTGAGGACTGTTGTGATGCAGAATTTACTTTCCTGGCTAACTGATTTTGTTTGTTTGTCAATTTGAATTTCTATTTCATTTCAACTGTCATGTAATTATTGTACAGGGAACAGGCTTTTCGGTTAGTCTGCCATATTAAAGGGACAGAATGTCAACCGTTCTCAAGCTTTGTTTGTAAACAAGAGCTGATATTCCCCGAACTTTCTCTGCTCTGCTTGCCTTATTCTGTGACAGAATGTTCTGCTCTAGTGACCACATCGTGGACATCGGCTTATCACGTGACCCAACTTTTCTATTGTTTGATAACAAACGCACTTATTGTAAAATAAGAACAGACAGGCCTGATGCAAGCCTTTTGGTGCGCTTTACATGTTGTTTTGCAAAATTTTATAGACATACAACTACAACTGTGAGAGTGAGGTGCAAGACAATACAGCATTACACGTCAAAGTGACCGTATCGCTTCGATGACAGCACGTTGAGAATCTGTACGCAATTATTGGATCTTCTCTCAATGAATGTTATGTATTATGTGTAGACTCGTCAAAAATGAAACAGATGAAAAACACACGAATTGACTGTGTAAGATGTGACGATGTGAAGATGTGACGATGTGACAGAGGTATGAGGCTGGTCGCAAGGAACTCTGGGTAGGAATCATGTGGTAATACAACTAAAGTTGATTGGTTGCTGTTGGCACAGACTCTGTAAAGATGTCCCCAGTGGTAGACTCCAATACAGATATGAAACTCTAGAACAGACTTGTACACTAGGTCACAGGATACTCCTTCTGTTCTTAAACATGACAAAATTATTGGATTATTTTTTTCTGAGGAAAGATTTGTGATAAGAGTTGAGATGGCTAACCCTAGCATTTCCTCACATCAACCTTCAGAATGATAGAAATGCTAACACGTGACAAAAGAGGTACATAATTGTATAAACTTCTTTCCATTGTGAACACATTCACTCGAGGCCTTCCTGAGGTACATTCCTGTTGTAGCTGTGTGGTAACAACGACTCCCAATTTCACTACAATATAGTTCCAGAATAGTGTTTATTACTTTGGGAATACTATTGCTTCAGACATTAACTGAAACATCCATGTTTCCAGAGATCCCCCGGAACTCAGCCTGAGCCAGTTTGGGCTAACCCCAAACCAGACTGTGGCCAGTCTTGATGGAATATACAATGGCAGTCAGGGGCAGATAACTGTGTCAGACCTCATCACACAACTGGAACACACCTACTGCAGCCATGTTGCTGGCGAATTTTCACATCTACAGGTAAAGATAGGTAAAGCTAGGTATCATTTGGGAATAACTGTTTAGAATTACCTTTCATTTTGTGACATTGGAACTCTATGAATGGCTTATGGAACATGAGGCACAGGCCTTGTGACAGATATGAAATGTAGGCCCAGAAGGTGGGATCATTGCTCATATTATTAATCACTGGATTGTCGAATCCAGACTTGATTTTTTAAAGGCTGACGTAATATATGAGCTGAATTGACTTGTGCAGTTCGATCGAGATCTTGTGATTGTTAAATACATGTCAAAGAGTAATAGGGTTTGCCTAAAACAGAAGCATTCAAAATCGACAGAAGAATTCATTATTGACAGATTGAGAAGTGTTCGGTCATTACCTCAGAGTCATTTTTTACCATTTACTGCTTCCCTCATCCCCCCCTTCATTCCTCATCCCCCATCCCCACATCCCTGCTTCCCCCATCCCCCCAATCTCCACTTCCCCCCATCCCCATCCCCCAATCTCCACTTCCCTCATCCCCCAATCTCCACTTCCTTCATCCCCCAATCTCCACTTTCCCCCTCCCCCAATCTCCACTTTCCCCATCCCCCAATCTCCATTTTCCCCACCCACCCCAAGTCTCCACTTCCTTCATCCCCCAATCTCCACTTTCCCCATCCCCCAATCTCCACTTCCCCCATCTCCCAATCTCCACTTCCCCTATCCCCCAATCTCCACTTCCCCAATCCCCCAAATCTCCACTTCCCCAATCTCCCAATCTCCACTTCCCCCATCTCCCAATCTCCACTTCCCCCATCTCTCAATCTCCACTCCCCCCATCCCCCCATCCCCACTTCCCCCCATCCCTGGGGCGGTCGGGTAGCCTAGTGGTTAAAGCGTTCGCTCGTCACGCTGAACACCCCGGTTCGATTCCCGACATTGGTACAATGTGTGAAGCCCATTTTCTGGTGTCCTCCGCCATGATATTGCTGGAATATTGCTAAAAGCGGCGTAAAACCATACTCACTCACTCACTCCCCCCATCCGTACTTTCCTCCCATCCCCTCTTTACCCTCATCCCCTCTTTTCTCCCATCCTTGCTACCTCCGTATCTGCTAAAATGGTAAACAAGCTTATTGAAAGAAGAAAGCCTCACTTTAGAACTTACAGTTATGTCACCTGACCTCTATTTCCCAGACTGAAGAGGAAAGAAACTGGTTTGCTGCTGCCATGGAAACCAAAGGTCACATGTCACTCCAGGCAGATAGACGGGTTGACCTTGCCAAACTAATGCTTCGATGTCAGGTGAGGCCTCATGGGATATGCATGCTGAAACAAACTGTTGATAGATGTGGATAACAATTGTCAGATTTCAGTACTGTTTAAATGTACAGTGTCATAAGACCTGTGAAGATCCGGGGTAAAATAGGTCCTCAGCATCCCATGCTAGTTGTAGGAGGCGACTAACGGGATCAGGTGGTCAGGTTTCACTGACTTGGTTGATGCATGTCATTGTATCCCAATTGTGTGGATCGATGCTCATGATGTCAATCACTGGATTGTCTGGTCCAGACTCAATAATTTACAGATCACCATCAATAAGCTGGAATATTGCTGAGTGTGGCATTAAACAACAAACAAACAAACAAAACAAAACAGTGTTATTAACAAGCCACTTTGAAATACAGTCAGACATTGTTGTGTCGAACTTTGATTTGTCAAACGTACGGGTTGTCTCAAAGTAAAAGCTTTTTTTTACCATTAACTGCTTCCTTCATCCCCCCTTCTCATTCCTACTTCCCATCCCTGTTTCCCCATCCCCACCTCCCCAATTCCCCAATTCCCCCCCTCACCCCCCATCCCCACATCCCTGCTCCAGATCCCTGCTGTCAAAGCTTGGTCCCTGCGTATTGCTTCTTTAGTCATCATTTTCGGTTGTGCTGAACCTCACATAACTCAAAGTATTTACGTACGTCCCTTCAACTTCGACACAACAGTGTTTGACTGCACCTGGGATAGAACTGATTTCAGAGTGAAGAAACTGTCACTCACTCACTCAGCAGTTATGAGTATGTAGTTGTAGATAGTTTCAACAATCAGTCAGCATGATGTCTTGTCATGGTTAAATAGGTCGCACAATGTGTGGAACTAGAAGACATCCAGTGGATTAAGGCTCTCCAATTTAATAAATCAGTTTTGGTTGAATTTCTGACAATGCCATTAATAATTATTTATGTTGTTTTCACAGGCGTTTGACCATTTTCTGGCCAACAAGTTCACCACGGTGAAGCGCTATGGAGGAGAGGGCGGGGAGAGCATGATGGGAGTTTTTGATGAGGTGTTCCGAAAAAGTGCTTCAAGTATGTTGCTGATCTATACGCAGAAGTTTAAGATTCATTTGATGAGTACTGTATATCACAGTCTATAAGCGACCCCGCCAATAAGCGACCCTGCCTATAAGACCACCCCCTGTAAAAGCCTTTAAAATCGATGCTAGTTTTTATACCCCTTCTACGAAGTGAATCGGAACGAAGCACATCACCAGTGCATACACAATGCCTACATTTGCAATAAAAACGTGTTTGTATATTTGAGAAACTTCATGCCTTTTGATATAAAACATTTAACAAGAGTAGATTAATATTTAAATCCTCAGAGTTTTACACTTTTATCAACTTATGTTGATAGACAGTCGGTCGAACCTCGTTTAACCTCCAGATATCTGAACCCCTTGTGAACTGACCAGAGTTACCTCCCCTCCCAGATGACACAATGCATATGTGAAATGAACAGAAGAAGTATCATTTATGAAGGATCGATGGATTAATAGATAAAACACATTATGTCCTGCACAGCATGCTATGACAATGCCATTTTATTACTGAAACAGCTGATGTTGAAAGAAACGTATGAGTAGCCTTGTTTAGATAATACACTTAAAAAATAAAAGAATTGGTTCTCAGGCAGTGGGTTTTGAAAATATAGTGCGGGCGGGCGGTGAATTTTGTTGTTGTATGTAACCAAATTCTGTTTACAATAATTTTGGCGAAATCATGTTCTTAAGTATTGTAGCATTTCACTGCCGTGGTCATGTGTTCGAGATGGGGAATAGGTAAAGATTTTTGTTATTTTTTAAACTGGAAAAAACCCCGAAACATGCAGCAGACTTTATGATGATGGGGGCGGGGCCTGAGAACCAAGACTATTTTTTTTTTTTAGCCTTATATAAAGTTGTAACGGAGACATTGAGCCCACCTGCCACACATAAACATTAAATATAGCCATGTTAACCTCCACTAGATGAAAGCTAAGGTTGTTTAAGTATATTAAGTTAAACTCATTCACGTATACCGTATTCGACGTAAAAGCACCCACGGCGATATTTGCTAATGTATTGGCTAGTGAACAATCCCAATTAGCACCCCTCCCGATTGATCAATGTACACAAGACTTATTTATTTGTGTATAATACGCACTCGTGTGTAATATGCACCCTCAATTATGGGCAATTAAATTCTGGAAAAATATATCTGTCGTATATAAACATTTCAGGCTGTCAGCATAAACCACGAAAGTTATCTTTCAACTCTGTTTTTTTTCACCAAAATAATATTCTAATAAGAGCCTCCTATTTCTAATTTTGAGAGCGCCCTGGGTTCTTATTACGTCGAATACAGTATGCATGAATGAACCTTGTGAGTTTGCAATTCTCCTTTTGCAGCGTTTGTGATTGTGCATTTTGCACTGTTTGTTATTGAAATCTCACTATCTCTTATCATGTTGAATTCTCTCTCTGTTTGATTCGGACCGCCTCCATGGCCTAGTGGATAAGTGTCTGCCTGGAGGGCGGAAGGTCAATGGTTCAATCCCCCAGTGCTTGGCATTATTGGGATAAAACAAGGACTGGTCAACCCTGAGTCAATATAACGTGTCTGAGTTGCACCAGTGGATCGCGATTTTTTACGTCTCGATACAAGTATCAATCGCAATCACACACTAAGTAAAAAGTATCGATTTTAACCTTAAATGTATTCTTTAATAAATGTTACACCAAGCACTAATTACTAGTGAAAATGTAATATTTTCATCCACTGCATGATACTTGACAGAGCCAGCTGTCATTAGTGTGCCAGGTATTTGGTCATCCTGTCTATGAAAAACATGGCTTATGCACCACAGATAAGAGCACATGCAAGTATCGTGATCCTTTTGGATTGTGAGCAAGGTATCGTAATATGTATCGGAACGCGCAGTTTGTGTATCGTCCGAGCACAAGTATTCATGTTACATTGTGGAATGGTATCTCAATGGGCTGGCACTACAAGACTGGCATTAGGCTGGACAGCCACACAACCAGCCACACACAGAGACACCAACATACATCTTGAACATGATGTACACCCCATTTAACCTCGGCCCACTTCTATATGTTTCAGATGACATGTCAGATGTTGTGCTCTGCATGCCCCATAGAGGGCGCCTCAACTTTCTGACGTGCATGCTAGACTTCCCGCCAGTTCTTCTGTTCAGAAAGGTAAATCTGTACCTTTATAATGTTGTGTGTTATAGATGCAGGGAAGACTGAACTGTGTAACAATGCTGTGTGTTATAGATGCAGGGAAGACTGAGTTATGTAACAATGCTGTGTGTTATAGATGCAGGAAAGACTGAACTGTGTAACAATGTTGTGTGTTATAGATGCAGGAAAGACTGAACTGTGTAACAATGTTGTGTGTTATAGATGCAGGAAAGACTGAACTGTGTAACAATGTTGTGTGTTATAGATGCAGGGGAAGACTGAGTTATGTAACAATGTTGTGTGTTATAGATGCAGGAAAGACTGAACTGTGTAACAATGTTGTGTGTTATAGATGCAGGGGAAGACTGAACTGTGTAACAATGTTGTGTGTAATAGATGCAGGGAAGACTGAACTGTGTAACAATGTTGTGTGTTATAGATGCAGGGAAGACTGAACTGTGTAACAATGTTGTGTGTTATAGATGCAGGGGAAGACTGAACTGTGTAACAATGTTGTGTGTAATAGATGCAGGGGAAGACTGAGTTATGTAACAATGTTGTGTGTTATAGATGCAGGGAAAGACTGAACTGTGTAACAATGTTGTGTGTTATAGATGCAGGGGAAGACTGAGTTATGTAACAATGTTGTGTGTTATAGATGCAGGGAAAGACTGAACTGTGTAACAATGTTGTGTGTTATAGATGCAGGGAAAGACTGAGTTATGTAACAATGTTGTGTGTTATAGATGCAGGGAAGACTGAACTGTGTAACAATGTTGTGTGTTATAGATGCAGGGGAAGACTGAACTGTGTAACAATGTTGTGTGTTATAGATGCAGGGGAAGACTGAGTTATGTAACAATGTTGTGTGTTATAGATGCAGGAAAGACTGAACTGTGTAACAATGTTGTGTGTTATAGATGCAGGGGAAGACTGAACTGTGTAACAATGTTGTGTGTTATAGATGCAGGGGAAGACTGAGTTATGTAACAATGTTGTGTGTTATAGATGAAGGGGAAGACTGAACTGTGTAACAATGCTGTGTGTTATAGATGCAGGAAAGACTGAACTGTGTAACAATGTTGTGTGTTATAGATGCAGGGGAAGACTGAGTTATGTAACAATGTTGTGTGTTATAGATGCAGGGGAAGACAGAACTGTGTAACAATGTTGTGTGTTATAGATGCAGGGGAAGACTGAACTGTGTAACAATGTTGTGTGTTATAGATGCAGGGAAGACTGAGTTATGTAACAATGTTGTGTGTTATAGATGCAGGGGAAGACTGAACTGTGTAACAATGTTGTGTGTTATAGATGCAGGGAAGACTGAACTGTGTAACAATGTTGTGTGTTATAGATGCAGGGGAAGACTGAACTGTGTAACAATGTTGTGTGTTATAGATGCAGGGTAAGACTGAGTTATGTAACAATGTTGTGTGTTATAGATGCAGGGAAAGACTGAGCTGTGTAACAATGTTGTGTGTTATAGATGCAGGGGAAGACTGAACTGTGTAACAATGTTGTGTGTTATAGATGCAGGAAAGACTGAACTGTGTAACAATGTTGTGTGTTATAGATGCAGGGAAAGACTGAGTTATGTAACAATGTTGTGTGTTATAGATGCAGGGAAAGACTGAGCTGTGTAACAATGTTGTGTGTTATAGATGCAGGGAAGACTGAACTGTGTAACAATGTTGTGTGTTATGGATGCAGGGAAGACTGAACTGTGTAACAATGTTGTGTGTTATGGATGCAGGGGAAGACTGAACTGTGTAACAATGTTGTGTGTTATAGATGCAGGGAAGACTGAACTGTGTAACAATGTTGTGTGTTATAGATGCAGGGGAAGACTGAGTTATGTAACAATGTTGTGTGTTATAGATGCAGGGAAGACAGAACTGTGTAACAATGTTGTGTGTTATAGATGCAGGGGAAGTCTGAACTTTGTAACAATGTTGTGTGTTATAGATGCAGGGGAAGACTGAACTTCCCGAAGGTGCAAAGGGGACTGGAGATGTCTTGTCACATTCATGTGAGTCAGTTAAGATGATAATGTCATATACGAGTCCTGCCATCTGTCCATCCTTCTGTCCATCTGTCTGCATCCAATGGGGACATATTTTCTCAAAACTATTTACTTTAGAGAAATGAAATTTTATACACTAATGTTACTCGTCACGATCTCAAATAAGTTTCAAAACAGGTGTCTTGATTCATTTTTTACAGAATTATGCACTCATGGCAGGGGAATTGCGATAATGTTCTTTCTTGTTGACTGTTGATTAAGGAAGACTTTGTATGAACAGATATATGACCTAAGTTTTTCAAATAATTAAAAATACAACATTTATTTACGTACATACGGTGCAGATTGCAATGTCAATATTTTCGATTCGTTGATTATTGTGTTTTCATATCTCCATTGTGTTACAATGATTACCCTGGACCAAGCCACCATAGTACCTTCGTTTTGAGCCTGGTATCATCGCCCTTGTAATCACGATAACATCTTTTCCAGCAAAAAGTTCATTTATAACAGTCAACAGTCTTATCACTCAGTTAAGTCTGTTAAGGGTTCGTGGATGAGGGGCTGTGATTTTGCATATAGATCTACGCCGAATTAGCATTCAGAAGAGGAATGTTGATTGGTTGCTGATTTCAATGAGGAAGAAAAATTCTGCTTGAAGCTACTTCCAGTTGGTCATAAGGAAGATTGAGACAGTGTAGTCACTTCTGCAGTGATTTGTTTGTTTGTTGTTAACGCCACACTCAGCAATATTCCAGCTAAATGACGGCAGTCTGTAAAGAATCAAGTCTGGACCAGACAATCCAATGACTGACATCATGAGCATCGTTCCACGCAATTGGGATATGATGACATGCATCAACCAAGTCAGCGAGCCTAACCACTCGATCCTGTTAGTCACCTCTTATGACAAGTATAGTCGCCTTTTACGGCAAGCATGGGTTGCTGAAGACCTGTTCCACCCCGGATCTTCACGGGGCTTAGGGTGTATGATAATAGAATGGAGATATGCTAGAATGGATAATCGTATATGATGGACTGCCAACAAGGATCTGAATATCTACTGTTATGGTGTAAATGTCACAGATACATCCGTGGACCTGGAACATGGCGGCAAGTCGGTCCACGTGTCGATCATCCCCAACCCATCACATCTGGAGGTACGTCCCAGAATCCGCTTTATATAATAGTGTAGTTGGAATTTTCTAATTTAACTATTTTAATGTTTCCATGGAAACACATTTAAAATCAACTACATTGTATAGAGGCAGGATTAGATTCATGTCTTGAAAGGCCTGTGTGATGTTATGTTATGACCAGTCTTCAGTTGGACGTACACTTCAACTTCTTCTCTATAACATTAATGTTATTGTCAAGTCTTTGAAAGGCATTCAGAAGTGATACACATAAGGAAGAGAATTTATGGATGTCAACTTCAAAACATCTTCCAAAGGCAAGGGTGTTAACTGACTAAGAGTCCAGTTTCCACCCTTGCCGAACATTACAAGGTCCCTGTTTATGAGATTTAACCCGACTGGAGAACAATAGGATGACGTCACCGGAGGTTTATGAGGATTGGAGAAAACACGCTTCCTCGGTTTTGGTAGACAGAGCATGCCCTGGGGAGTGGGAAAAACCAAGGGGGCGAAATTTATTAAATGTTATAACGAGCATCTATAAATGAGGCGCTTCATTAGAGCGCTTCTTGAAGACGTGATATCATAACTTGCACGTGAAATTCGCTGACTTGCCAGGCGGTCAAGAGCATTTTGATGTGTCAACAACAAAACACAACTAAAATACTTACTTTAAAATGAAAGTGAAATCTTCGGTCTCTAAATGTTTGTGTTGCAATATTCCACTTCTTTTAAACTTTTCAAAACGAAAATTCGCAAATTTAAAAGGTGTTTTTTGCTTTACACGATTTACGACTTTAAAGAATCCAACTGTTACATAGAGGTAGTTGTGACGTAACGGCTAGCAATTACTTCACGTGCAAATTGTGCAGCATTGATAAGCACTTGTTTAAAAGCACGTGTTTTGAAACCTCGCTGTCCTTTCACCAGAGACTCTGAAGTGGAAAGATGAGCGACGACGACTTTCATTTTGTTACCCAGTCTTCATTCACTGTACACATGACATTGAATTTTAATGGAATTAAAATTTTGAATTGCTACTTGTAGTCATTTTTTCAGTTACTTGGTTAAACCTGGGATTTGAGGTTTTACATTCAAAGTAAAACCTCCAGAACGAAAATAAAACCTCATGATAGGTTTTACTTTGAAAGTAAAACCTCACAATAGGTTTTAATGCCTATAGAAAGAACTCTCTTACTTAATAGAGATCCCAATGAATAGGTTTATAAGTATACATAACACTTTTTATGGATAGCACCTCCTTTTATTTTTAGTCACAATATCTATTGTTATCTTTGTACATTCATCCCACCTTGTTTTATGTAAACATATTATGATTCATATACATATATTAACTCTATGCACTTAATCAGCATTCACCTGATGAAGAAGCAAGTAGCTCTGATACGTCGTGACAAAGAATAGAAGAAGTTGCTTTCTATATAAAGTGTCATGTATTCATGTTTTTCCAACTTCTAAATGCCTATCAAAGACTCCAACCAGCTTGTGTATAACCAGCATGTTTTAGTATGGCCACCAGGTAGCCATCTTTTATTTTAATTTTTTTTACAAAATCTTCTTCTCCAAAATATAAAGAGTCTTGAAACTTGATGGGTGGGATGGTCCTGTGAACCTATTGTGATGTAACACTACTGTGTGTGTAGGTTCTTTAACATGTTGTTATACTGTGAATGTATTCAATGACCAGGAAACCTCGGGCATTCCTGGAAATGCTCCAGCTTTAATTGAATTGTAAGAACAAGGTTTAACAGTTGAATTTTATAAACTGGCCTTTTGATGTGAACGTAATGTTGATTTTGGATGGGTTAAAAGTCACAATGATTTTCACATGAAAATTGCATGATGAGAATCAAACCTGCAACTTCACATATCGTGTTTAGTTTTGTATCCCACTGTTTTCCCACTGAGCAACTGGGGCAGGGGATGAAATCCGTGTTCAGTCTTACTTGTCATGACTTCAGTTGTCTGCATGCTGCACATGGCATGTTTCATCAAATTCCTTTCATACAATGACTCCCTGTATTGTTTTACTGTCAGATATTTCTTTGTCTTTTTTGTTGTTGTATTTCTTGCATTTAGACGGTTTATAAGTTGGATAAAAGCCTCCTCCTCGGTCTTGACTGAGAATGTAAGCCAAGGGTGTCTGTTTTTATACTTTACATCAAATACGTTTCTAAGTTTGTTGAGGGATCTTGATTGGAAATATAATAATATCATGCGTTATTTGTCTTAAAAATCTTCTCCTCCAAAGCCACTAGAACAATGAAGCTGAAAATTCATGTGCTTGTTTCCCCTTTTGATAACAGCCCAATTTGTTCAAGAGGTTGGGATCCAATTTTCAATATGGCCATAATGGCAGCCATATTGAAAAAGCAATTTATGGCTTTAATCAATTTTTCATAATGTAATGATATTAGGTAACAGGACATGTGTAGTTAATATTTGAGGTCAACTACTATGTTATTTTTTGTGTGCAAAATCATTAAATTTTTCCCTGATTTGACCATTGCACTTGGACCACAGTGAAAGCTGAAACATCTTATTGCCTTTACTCATCCTTTTCTGTTCAAAGTGTAATAGCTTATGTTTAGTTACTAATGGAACCCAAGGCATAAATTCTGTTTTTGCAATGTTCTGTATTTTGACCTTTTAACTTTGAATATTCTCCTAAATTCTCTCAAAATGCATTTAAAAAAATTTCATTTCTTTTTAATTTCTTATTATTTATGCAGAAAATACTTGAATATAAATGTTGACAGCACCTTTTGTTATGTGTCTGCCTTTCATGACATTTTTTAACTTTAACTGAGCTACAGTGCTGTGGCACTGTTGTTTATACATCCAGCTGCAAGGGGGACATCTGTAAATACATGTAAAACTAAATAGGTCTTGCCTTTAAAGTTAACGTAACAAAATTTGATGTTTTGCAGGCTAACAACCCTGTTGCTGTAGGCAAGACAAGGGCGAAGCAGTTGTACGTCGGGGAGGGGGACTACGCCCCGGGGGATGAGGGGCAGGCGGGGGAGAAGGTTCTCTGTGTACAGGTGCATGGGGACGCCTCGTTTACAGGTCAGGTGAGTCCAGCATGATGTTGTCAGTTGGTGTGTGGAATATTGCAAACAACAGCGACAAATTCATGATAGGAATAATTATTAAGCTAAACCATATAAAACATATATTCTGTGGTGACATATGGTGAAATTAATGCAGACCTCAAAGTGTAATTTTGTACCTTAATCTCTAATGCAATAAAATACTGTCACAGTAATGCTGTGTTGTAATTGTGTTTGAAGGATGCAGATGGTGCCTGAGGATAAAGGATAATTTCATAAGCCTCATCATTGTGTATCATAACATTCATAATAATCCTGTCAACTTGACTGTATCCAGATGTGTATCATGTAGGGATGGGACGGGTAACTCGGGTACTCATGTCGGGTGGAGCAGGAGACCATTGAAGATCCGGGGTAAAATCGGTCTTCAGCAAAACATGCTTGCAGTAAAAGGAGACTATGCTTGTCATAAGAGGCGACTAACGGGATCGGGTGGTCAGGCCCGCTGACTTGGTTGATGCATGTCATCGTATCCCAATTGTGTGGATTGATGCTCATGATGTCAATTGCTGGATTGTCTGGTCCAGACTTGATTATTTACAGACCGCCGTCATATAGCTGGAATATTGCTGAGTGCAGCGATAAAACAACAAATAAACAAATAAACAAATAATAAACTGAGTAGGACCTGGGTACCCACAGGACTACCCGGACCCATGATTAGTCACATGAAAAACTGTTTGATGACAAAAATTATCTAGAGCTCTGTATGGTTACACTACAAGGCACTAATATTCGCATTTCTTTCTGACTATGCATCCATTCCTTCTGACTTTATATGTTTGAATAAAGATAACGCTTCAGTAAACTTCAGTGTATGTATGACCTGATTGTTTTATATGTGTATGTAAATAGTTTTTGTCAGGGCTCCTGTCAAACTATTCCCAATCAAACACTATGTACGCAACTCTTGAGACCTACAGCGGGTACCCAGGTAGGATCAGGTAATTGGGGGGTGGGTATCCGGGTAGTAAATTTGGACTCGTCCCAGCCCGAGTATCACACAAGGCACTATAAGGAAATGTATCATATCACATCCTGAATGTTCTCTATCCAGCCTTTAACACTAACCAACAGCTATCCTTCAGTAGAATGAAAAAAAATAATCCGGGTTTTTGCTGCAGTAAGAGAGGGTTAGAACAAACTCCTAGGGACCGTTTGTTATATCCGTAGTTTATTTCTCGCGAAACTTGTCCTCCATTTTGGACTCCTTAACTATTTATGTACATTAGCTGCAGCAATTGAATTGATTGGGTGTCAAACTCGGTGACTTGATTGTTTGTACCGATGACATGGATCTTTGCTCACAATATCAATCACTGGATTGTCTGGTCCAGACTTAATTATTTACAGACTGACGTCATCTAGATGGAATATAGCTGAGTTTAACGTTAAACAAAAAACAAACTAGCAAACATGAGCTGCAACAGCAGTAAGAAGGGACATTGATGATGTGTTGCAGATGGATGTGAGCGTTGAGCTGATTGTTATTGACATTACTTGAGGCTCACAACACGTTGTACTGTAGTGCTATTGGGATATCTACACATTGTTTGATGCTCCAGTGATGGTGACTGATGCTGAGTATCGCCTGGTGTCTTGTGATATGATTTGTATCATGATACGGACTGACGATACTACTAGTATCACGATACACCACATCAAATAGCAAGAAATGATGAAATCACTGAAATGCAGCTCTGAAACATCTTTCATCATAAATTTGTTTATCATTATCTCCAAAACATTAACGAAGAAGGGATGGTTATTAAATGTAGCAGTTGGTCGGCGTGTCCTAAGCTACTTCTGCCATTATGGGAGGTAACTCTATTAGTTCCTGTTCTATTTATAGCATATCGCGATCTCACAAACTGGCGTTTCAAGTATTGTGTATACCAAAGTATCTATGATATCGTAGGTATCGGTGAATTGTTACAGCCCAATTGATTGCATTTGACTGATTTGTTACAAATCGTATTTGTTTCTTTATGATGAAACATAAGTCTGCAATGTCCATTAACCCACAGTACAGAGTTTGTTAGTCATGTGAATTTTTACGATAATATATTTTTTTAATAGTTTGCTTTGACCTTAAGTATGTTTTACCTAAGTTCGATATAACCTTGTTCTTCTGTAGCTAAACTGCATCATTTTGAATATGGTTATAAATGTGTTGTGTATATCGTCGGATCATAGGTTTTCAGACATCATACGTTTTTGGATGGACCTGCTTATCACGATTAGTCTAGCTATAACAAGGGGTGTAGCATCGCACAGACGTTGTTAATACTCAAAGAATGGCTTGTATAAATTTAAGAGACAATTGTCTGTAACAATAACAGGGGGATATTTTGTGTTTCAGGGAATAGTGGCAGAAACGTTTTGTATAGCGGAGTGTCCTCACTACCGCGTCGGCGGCAGCATACACCTCATCGTCAACAACCAGATCGGCTTCACCACCGAGTCCCTGCTGGGCAGGTATAGACATGGCGTCAAGTACACGTTTATACACTGTCACACTGAAACATGAACTTAGTATCCAGCCACACTTGTGTAAGTCAGTTAATGATGTTATATGCCGCAGTCAATAATATCTCAGCTATGTCACAGCGACCTGTCAGTCATCTCGCTTGAGCCAGGCAAACCGGTGATTGAACAGACTATGTCAGACCCACACAATCAGCCAAGTCCCTGGGCCTGACCACCCAGTCCCAGTTGAGTCCTATAAACAGCATCTTCCCGCAGCAAGAGAATTAACTGACTATAAAAGTCCAATTTCCACCCTTGCCGACCTGGCTGGTATTATGGAGTTACATTTTGGCTGGACTAGCGAGTCTATGCATAGTCCAACCAAAATCGCGCATCGAAATCGAAATCCGGTTAGTAAACTGTCGTGCAGATATCGGTCGATTGCAGGATTTGCAAAGCATGTGCACCGCCAACTCGTTGTCAGCAGATATTTTCCAAATCTTTTCATGTTTTTAGTCAAGGTGCTCACATGATTTGATGCATTTCATGATGTAAGACCCGTTTTATCACAATATAGATCTTGATTAACGATCAGATCGTCCTGACTGGGAGCCACCATATTGTGTAAAGCGAATGAAAGTGATGGAATCTGATTGGTCCATAGGAGAGGCTTAGAAGGGATATAACTGGTAATAACCACTTGTCGCGCTACGGTCGAGCTCAGGAATTCCAACCTAGTTCGGCAAGGGTGGAAACTGGACTTTTAAAGTCAGTTAACTCTCTTGCCTTGGGAAGATGTATGAACAGCTAAAGTCTAGGTGTTCCAGATATGATCAGTATGAGACAGCTGTGATACACCTGGAAACACAACATTCTCACAAGCAAATGGGTGCTGTCCATCCATCCTTCCATGCGTCACCTTTTTTTTCCAGAGCAGAACTAAAAAACCATGAGAGATATCTTAACCAAACATGGCACATAGACAGGTCTAGTGACCTGGTGAACTGGTGCCTTTTGATAGTTTGGCATTTAAAAAAAAAAAAAAAATCAAGTTTCCATGGTAATGACTTGGACTTAGACTGACAATGGCGTATTGGCTGGGGATGTGAGCATTTCATGCTTCTTTTGATTGTCCACATCTGAAGGTACTTGCAGAATACACAGTGATGCACAGGACCATGTAACTAATATTCTACACCAACAAACTTGCAGTCTTTGTGTGTTTGTTGGTAGAGATTATTAGTTACATGGTCCCGTGAATTATGTGAAGCAGGCAGGGATGAACTCTAATAATTCTTTTGCCATGACCTTACTTTCTGTTTGCAGGTCCTCCAAGTATGCCAGTGACCAGGCCAAGATCAATGGCTACCCAGTTCTTCATGTCAATGGAGATTCCCCGGAGGTGTGTTTTAGATACCAAGTTGTAGAATAACTACAAGCCTATGCAAGCTGTTTCCTTTATTGTTTGTCTCGATTACATATCCCATGTGGTTCCCCCCTTCTGGTTTTCTTGAACCAAGGGAGGTAACTCCCAAGACTATGTCTCAGCCATGACAGTTTGGCGGTAGAGACACTAAAGTGTGAAACTCTATACTCTAATACAGTGGATCTGGCCACAGATGAACTAAAGTAATAGACAGACAAATGCCTAAAAATCATGTTTTATTTTGTTATAAAAAATTAGGAATAAACAAGATGATTACCAAACAGATGTGACACCAGTTGGTATATTTCAGGTAAATATATCCTGTCATATCCAGGGTAGAATAGGTCTTCAGCAAACAATGCTTGCCATAAAAGGCGACTATGCTTGTCGTAAGAGGCAACTAATGGGATCGGGGAGTCAGATTCGCTGACTTGGTTGATGCATGTCATCGTATCCCAATTGCGTAGATTGATGCTCATGATGTCACTCACTGGATTGTCTGGTCCAGATTTGATTATTTACAGACCTCCGTCATATAGCTGGAATATTGCTGAGTGTGGCCTTAAACAACAAACAAACAAACAAACAAACAAAACAGTTCTGACGCAGAGCAGAAGGCATCTATCCTGTCTTATCCTAATCATCAGCTGCTGTTTTTTTCGTCATCTTCACCATAACTTTCTTTGCCAGGATGTTATACGAGCCACTGCTATAGCCATGGATTACCGACACAAGTTCCACAGAGACGTCATCATTGATCTCATTTGTTTCCGCAAGTGGGGTCACAACGAGATAGACGACCCGACCTTCACCCAGCCGATCATGTACCACGCTATCAACTCTCGAAGTAGCATTCCCGATCTCTATGCTAAACAACTGGTGGTAAGATAGTAGAGGCTGCCATTGCTCTTATGGCCATGTGTAGTAACTGAGTTTCTCATCCTCATAATCAGAATGAATTTTCTTTAGATATTTCTTCATAAGTCCAGAGTACAGCAGAACATGGATATAATGAACACGGATACAACGAACTGTTTCAAAATCCCTGATTTATCTCCTGTATATTATCATATAAAATTTACGTACATAACGAACTCTCTACAGCGAACTAACGGATACAGCGAACTGATGTCTGATCCCCGACAAATCCATCTATCACTAATTAGTGACGTGTATAGCAAACTGAGAAATCTCACTCAGTGTCTAGTGTCACTGACAAGTGGCTGTTATGCAATCAGCGGCGAATCAACACAATCAGCGATCATGATTCAACCTTGTTAAACTTGCTTTTTGTTAATCTTACATGTATATGTAATTGGACTAATCTTGTCTGTAAAACAAACATAAAACTTATGCAGTTTCACGAATGCAGTCAGCAAAATGAGGCCTGAGCAAAATCACCGACTACACATCCTCTCGTATGTAGGGCGGTCGGGTAGCCTAGTGGTTAAAGCGTTCGCTCGTCATGCCAAAGACCCGGGTTCGATTCCCGACATGGGTACAATGTGTGAAGCCCATTTCTGGTGTCCCCTGCTGTGATATTGCTGGAATATTGCTAAAAGCGGCGTTAAACCATACTCACTCACTCACTCTCGTATGTAAATCGTGAAATACTAAATACATATTTGATAAACAAGGTTCTAAAAATGTTATGAATATAATGTTATTGAATGAATGTTATGAAATGTTATCATTTGAATGCTATGAAGTGATCACTGCTAATAAAAGTCAATGCTGCAATTATGTGTAGTGTGTTTTGTTTTATCCAAGATGGCGGACATTTCGAAGCAAAAACGTATATAAGAAACTGATTTCTCCGGTCCCTTGAAGTTCGTTATATCCATGTTCTACTGTACTTTCCTTTTTCACGGATCCCCTTTGTAAATATGCATAACGTGCATGACGTTTATGTAAAACACCTGTTGTTGTGGTGTCCCCTGCCGTGATATTGCTGGAATATTGCTCTTGATATATATATGGTTAAAAAATTGTTTTGAAAAAAGATATATGTTACTAAACTATTCTTTCAATGCAGTGTACAATCATTTTATTTCTAGTCTGAGGGTGTCTGTAAGAGTGAAGACTTAGACACTGTGGTACAGACATGGAACTCCACATTGTTAGCTGACCTAGCCAAGGCAGACTCTCATGTTGTACAGGTAGGTGGTTATTGTCATCCACAAGGGAAGTGTGCCCATTAGTTCTTATAAACAGTTATCAAATATTTGCATTTGTGTGACACGTGAAGACCCAGGGTAGAATAGGTCTTCAGCAAGCCATGCTTGCCATAAAAGGCGACTATGCTTGTCGTAAGAGGTGACTAATGGGATCGGGTGGTCAGACTCGCTGACTTGGTTGATGCATGTCATCATATCGCAATTGTGTGGATCAATGCTCATGATATCAATCACTGGATTGTCCAGACTCAATTATTGACAGACCACCATCATATAGCTTGAATATAGCTGAGTTTGACTTTAAACAAACAAACAAACAAACAAACAAACAAACAAAAAAACAGCATTTGTGGAATCAGCTAAATATTAGATGAAGCACCCATAAAATATTAGGGCTGACATTCTCCTGGAATTCAGATTTTTTTTCTCTTCGGATGTCATAATATTCTCATTGATGTATAAATCTCCAGTTGATACCTTTGCTCCAAGAAGATCTGACAAATCCTCCATAGGAGGTCGCGCCAGGTAAACTTTCAACCAATCAGAATGGAGGCTTCTACATTCTTGGTGAAAGCAAGCAAAGCATTCAGAACAACAGGTCTGTTTTATGTAACGTGACAATGTCCATAAACAGGCAGTTCCAAATGAAAAATAATAAAGGCCACTCTAATATATTCTCGTGGTTATTCCATACACCCTGTTGCTTCTAAGCTCAAAGACATCCATCTTCCCGAGGCAAAAACGTAAACTGACTATAAAAGTCCAGTTTTCACCCTTGCCTAACTAGGCTGGAATTCTGGAGTTAAATGTTGGCTGGACTACTAGAGCGACTATGCATAGTCCAATCAAAATCATGTAACATACAAGACAAACGGTTTTGAAACAACATGGATTTCAGCGTGCAGATTTTAGTTGACTGCAAGATTTGTAATTGTGTATACCGCCAACTTGGCGTCAACAGATATTTTACAAATCTTTTCAATGTTTTTAATCGAGGTGCTCAAGCGATTTGATGCACTTCGCGGGGTAAGACCCGTTTTATTACAATATAGATCTTGATTATCGATCAGATCATCTTGACTGGGTGCCTCCATTTGTTTGAAGCAAATGCAAGTGATATGAGAGTTGGAATCTGATTGGGCAGTAGGAGGGACATAGAAGGGACATAGAAGGGACATAACTCGTAATAACCACTGGTGGCTCTTCGATTGAGCCTGGAAATTTAAGCCAAATTTCGTCAAGGTTGGAAACTGGACTTTTTACAGCCAGTTAATGCCCTTGGCTCGGGAAGATGCAAGGCATCTAGACCCCAAAGGGTGTCCTATCAAGAGATGATTTGTGTTCTGTGTGGGTTTTCATTTGTTAAGAGCAGATTTTTAGGGTGGTAAAGAAATGAACTTCAACAATTTTAGAAAACTGACATCTGACTGGCTCAAAACCCCACACATCTTGTATTTTAATTGTCAAAATTCATTCAGGGTTCACTTGATATGACCTCCAGTGGAGGGTTTGTCTGCCACAGGGAGGTATTACAGTACTTTGATGAATACCTTCTGCGTATCCCAGAGCTACTGGAGAGAAAACATATACTCATAAACATGACTGTGTTTCTAGCCGAAGCACCTACAGAAACAGTGGTCCCATCTTGTACAGGCGTCCGACTCCATCACGACCTGGGACACGGGAGTACGCAGCGACGTCCTCAAGTTTGTGGGTGCCATGTCTGTACATATTCCAGAACATGTGGTAGGTAGACTTCTATTTTTGTAGATCTGTGCCTGAAAATCATTTTTGTAATTCATACATCTATTATATAAATATTATGGTAAAATACAGCCAATACTGATGTACGGCTCGGAACTTTGGGGAACCTTATATCGCCACTGTATTGAGAAAATTCATACACAATTTTATAAGTTTGTTCTTGGGATCAGCTACTGGTCACCAAATAAGGCATTTTTAGTAGAATGCGGAAGGCACCCGATAGATGTAAACTATCAATGTAGAGTTCTCTCATACTGGATACGTTTGCTCAGACAACCAGATACACAATACTCTAGACGATGCTATTACATGCTTAAGCGTCTTGATGACTTTTGGGATATAAACTGGGCCTCAGCTGTAAGAGATTTTTTTTTCCCATGGATTTGCATACACGTGGATATCCCAGGATGATGGAAATAAAATTACGTTCTTAACAATGTTTAAATAACGATGTAAAGATATGTATTGTCAAGGCTGGTCAGTTGACATCAGATGGTCAAGATCGCTACATGTCTATTCCATGTTTAAGATGGAAATAACACCAGAAATCTATTTAACAACTATTCAATCTCTATCTTTACCGAATGTTTAACGATGTTCAGGTGTGGTATACTTACCCTCAATATTCAATTATACAGACATTCCAAAGATAATGATGTTTTAACATCCATGTGTCCTTTCTGCAAACATTACCAAGAAGATGAATACCATGTTTAATTGATATGTTCAGTAAATGAAGATATAAGAATCAAATACCTGCCTAACTATTATTATACGTATCCATCACAAAGAAAATTTGTACAGTTAATGAACAGCAAAAATAGCCACATTCTTCTCAGACTTGCAGTTTTTGTTAAGATATTTGAAAGAAGGATGATACATTGAATATTAATAAAACTGAGTACATCTATTTAGCTACAATCTAATCAGTATGCAAGTTTGTCTTATCGTTGTCATTGATATAACAATGAAAAGTGCTGAAAATACTGGTACTGTCATTGTTTTATGAACCTGTAAAATAAGACTCGATTTGATTGGGTGGTTCAACATGTGACTTGGCGGATTGTGTGACCTTGAACCTCAATAACATGGAATGTTGCTTATGCTGTCGACCACTGATTTGCGTGGTGCACTTGGTAATATCCAGGCTGTCCGGAAATATCTGAAATATATTGGTGACTGTGGTGTAAACCAACATTCGCTTATCTGATTGCAAAGTGACCAGTTTACCAGTCAGACGAAATCGTTAGATCAGTTGATAAACTGATTAATTTTGCCTACTTCAGAAAGTGCACCCAACCATCCAGAAGAGCCACGTTGAGCGACGGCGACAGAGGATGGTGGACGGAGCAGCGCTGGACTGGTCAGCAGCCGAGGCCCTCGCGATGGGCTCACTCATCTATCAAGGTCAATATGGTGTTAACTGGGCTACAGTTGGGCTGTGATAGTGAAAGATCGTAACACAGCTATTACAATACGATTTATTCAAAGTCAAGACTCAAACTCATGTTTCTACAATCCTCGTTACATCCTCACAACCTACCCCGATATCCTAGCAACATGTACCAAACATTCCATCACTTACCATTACTTACAAGTTACTTAGCAATATTAGAATTTCCCCACACTGACTTCATTATTACTTCTGGTATCTAGAGTTATTTCCCTTTGAGAATAAACGCTTGTCACTTACAATAGGTTCCGAGCAAATTAGGCAGGTCGTAAGAGGTGACTTATTGGATTGGGTGGTCAGGCTCCAGTGCAATCTCGCTACCGCTAAACAAAGATCTGAGGACATCCCATTACGGGTCACGTCAGACCGACCTTGCGGGAACTTTGACCGACCAATGGAATTACCAATCAGAAGGCAGCTTTCTCGTGTTTTACGACACTAATTTCAAATTGACGACTACGCTTCGAAACATATTTTGACAAATTCTCGATTACAAATTTGAAACCTGAACAAAAGAACATTCTGGGATGGCTAACAGATGGTCTAGATTGTATGGATTCAGTCGTTAAACCCGTAACTATCGTTCGGAGTTAAAGTTTTCGAGGTCGGATGAAAGGTCGTTCTGACGTGACCCCTAATGGGATGTCCTCAGATCTTTGTTTAGCGGTAGCGAGAACTGAGGTCTGATTTTAATGAGATTGGGCTTGGTGACTCGGTTGATTGTGGCATTACACAAGAAACAAAACAAAACAAACCCAAAATGTGCCCAGGACATCATAATGTACCACCATACCATCACTGTGTACCCAGTGTTGCCATAGGGATAGCACTTTTAAGATATTCACCACTTTGCATCAACATGGCTTCAAATACTCAACAATAACTGTAAATTTGAATACAGATAATTTAAATCAACATTCCAAAATACAGAAGTTGTCTATCTATAGCTTTCCTCAACACTCTGCAGTTGTGTGATGATTGCTAATGTATAGGATTCTGCTGGTATGCTCAATGTGCTGAAAAACTATTTTGAAATTGTTCTGATAAATATTTAACAAACTTTATATGTTATATATGCTGTAACCTTTTTGAAATTAAGGATTTAGAAAAAGAAATACAAGTACTTTTCAGGAAAACTATCCACACATAACATTAAGTCCAGAAGATTTTCAGGTTCCAAACCAATTTAAGTTCATTTCTCAACCATTCAGATTACAGCCAGTGTATCAAATTCCCCCAAAATTCAGTCAGACAACCGAACTGGTAGCTTTTCAAAGTTACGAGACCAGATATATAGAATGTTGCCAGTCCAGTATTATCTAGACTTACAAAGAAAAGTAAGAAAAGGGTAAACATTGGAAATGTACTGTTTAATGTTAGTTCTCAGAAAATAACAATAAACTGGTGGATTGTCACTATAGTAACTTTAACTCATTGAAATATAATTCATCAATAATGTTTTTAATGTTTACAGTTAGTTTACCTGTTACATTGAATTAAAACTAGAATGCTTCGGTAATTTAGGGAATACAAAAATAGCTCGACCTTCAGTTGCGCAACTTTTATAAACTGAACGTCCGTCAGCAAAATAGACCATCTTAGACTGTCGAGCAGGCGGGTATTCTAAGTATAGGAGAAACCATTTCTCCTCGGGATTACCAGCGATTGTAAACCCTGACATGAGGTATATATGTCACCGAATGTCAGGGTTTACAATCGCTGGTAATCCCGAGGAGAAATGGTTTCTCCAACTTATAAACCGACTCATCGCATAGACAACGCTTTTAATTAAATAACTAATAAAAACTCTCAAATGTATAACCTGTATCGGAGATGAAATATCGCCTGCGGTCGTGAACTTGGTTCAATGAAACCGGTGACCTCAGTACGTGGGTTTCGCAACGGTGCGAAATCTGCACGTGGCGTCTCGCAATGACACGAAACCTGCACGTGCGTCTCGTAGGCTGTTCGTAGTTTTTGTTCTATCAAGGGTTTACAATGATTGTAAGCCCTCCTACGAGGTGTTACCACAATTTAAAAAACTCCATATCGAGTTACACAAACAGCCAGTAGGTTTATAAACACTGTTACAGCACACACCTCCATGTAAATACTTTGTTGACAGGTTACAATGTTCGCATCAGTGGTCAAGATGTTGGACGGGCGACATTCAGTCATCGTCACGCCATGATAGTCGACCAGGAGAACGACAGTATCTACATACCCCTCAACCACATGACAGACAGTCAGTCGGCTCACCTGGAGGTGCGACATTGTACTTATACATCATTACAACACTGTTCTTATTTTGTTTTTTTACAGATTTTTGCTAACCAAATACCTAGGGTCAGTCAAAATTTAAAATTCCTTTTTATTTGTAGTTCAATATATATACTCAGCCTAGTTATTTAGGGGTCACGTATATAATAAGTATTTAAAAAAGACACATTTTTAAATTTGATTTTTACATATTTTTGCAAACCAATTACCTTGGGTCGGTTAAAATTAAAAATTCTTTTTTTTTTTGTAATTCAATATATATACTCATCCTCATTATTCTGGGGTCACATAGATAATAAGTATTAAAAACAAATGACACATTTTCAACTTTCAAGAATGCAGTTCAGTTGCATCTGGAATGAAACATTTTAGGCCCAAATACACTGTTGCTTGTCATTAATTGCGCGGGCTAAACCCATGGTTTCGTTCTGACATGTTTTGGTTGGCTGTTTCCATCACCTTAAATCGTTCATTTTTCATTGTTTTTAATAGTCGTCCATTTTTCCAGTTTCATAAAAACACCCAATCCGTGTGACATGGGCATAAACAACACGTTCTTCAACTGTTCATCACATTGTCAACATACTCAGACCTACTGACGCCTAACTTCTTTGATGGCATTTAGAAGTTCGAGGACTAAGTAAGGATAAGATATATGGATGAATAGCTTCTTTAGGAGTGACGTCTTCATGTAGGTTCTAACACCGTTATCAAGCAAGTGATAATACTGCTTGATAACGGTGTTAGAACCAACACCTTCGCTCCTAATTGTAGTAAAGGAGTTATTCATCCATATATCTTGTCCTGACTATTGACGCCTGTTGGCCTGTGGTCATGTTTAACACACTTCACAACTAGGTGACCCTTTAATTATGACGCTGAGTATATATATCATATTTGGTTCAGTCAAAGACATATATACAATACGTCTTTGGTTCAGTGGCTCTTGTGGGAAAAATCAGTGCTTATACTGAATTGGTGCATCAGTGTTGATGTAACTTGTATGAGAAGTCCTTCACTCTTTACATGTGGCCAATGATGACATACATGCAATCAAATTATGATCAATTTTTGTTTAAAAAAGAAAATAATTTTGTAACGGCACCAAAATGTATGAGGCCTTGTTTATTTTACTTCTTCAAAGTTTAAGGTGGGTGGTGGGAATAAAAATGAGAATAGAATTGGCCCCTTGAATTATTATCATTTTTTGTTTTTTTGTTCTTTAAAGTAAGGTCGATAAGATAAATTAGTTCAAATATCTATTTTTCATTTGGCATTTTTATGAAATATGACAGGAAATGGGTTATAGCTTTAAATGGGAAAACTTTAGCCACACGCTGCTATGTATAAAGTTTTGAAAAGTATTCATCATGGCTACATCTGATCTCAGTGTTACAAATGCTTCTAACTGTACCTGATTCCCCATTTCTGAGTTTCTGGGGCGGTGGATCCATGAATGAAGTAATAAGCCATAAAGTGACTGAGTATATTCACCACTGTTTGATAACACATATATAACCCTCTCCCAGGTTGCTAACAGCGCCCTCACAGAGGAGGCGGTCCTGGGCTTCGAGTATGGTTTCAGTATGGAGAACCCCAACACTCTGGTCATCTGGGAGGCCCAGTTTGGGGACTTCTTTAATGGAGCCCAGTCTATCATAGACACCTATATATCAAGTGGAGAAGGTATGTCATAGACACCTTTATATCCAGTGGAGAAGGTATGTCATAGACATCTATATATCCAGTGGAGAAGGTATATCATAGACACCTTTATATCCAGTGGAGAAGGTATGTCATAGACATCTATATATCCAGTGGAGAAGGTATGTCATAGATACCTATATATCCAGTGGGGAAGGTATGTCATAGACACCTATATATCAAGTGGAGAAGGTATGTCATAGACACCTATATATCCAGTGGAGAAGGTATGTCATAGACATCTATATATCCAGTGGAGAAGGTATATCATAGACACCTTTATATCCAGTGGAGAAGGTATATCATAGACACCTTTATATCCAGTGGAGAAGGTATGTCATAGACATCTATATATCCAGTGGAGAAGGTATATCATAGACACCTTTATATCCAGTGGAGAAGGTATGTCATAGACATCTATATATCCAGTGGAGAAGGTATGTCATAGATACCTATATATCCAGTGGGGAAGGTATGTCATAGACATCTATATATCCAGTGGAGAAGGTATGTCATAGACACCTTTATATCCAGTGGAGAAGGTATGTCATAGACATCTATATATCCAGTGGAGAAAGTATGCCATAGACACCTATATATCCAGTGGAGAAGGTATATCATAGACACCTTTATATCCAGTGGAGAAGGTATGTCATAGACATCTATATATCCAGTGGAGAAGGTATGTCATAGATACCTATATATCCAGTGGGGAAGGTATGTCATAGACACCTATATATCCAGTGGAGAAGGTATGTCATAGACACCTATATACCCAGTGGAGAAGATATGTCATAGACACCTATATATCCAGTGGAGAAGGTATGTCATAGACACCTATATATCCAGTGGAGAAGGTATGTCATAGACACCTATATATCCAGTGGAGGAGGTATGTCATAGACACCTCTATATCCAGTAGAGAAGGTATGTCATAGACACCTATATATCCAGTGGGGAAGGTATGTCATAGACACCTATATATCCAGTGGAGAAGGTATGTCACAGACACCTATATATCCAGTGGAGAAGGTATGTCATTGACACCTATATATCCAGTGGAGGAGGTATGCCATAGACACCTATATATCCAGTGGAGAAGGTATGTCATAGACACCTATATATCCAGTGGAGAAGGTATGTCATAGACACCTATATATCCAGTGGAGAAGGTATGCCATAGACACCTATATATCCAGTGGAGAAGGTATGTCATTGACACCTATATATCCAGTGGGGAAGGTATGTCATAGACACCTATATATCCAGTGGGGAAGGTATGTCATAGACACCTATATATCCAGTGGGGAAGGTATGTCATAGACAACTGAATTATTTATTTGTCTTGTAAGAACTATGAACAGTTGTGTTCTCTTCAAAACATGTTAATCAAGTGAATATTCATCTGTATATTAATTTTTTATTCTTCTACTCTTCCATCTATCTATCCATACATGTCCCTGTTCTGTGTCATGTGTCTACATTCATCCCTTTATCATTCTGTCTATTTATTTGTAGATCCATACATCATTTCTTTGCTCCATCCAAATATCTGTTCATCCATCCTCCTATCTGCCTATCTTCCCTTTTGTCATCTGTTAATAAATTGTATATCCATCCTTTCATCTACATAAGGATTCCTCCATCATCAAGGCATCTTCAGTGTACTTATCCTTCTGTCCAACCATTCTGCACTTTCATCTGCTCATTTTGATGTTCCTTCTATCTTTCAATCCCTCCATTCCACCATTCATCAATGCATCGCTCCTCCCTCCCTCCATCACATTAATTGTCCTTTTATCCCTCTCTCCACTCTCCTCAGACCTCCATCCATCAATCCACCCACCCTCCAACCATCCATCCATCCACCCTCCATCCATCATCCATCCATCCATCATCCATCCATCCATCCACCCACTTTCAATTTCCACCCACCAACCATCATCCATCCACCCACCCACTTTCAATCCACCCACCCACCATCCAACACCCATCCATTCATCCAACCATCCACCCATCCACCCACCAACCACCCACCATAAAGCTCCATCTGCCCACCCACCTACCCGACCAACCTCCATTAATGCATACACCCAACCACCGAACCACCCTCCATCCATCCATGCATCCACCCACCCACGCTCCATCTATCCACCCACCCATCCACCCTCCATCTATCCACCCATCAATCCACCCTCCATCAATCCTCCATCTATCCACCCACCCATCCACCCTCCATCCACCCTTCATGCATCCACCCTCCATCTATCCACCCATCAATCCACCCTCCATCAATCCTCCATCTATCCACCCACCCATCTATCCACCCATCCACCCTTCATTCATCCACCCACCCATCCATCCACCCACCTACCCACCCAACCTCCATCACCAATCCGCCCACCCTCTTTCAATCCACCCACCCACCATCCATCCATCCATCCACTCATCCAACCATCCACCCACCCATCTACCCACAACCACCCACCCACCCATCTACCCACAACCACCCAACCACCCTCCATCCATCATTCCACCCATCCACCCTCCATCCATCCATCCATCCACCCTCCATCCATCCGTCCATCCACCCTCCATCCACCCTGCATCCATCCATCATCCACCCTCCATCCACCCACCCATCCATCCATCCACCCACCAACACTCCATCCATCCACCCTCCATCCAGCCTCCATTCAACATCCCACCCATCCACCCTCCATAAATCCACCCACCCATCCACCCTCTTTCCATCCACCCTCCATCCACCCTCCATCCATCCACCCATGCACCCTCCATCCACCCTCCATCCATCCATCCATCCAGCATCCATCCAACCACCCATCCACCCTCCATCCATCATCCACCCACCCTCCATCCATCCATCCGGCATCCATCCACCCACCCATCCACCATCCAACCACCACCCATCCATCCACCCACCCATCGACCACCCATCCATCCATCCATCCATCTATCCACCCATCCATCTATCCACTCACCCATCCACCCTCCATCTATCCACCCACCCATCCACCCTCCATCCATCCATCCATCCATTCCTTCACCCATCTATCCACCCTCCATCTATCCACCCACCCTCCATCCATCCACCCTCCATCCAACCTCCATTCATCCATCCACCTTCCATCCACCTTCCATCCACCCACCCTCCATCCACTCACCCATCCTCCATCCAGACAGGGAGCCACTCAGATTGTTCTTATTCTTCCCAGACAAGTGGTTGCTACAGAATGGTCTTGTAATGCTGCTGCCTCACGGCATGGATGGCGCCGGCCCTGAACACTCCTCCTGCCGCATGGAGAGGTTCCTACAGGTGGGTGGCATCACACACCGATCTATGAAGGCACAGAGGCCTAAGTCACTTTAACATGTAGAGTTGTGGCCCTTAGTTGTACCAGGATATGCAGGCCATCAGTTCAAGACCAGATTTTTTCTAGGTTATGATCTTTGGTCTGTGCATCCTGCACATTCTCATGGTAAACTGTTATGACTTGTGTCACCCTCATGTTAAGTAGACAAGCTGTGACATCAGGCCAACGGTGTCCAGAAATTTGTCCAGAGTGTGGCCAGACTGCTAGCATTTCAGTCAATAATCACTGCAGGTCATGAGAGGGGATATGACTGTAGCTCAAGATGAGCAACCAGATCTTCTGATGAGAAGAGCCAATCAACAACACATTCAGCATTAACAGTTTGTTGTGTGATTGACAGATGTGTAGCAGCCATGAGGACGGCATTGACGGCGACCACGTCAACTTCCAGGTGGCCAACCCCACGACACCAGCCCAGTACTTCCATCTCCTCCGCAGACAGGTGGGTCCTGCTATCGTGCAGTCTCGTTAATGTCACATCAGCTCTGATTCGATACCTCTCTGTGTGAGGACCAAACTTTCTAATCAGCCAATCAGCATTAAGGCTTTTCAAATTGTCTGTACAAGCAAGCAAGCATAGCAACTTATCTAATTTCTTACACAGATAACACTTTTATCTTCGATAGAGCCCACCTGACTTCTTCAAATGTCACTGCCTTTTTTTCGTTTACGTTCAGATGGTTCGTAATTTCCGCAAGCCTCTAGTCATGGTGGCGCCAAAGGTTCTCCTTCGACTGCCTGCAGCAACCTCATCTCTCGCTGACATGGCGCCCGGCACCAACTTCCTGCCAGTTCTTGGTGACCCCAAGGTCAAGGCTGACTCGGTGACGAAGGTCATATTTGTCTCAGGAAAGCACTACTACACACTGGTCAAGGAGCGAGAAACAAGAGGACTTGATAATGTCGCTGTAGTAAGGCTAGAGGTAAGTGGTAAACCCATATGGACTTACTTCTTACCATCTTCTATAATCCAGGGTCGTATATTGCCAGTCCATAGTGACCCTGGACCCATTCGTCACTAAAGCTTTATTTCAGAAGTCACCACTTCCTAATTAGACCAAAAATTAATATTACAGTCTGTATGTTCTTTTGTATATTACATATGTTTTCACAGGAAAGAGCATTGTAGAAGGGTTATATATGTGTCAAGGAGGCATTCAAAAAAAGGTTAATTGTTTTTGTACACTACTGCTCAATCACTGACAACAAATTTAACTCGTTTAATAAGCACCCCCTTTTGTCAATTTTCTACGCATCCAGGGCACTTATTGTGGTGAATACGGTATGTTTACCACTGTTAAGTATTCTCTATATATCTGACATGAAGACTTTGTTTAATCCTCCCAGAGTCTGTGTCCATTCCCTGCTGAAGAACTTAGGGCTGAGATAAAGAAATACTCCAAGGCTTCAGGTATGTACTACAAAGTCACAATAAAATACTAGAATATATTTAATCTGGAGCCAACTTTGGTGTGCTGTAATTTGCTCATCAATATGTGTTCTACTCAAACTTTGCTTGGAGTATTGACTGTTTAATGAACATGGAAATATATGTGTCCTTGTATGTGTGCTCATACTGTCGACCTCTGGGTTTTCTGGCCCATATTTGATCAATGATAGTTTCAGCATGAACTATCTGTGATAGTGCTTCAACACACTTCTCTCACAACCTTGGCTTCCACACTCTTCTCTCACTCCCTCGGCTTCCCCACTCTTCTCTCACTCCCTCGGCTTCCCCACTCTTCTCTCACTCCCTCAGCTTCCACACTCTTCTCTCACTCCCTCGGCTTCCCCACTCTTCTCTCACTCCATCGGCTTCCCCACTCTTCTCTCACTCCCTCAGCTTCCACACTCTTCTCTCACTTCCGTGGCTTCCACACTCTTCTCTCACTTCCTCGGCTTCCATGCTCTTCTCTCACTCCCTCGACTTCCACACTCTTCTCTCACTCCTCAGCTTCCACACTCTTCTCTCACTCCCTCGGCTTCCACACTCTTCTCTCACTTACTTGGTTTCAACACTTTTCTCTCACTCCTCAGCTTCCACACCCTTCTCTCACTCCCTCAGCCTCAGCTTCCAAACTCTTCTCTCACTTCCTCGGCTTCCAGGCTCTTCTCTCACTCCCTTAGCTTCCACACTCTTCTCTCACTCCCTCGGCTTCCACACTCTTCTCTCACTTCCGTGGCCTCCACACTCTTCTCTCACTTCCTCGGCTTCCACGCTCTTCTCTCACTCCCTTGGCTTCCACACTCTTCTCTCACTTACTTGGCTTCAAAACTCTTCTCTCACTCCTCGGCTTTCACACTCTCCTCTGACCTTCTCGGCTTTCACACTCTTCTCTGACTTCCTCGGCTTTCAGACTCTACTCTCACTTCCTTGACTTCCACACTCTTCTCTCACTTCCTCAGCTTCCACACTCTTCTCTTACTTCCTCGGCTTCCACACTCTTCTCTCACTTCCTTGGGTTCCACACTCTTTTCTCACTCCTCGACTTCCACACTTTCTCTCACTTCCTCAGCTTTCACACTCTTCTCTCACTCCCTCGGCTTCCACACTCTTCTCTCACTTCCGTGGCTTCGACACTCTTCTCTCACTTCCTCGGCTTTCACACTCTTCTCTCACTCCCTCGGCTTCCACACTCTTCTCTCACTTCCGTGGCTTCAACACTCTTCTCTCACTTCCTCGGCTTTCACACTCTTCTCTCACTGCCTCGGCTTCCACACTCTCCTCTCACTTCCGTGGCTTCCACACTCTTCTCTCACTCCTCGGCTTCCACACTCTTCTCTCACTTCCTCGGCTTCCACACTCTTCTCTCACATCCTCGGCTTCCACACTCTTCTCTCACTTCCTCGGCTTTCCACACTCTTCTCTCACTTCCTCAGCTTCCACACTCTTCTCTCACTTCCTCGGCTTTCCACACTCTTCTCTCACTTCCTCGGCTTTCCACACTCTTCTCTCACTTCCTCAGCTTCCACACTCTTCTCTCACTTCCTCCGCTTCCACACTCTTCTCTCACTTCCTCAGCTTCCACACTCTTTTCTCACTTCCTCTGGTTCCACACTCTTCTCTCACTTACTTGGCTTCCAAACTCTTCTCTCACTTACTTGGCTTCAGAACTCTTCTTTCAATCCTGAGCTTCCAAACTCTTCTCTGACTTCCTCGGCATTCACACTGTTCACTCACTTCCTTGGCTTCCACACTCTTCTCTCTTCTCCTTGGCTTCCACACTCTTCTCTCTTCTCCTTGGCTTCCACACTCTTCTCTCTTCTCCTTGGCTTCCACACTCTTCTCTCTCCTCCTTGGCTTCCACACTCTTCTCTCTTCTCCTTGGCTTCCACACTCTTTTCCCTCCTCCTTGGCTTCCACACTCTTCTCCCTCCTCCTTGGCTTCCACACTCTTCTCCCTCCTCCTCGGCTTCCACACTCTTCTCTCTCCTCCTTGGCTTCCACACTCTTCTCCCCCCTCCTCGGCTTCCACACTCTTCTCCCTCCTCCTTGGCTTCCACACTCTTCTCCCCCCTCCTCGGCTTCCACACTCTTCTCTCTCCTCCTCGGCTTCCACACTCTTCTCCCTCCTCCTTGGCTTCCACACTCTTCTCTCCCTTCCTCCACTTCCACACTCTTCTCTCTTCTCCTTGGCTTCCACACTCTTCTCTCCCTTCCTCCACTTCCACACTCTTCTCTCTCGTATTTTGTAGCTGATGCATAGGGTAGACAGTATACCTCCGTATCAGGAACTGTAGACATGACATGTAGTTATGAAGTGTCTGTGTTCTGCAGAGTTTGTGTGGAGCCAGGAAGAACACAGGAACATGGGAGCCTGGACCTTTGTAGCGCCTCGCTTCCAGAACATCGTCGGAGTCCAGGTAACTCTTGCTTATTCTAATGTAACACATGTCAACACTAAAGTAACCTGCTCCTTGTGCTGTCAGAATAGGTCCAAAGTATATTGATCAATAGAAGTTAAAGAACACACTATTTTTTCATGAGACTATAGTTAAAGATTATAGTGTTAAATATTGTTGAATAAATGTTGAGCTACAAGTAAATATTTAGCATTATCATACTTCCATGTCAGAATGATGAGATCTGATTGGTCCACTAATCTTGATACAATACTGTGTAACCCGCCTTGGAGGGGAATACATTTTTCAGCGGGGGAATAAATCCCTTATACTCTGCCCCGAGCAAGTCAGGCTGCACATGGATTTCTGAGAGGCAGTATAAATCCCTTATAACCCGCTTCAAAGCAAAAAGGCGCACACTTTTTCCGAGTTAATGGAAGTCACATGACATAGCGCAAGCTAACCTCAGCTCAATTGAACAGCTGTTTTCTATCAATTTTGAATTTGTTTGAATTCTTTTGCAATGTCATAATAAACATGTCGGTAAGATAAATTGGATGTAGCAGGATCACTCGGGGTACATGGGGTTTTATGTGTCCCTCTCCTCCGGCTCATGGTATAAAACCTAACACGGGACGATAAAACCCCATGTACCCCTCGTCATCCTGCTTACAAGTTATACTATTTAAAATGCTTGAATCTCCCTTGTCTTGTAGTTGAAGTATGCCGGTAGATGCAACCTTGGCGTGCCAGCCACCGCCATCGGAGAGATTCACAGGCAGGAATCAGCTGCCATCATCGAGCAAACGTTTCAGTAGACAGCAGGCGTAGCAACTTGAACAATCAATGTACAAATCAGACATGGGTTGTAAGTTGACTGACAATGCTTTAAGAATATTTTGTGATCAACACAGTGTGGTGTCGTGAAGGACCGTACAAGGTTATTACCCCCCGCCATGAAGTGGAAGGGGGATATAGGAATGGGTGCTGTCCATCCATCCATCCTTCCATCCGTCCGTCCGACCATCACGTTTCGTTTCCGGAGCAAAATTAAAAAAACATGAGAGATATCTTAACCAAATTTGGCATATGGATAGGTCTAGTTGTGAACTGGTGCCTTTTGATAGTTTTGGATTTTTTTTAAATTTATTTTTCAAGTTTCCATGGCAACGACTTTGACTTAGGCTGAAAATGGCGGTAGTGCTCGTATCCTGGACAGATCTTGAAAACCATACATTATTTCTAGACATGCACACACCCGGACATGTCATATTGGCGGGGGATATAAGTATTTCAAACTTGTTATTCTACATGGGAGGTAATAATTGCAGTGTCATGGTGTCTCATCCATCCATCAGTGGAAGGCAGCTAATTGTGGATTTGGTGGACAAAATAGCAGCTGGGGATGCATAGGTAGTGCTTTGGAGGGGACACCACCTGGGAGTGTTTGCTTGTTTAATGCCGCACTCAGCAATATTTCAGCTATATGACGGCAGTCTGTAAATACCCTGGAGCAGACTATCCAGTGATTAACATCATGAGCATCGATCCACGCAATAAGGATACGATAACATGCATCAACCAAGTCAGCAAGACTGATCACCCGATCCTCGTTAGTTGCCTCTTACAACAAGCATAATCCCCTCCTATGACAAGCATGGTCATAGGACCCAGAAACAAACTTGCATCGCCAATTCTGTATGGAGGAGGGATGTCAGCTTTCTTCAATGGTTTGGCTTCATTTCTTGACCTTGATTTGGACATTTTGATTTTAATGAAAGAAAACACCAATATTCCTTCGGTGGTACTCCCTTTTGGTGTAAATCAAATGGCACTCAGAAAAGACAGGGCATATCAATATCCACAATACAATGGCACAGCCTTTTTTTATTTCCATTCAGAACTGTCCATTTATGATAACTTTTGAGAACAAACATGTTGCTCTGAATGCTTAGCTCACTCATACCGAGAATTTAGAAGTCTCAACGATGATTGTCTCATTAGAAAGTTCGCCTGAGGTAGTTTTCTATGGTGTTGTCAGATCTTGATGCAGAGACATATTGTATCAGAGTGAAAGATGGGTTTTATAGAAATTAATTGATCTGAAATTGGCAATCTCTGGCAAAAAATACTTACTGTTCTATCTTAGTTGAAATCCCAATAGGGATACATTATGTGAAGGGCATTTGGTCTCTCACTGGGGTATTGTGCCGGAAATGTCTTGAAACTTTGGTGCATATTGTTTGTTTTAAAAGAAAAGGTATGTAGCTATATTTAATGAAGTATTTGTTTTGTTGATCATAAATGCTTGTTTCTATATACACAGATCATTTGTTTTTATCAGTGTTAAAATGGTATTCAGATAGCTTTAATGTTATACAGTTAAACTCTGTTAGTCTGGATGTTACCACTCCAAATGAATTCATCTGACTACCAAAGATTGGGATTAATAATAGTTACAGTTTAATACTCTCAGACATTCCTAACAGACAACAGGTGTCCTGATTAACAGGGTTTAACTGTATAGAGAACATGAATCTCTGTGATTTGTATAATAGAGATATTGCCTGACAGTTCTGCAAAGTATAACTGCGACCATTAACATTAACAATTTGGGTGGAAAATGGTGAGGTCAGGTGAAATGGGGTTTAACATATCATCCAAGATTATTGCACTTTATAGAGACGTGCATGCACACGTGTGTGTGTGAGTGTGTGTGTGTGTTTGTGTGGGTGTGGCTGCTTGTACTAGTCCAGACTGATGCCGATTTATAGTGCTAGCTAACTGAGATACATGCCGCAGTTTAACATGAATACCCCACTCAGACACAGTATACTGACTCCGAGACGACCAGTCCTTGTTTTAGCCCTTTTGCCAAGCAAGAGGCAGGGTAACAACAAGTACCACCTTTTAACGTCTTTTGGTATGACGCGGCTGGGGATCAAACCCCGGACCTTCCCTTATCCGGGTGAATGCTCTGCTGCCAGACCACGTAGGTGGTTGGGAGGGCTGCAATTCACGTCCCTGCTTGGTTTATCAACACCCATGTTCTTTGGGTTTACTGAAATGTCAGGCAATGTAACATCTACCAGAATTATATAACCTCATAATGAAACCTTTTGTTTTCTCTCCAAAGAAATGTGTCCCCCTATGCTAAGATGGGATTAAATCTTCAATACCAGTGCATAGAAAGTATGAACCTTTGTGATGTAATCAGTTCACATCCAACATGTTTGGGGGGCAGGGGTGGCCCAGTCGTCTAAGGCCCTGCGATTCACTGTAAAGAGTTGCGTCCCTTGGGCACACCAGAAATCTATGATTGTGGGTTCGAATCCCGGTTCACCCCGATAATGTTTCTAGGCTTGTCATCAGCCAGAGGTTACACTAACATTGTGAAAATAACGACCCTCCCCTAATTCTTGTCCTATTTTTGGATGACCCTCTCCATGTGCTTGTACTCCATGAAAAGACAAAATGCAAAAGCATTCATTTTATTATACGTCCATTTTTACACTCCCCGAATGTTATTTTATATGACCTTTCCCCTAGAGGGTGTCATATTTTAGTGTGACCCTTCTATAATTAACTGGTTACATTTCGCACAAACTAAGGCTGAGATTTGTTTTACTCCGGTGAGTTATATTATTCATATTTTGACTGGAAGTATATGATGTACTTAACAGGATCCCAATGTCTGTACTGTGTGCCCACGTAGCTCTGGGTGTCTTATACTTGGCACTTTGTTAATAATACAGGTAATAAATGCTATACCAGAAAGTACATTGTGTTGTTATTACATAGAAGTATGTTGTGTTGTTTCAAACACTGGCAGACCCCTGAAGATCCTGCTTGCCGTAATTGGTGACTAGGCTTGTCGTAAGAGGCGACTAATGGGATCGGATGGTCAGGCTCAATGACTTGGTTGATGAATGTCATCGTATCCCAATTGCGTAGATTGATGCACATGATGTCAATCACTGGACTGTCTGGTCCATACACGATTATGTACACACAGACCGCCATCATAGCTGGAATATTGCTGAGTGGGGCGTTAAACAACAAACAAATGAAGCAAGCAAACCAACAACACAACTCCGAAGCAGCTTTTGACTTTTGTTTAATAGGAAGACAATATACATGATCCTCTGTAGATGTTCCCCTGCAGACAGACAGATGGACAGACAGATCAAGGTAGAGACAATGACAGCGTTATCTCCATCAGCACTTCAAATGCAACATGGACACAGACGGGGAGGGTGCAAATAAATAACACAAAGGTCATGGCAACATTTGTCTCCGTGACAACCCATTACTGAAATATCAGAAAGGCTTACCAGAATGGTGATTTGTGATAGTTTTCAACAAATATTTTAATTCAACAAAAAACTTCATATTATTTCCCATTGCTTATTATCATTACATAGACGTTTTGATTAGTAATATTTATCAAAAATTCGAGAAAATATTCCATTCCAAGTTGACTTAAATTGAAAAGTAAAATAACCTCCTTGTCACCTTAACCCTTACATGACCTTGACCTTTTGTTTATGTCACTGTGACTTAATAGGTCAGCGTGACCTAGTGATAACATATTTCACCAGTTTCTCCAGAACACAGGTAGATGGAATAAAGTTTGAAATTATAACAGAAGTATGCATATCCCAGCAAAGACAAAAGGCACTTAACTGCAGATGGGTATGACGGAATAAAACATAGGCTAAAAACTGCAATCCTCGTAGATGACGAAAGCATTAAGAAATGGCACGGGTTATAGGTCCGTTAACATTGGTGTAGGGTAGTAATCTGCATAATTGTCACAGGCAATTCATATTATGTTGCAAATATTAATAAATATTTACAAAATATCCGTTATAAAAACAGAATCCATGTGTTGTTGATAGAGTGACAGATTGCCAAGTCAGCATATTTTAGCTGTAACACTGCAGGAAATCACTGACAACCACGTGATAATGAATCATATACAATGGTCAATGTTTATTGCGTTGATATATTTATTATATTAAAGTGTTGTATATGATATAGGTAGGTACAGGCTACAGTTCGGCCCTAGTGATCGCTACCATCCACATTATTGTAATTAGTCTAGAATAGCCAATAGCTAATATCATGAGGTATGTTTCATTGGAACTTCGTTAAGAGATCGAAGGAAATACGGCAAATGTCCGCGTCTGATGAGTTTTATACAATACAAGCAGCCGTGCTGTGAGTTTGTTAAAATGATTGGACAACAAAAAGATGTTGGGCACATTATTATGCGACAATGAGACTTAATCTATTTTATTTCACTTTAGGAGTAGTTTTTGAGTATTTATGAACTTTAACACACCGATGTAATCTGCACTTAATGCAGGTGCCATTCTTCAATACCATTACGATATTTTTTACACAATTGAAATTTACAATATTTCTTACACGATCAAAAATACATTTCCTTTAACTAAATTATTCGTAGAATTTGGATAACCAACAGGTTTAACAATTACGACAAACATTTCATTCAACTGACTGTACAAACCGGTTATGACAGCGTGTATAATAATCACATGACCAGCAACATCATCATCATCATCATCATCATCATCACTCAGCACCAATGTAATTGCACCCCTTATAGTGACTGATGAATTCCTCAACACACGGGGTTGTCATGACAACTAATACATATTGGTTAATAAATCAAACCACTAATAAATACCTTGATAGACATATCAGTTATCAATATTTATCATTAACAACATCTTGGCATCGTCAAACCAAGTATAATTCGTGATGTATTTCAACGTCCGATTTCCACAATAAAATATATTTCTAAGCACAGTATGTACATAACGCTTTTACACAGTTTTTCAATCTTAGTATTGGAGAAGTATATAGTCTAATATTGTTGACTTTTTAATAAAACATGCCATATTAATCAGTTTCCATCACAGGAATATGCTGGTAGTATATTTAGTTAACAACTTGGTATTTTGACAAACATTGAAATATATCGGAACAACAGCCAAAAGAGAGAATTGTGATAGATGGTTATACGGAAGCGGTATTTTAGATGATACTGGTTTCCTGTTATATATGACAGACACTGGCCTAAATATACATCCACTAAGCACCCTTGTAATGTGATAGGTAAAGACTGTGTCCTGAAATGGCGGTCCTCTACTCTCGGATATTTTCCTCTGCTTGCTGAGTGAGTGTATAACTACATCAAACAGAACACAGCTCCTGGTCTCTCACAAGATGCCCTAGAAGACTCTAGCATAGGCCATGGATAGCCAAGGCCACACATTTATTTTACAGTTTACAGATTTTGGCTCAGCAATAGCTTGGGTCGGTCAGGAAAATATAAATTAGTTCAATATATTTTACACATATTCTTTTATCCACTGGCATAAAAAATAATAATGTATTTTCACATTATCTTCTGATTTTTGCTTTTTGTTCCAGTCAGTCAAATCTGTAAACCGGAAAAAGTGTTTCCTTAGCATGGGCAGAATCAGGCCTTCACTAATTAGTTTTATCCTTGTCACTCGGCGAGTCACACAGAGGGTCCCTATCCACCCCTGATGACAGTATTCCTTGACACTCATCATCAGAGATGTCCTCTGATGATCCGCACCAGTCCATCAGCTGTCCTCACCACACACACACCAAGTCATTTCTCGGCCAGCTTCTCTAAAGCATCTACCCACATTAGAACTGCTACTTCCACCGAATGTCCCAAGTTTCTCAGTCCGATGTGTTCTACAAAACAAGCACTACAGTGTCCATCTTCAACAGAACTAGTGTTCCATCCTCAGCAAGCACTATGTTGAAAAGCTGTTCACTTCCTACTAAGTGTTCAAACACTGGGGCCATCCCATCCAAGTCAAACACCTCCCGAACAGGCACACAGACTGCGTTCTTCTCTCAGAGAAAATGTCAGTGCGGAAAACATTTTGTATTTGTAAAAGTCGTCATCACACCACCACGATGGCATGAAGCATTATGGCTGTCGCTATTAACAATTCCAGTTCATATGTGGCACAGGACAGAGTCGTAGTATTTAGCTATGATACACTTAACAGATAATAATCTTATAATCTAAGACAAGGCCCTAAGCTTGCTTGGGACCAGCCTAGCAACAAACAAAACAACTATGACTGACAGCAGTGAACCCGGAGCGGTTGCCATGCCGACATGGACTCATTGCTATGGCAACAGGCAGATTTCTGTTGACATGGCAACCACTTCCATAAAGAGGCACTGTTATTGAATGGAGAGTTCTGATTGGCTGAGGCGGCCTCAAGACCAGCCACCTGTCAACTTGTGGAATAGTTCCTGGTTCAATGATTGGTTCTTGTCCTGTGATCTCATCGACAGGAATATGTAGCCTCCGATAAACTCGTGGATCACTTTGCAAGGGGTTCCTATTGACGAGAATGTGACTCGCTCCTCCTCGAAGTTGAGAATGACGTTTTCGTTTTCCCAGTTGACGTGCCATGACTGGAGCGTGTTGTAGCGCCATGTCTTGATGGAGTCGCCGGTGTTGGGGTCCATCCGGATTATCCTATTGGAAGCCACACCAATCAACTCCTGAAACAAAACAAATCCAAAGGTCAAACTTTTGTTTCACTCATTGATTTAGAGCAGATGCATATTCATTAGGCCCACGCACTGTAAAAATAATTTCAAGTAGATACGGAAAATACCCACATCTGGACGGTACTATTAAAGTCTGTGACATTAGCCCCAAGGCTAAAGTCCAAATCTAGTAACATCATGCTAAGTTTAGCTCTACGGTCTACATAATAACACAACAATTCAAGTCTCTGAAAGGCATTTAGTAGGGATACACATAAAGAAATGTTTCATGTGCTAGGAATTCTTGACATTTTGAAACATAGCTGATGTTTGTGACTATGCCATCAAGTACTGAACACATGACCGACCTCCTTCTTGCTGTTGGACATCTTGATGAGGAAGTAGGTGATGCCGTACTCAGGCAGCGCCTGCCACGCCCGGATGTACGCCAGCTTGGCCTCGATGAGACTCATGCCCTGGACGTTGGTGTGTGCCTCCATTATCCTCTGTACCAGCTGAAACACACAGACAGCACTGTCAACATCTACTGCAGCATCAACATCTCCCACTACCACTTCAACTACAACATCAACATCTACTACAGCATCATCTACTACAGCATCAATGTCAACTACAACATCAACATTTCCCACTACCATATCAATTACAACATCAACATCTACAACATCAACATCCTACCACATCATCTACTACAGCATCAACATCTCAAACTTCAGCATCAACATCTACTACAACTTTAACATCTTCAACATCAACATCTACAACAAAATCTCCTACTCTGGCATCAATATCTACTACTTCAACATCTACTACAACACCTACTCCAGCATCAGCATCTACTACAGCATGAACATCTACTACAGCATGAACATCAACATCTACAACAGCTTTAACATCTACTACAGTTTAACATCTACAGCATCAAAATCTACTAGAGTTTAACATCTACAGCATCAACATCTACAGCATCAACATCTACTACAGCTTTAACATCTACTGCATCAACGTCTAGTACATCTACAGCATTAATGTCTTCTACAGCATCAACATCTACTATAGCATCAACATCGCCTCCTACAGCATCAACAACTCCAAAGGCAGTAACAACATCTACAGCATCAACACCTCCTACTTCAACATCAACACCTCCCACTACAACATCAGCAACATCCATTACAGGGATCCACCATAGGAACAACACCGCACCATCAGTTCAGCAGTTCAGCAGTTCCTCCTACATGGTCACCAAGCTGGTCTAGCAAGGAATGACTTGCCTGAGCCAGTAGGATTGTACAGAATTTCACTGACATCACTGACATCACATAGCGCTAATTGTGGGAGGAAAGCCCAACGTTACACAGATCCTAAGAATCATATTTGTGCCAACTGAATCACAATTTCCCAAATCAACCCTACTCCTGCCAGAATCCATTCTCAGCTGAAAGAGGTCTTTATACTACCACCTACAATGTGGGACATTGAGCATCGTGGTCAGTCAAAGCAAGCATTACCTATATACTACAAGTAAAAAAGCTTAGCAGCTCCACAGGATCCAGTTTAAAAAACAACACTGAATGTTTATACCGACTCACCGATTTTGATTTGATTTTCTTGTAGAATCGTGGCGCTACAAAGTCTTCTGCTTGGATGTTGATCTCGTTGGCGGAGATGGTGGGGACCGTCGCAGGATGCTGCATACTGAGGAAGGTCTGCAGGGCCTGGACCTCACTCTCGTACGAGCTGTCCATCATCGTCTTGCCCTTCGACGCCAACTTGCACGCCGCCATCCACCGACAGTACTGCTCCTCCTGGGGACAGTCACATGACCAAACAATGCAGTTATCCTATTTCGGGTATATCGATGTCCCAATACTGCATGCGGAATATACACATGCTGGGGACTGATCTGAGTAGCTTGAGTGAGTGAATGTTGTTTTACTCAAGTCGTCATCAATATCCAACCTCTAATACTCTTGCAGTAGCTATTCTTATTTATCTTACAACTGTCGTCATTTTTCCCATGGGTCATAATTAATAATGTTGTATGAACAGATTCATAATCTGCCAAAAATGGATGATTATTTTCATACTGCAATGTTCTCAATCATGAATTTTAACTTGAGAATGATCATGACTCATAACAGATTTTCAAGACAACGAAAACACGGAGCGTCAAAGACTTAACTCACCAGCTCAAACCTAAGGCAGATTTCCTGCATTCCGTCCTGTTCCGGTACAAACAACTTGATGCCATATTTCTTAGAGGTAAGGTTGACATCTGGGTTACACTCACAGCCTGAAACAATCCAAATCAATTTTAAGGTTTAACCAAAAATTCAAAGTGAATTCCTACCCATTTGTCACTGCTCCCCTACAACTGTAAACTGAGTTACCTCCCTTAGCCCATGCCGAGGCGTAAGTTAATACCCTGGTGTAGCAGTGCGTCTGTATCAGCTGTTCAAGTATGTTTGTGTGTACAGTGTCAGCATGTCCATCTGTCTGGGTGTGTGGCAATGGCGGCAGACAGGTGTCGGCCACATGCTCTCTGGTACTTTACCCTTAAGCTTGCAGGTTACCAAGGTTTCCCTGAACTGTTTCAGTGAATGAAACGAGGTTCATGTCATGATTTGAAAACATATCAATATGCTTTAGTTTCAAACGTAATATAGGAATAAACTATAACAATAATGCTGATGATGTTTCAGAATTGATGAAGATGCATCAATAATATAGCCAGGAATCATTAGGTGGTAAAAAGTGTACAGGGAAACTGTTAAACCCAGTCAGTATTAATTCTAGCAAACTCGACCAAAATTAAATTTCTGGATTAACAAAGCACTGGTATGGAACAAGGTGGCCTTGCGTGAGTATTCTCAGAAAGAGCGTCCTAAGAGCAGTCTTTACTGTAGGTTCAGTTATCAATATCTTCAGTAATACACGAACCGTCAAATGATTCATCATAGTGTGTGCGTACTATGAAATCATTTTAGCAATATTCCAGCAATATCATGTCAGGGACAGCAAGAGAGAGCTTCACTGTTCTAATCTGCATGAAACCGGGTCTTAAGTGTGAAGAGTGAACACCTCAACCCCTGCTTCCTCTACTCTATGAAAATGAATTTAGGTTCATAACAGATGCATATTATCAATTGTGTTTCTGAAGAACAAGACAGCAGTTGACAGAACTATTTCAAAACCAGATTGGTGAAGTGGAAGTTGTCCTATGTGCTGTAAGCAGTACACGCTTGATCCTGAAGAGTGTTATGTACAACCGCCCCTCCCCCCAAGGCCACTGAGACCCCCCCCAGCTTACCTAGTCACAGGGTGACACTCTAGCCAGCACTGGGGCCATACACTCGGAGAGTCTACACACTGGAACATCCTCACTTCAACACCAGCTTCTCAAGACAGTTTCAATAAAATTTGATACAATATATCTTGACATTATTGATATTTCCTCAACATCCTCTTCTATAGCAGCTTATAGGGACCCATTTCCTGAAGTGTTCATCAAACATGCTTGTTCCCAGTTCATCATTCCACTAAACGACATTTCTTACTTTCGTCTTACTGACCCGTGAAGGTTCGGGTTAGAATAGGTCTTCATCAACCCATGTTGGCTGTAACGGGCGACTATGCAAACGTAAGAGGCGACTAATTGGATTGGGTGGTCAGGCTTGCTGACTTAGTTGATGCATGTTATCATATCCCAAATTGGTTGATCGATGCTCATGATATCAATCACTGGATTGTCTGGTCCAGACTTGATTATTTACAGACCGCCGTCATATAGCGGGAATATTGCTGAGTGCGGTGATAAACAACAAACAAACAAACAAACGTTCACCTTTCTACTTTGGCTCAACTTTTTCCTGTTATTTTCAAGATTTCCCTTCTGGTGAATCAAAGACATGTATGATTTCAACATTTGGCTCAGCTATAGAGTAAAGGCCGAGTCCCCACTGCATGTTTATACAGTCTCCATACGCAATATCCTGATGCTTTGACGCATGTTTCCACGACCCCACCCCATCTGTTTCTCTTTAGCTTGCTACAACTTTCTCCCCTCCATGGCTGACATTTACCTCTCTCTCTGCCTCAGGAGACAACACATCACTTACACTATTTCCCTGCCTACTACCCCTGAGATAAACACCCTCTCACGCCCACCAGGCAGACGGCCCGGCCCAATGACAGAATTGCAGGCCCTTTCATGTAAGTCATCATTTAACCCACATCTTCAGGCTAATATTCCCCAGATTTATCTGACGTAAAAAATGTGTCGATGGAGCAGGCGTGGTCACTTTGTTCTATAAACATCACGTCTTGACATAACATGGCTGCCGCAGGTATCGCACAATGAATGTTTGCAGACGCCACTCACCTCTGACATTTATCCTCATCACTGGAGGGCCGTTGCTTTCCTCTCGGCTTCGGAAGAACACAATATGAGTGTCTTTGAATGTCGCCCAGTACCGCTTGTAACTTTTTAGTGTTATTCTCTTCGGCCTTTAAAGAAAACCGATCACTGAGTTAGCATGGATGCATTGGTTTGGACAGTGTAGTTGTGACAATGTCCATCATGGCTTTAATTCTGGACATCCATGGCTACACTTAAATCATTTATTGGCATTAAACTACAATGTAACATTCGCAGTCATATGAATAATTATCTGTTTTATAAACCAACAACTAGTCGCTGTGACAGATAGTGACATAAATATCTAGCCAGAACCACTAGCAATGTTTTTGCCAAAATGTGTAACATATCCTAGTTTATTGGTGGAATTAGGTACAGAACATTGTAATGATTCCTCCCAATCTTAATGTCCCAGGTCACCTCACACCTTCTGTTAAATAATGAGACAAGAAGACTATATACCCGGGTTTCAAACTGGTCAGGTGAAATGGTATTCAAGACCTGTGCACTTACATAGCAACGTGCATGCCTGTGTGTGGCTGCTTGCACTAGTCCAGAGTACTGCCGGTTTTACAGTGTGATACCATGCCGCAGTTTAACATGAACACCCCACTCAGACACAGTATACCGACGCCGTGTTGACAATTCCTTGTTTTATCCCCTCAATGCAGAGCCAGGCAGGGTAGCAACAAGTACCATATTTAACGTCTTATAGTATGAGGTGGCCAGGGAACGAACCACCTTGTGATCTAAGGCACAGTAAACCCTTTTGTCTATACCTATGTCATTGAAATTATCAGGAAACAACTTCAATGTCTCTGAAACGTGAAGGTACTATTACTTCTTAGTCTGTACTCACTTTAGGAACTTGACATAGTCTCCGAGTTCTGGTATATGTGTGATGTCACCGGCGTTGGACACAGAGGTCCCCTCCAGAGACTCCTGGAGGTCCTTGAGAGCGGCGTCAATGTCATCCTCCTCATTGTTCATGGTCTCAAGGTCCGGCTGGGGCAGACCCGACTGCCGCTGAATCTGGAACTGTGGACGAGGACGACATCAGCAACACCATGCCTTTGTTATCAGGCTTAATTCTGGGAATTTCCAATTATGACTCTTTGTTGCCATACCAATGCTTGTGATTTCACCAGTGGCAATTTTAGGCATCTATGGCCTGTCACTTTAGTCTTGGCTCTCACATTAAGCAAACATGCCGTGATAAAACTGAAGTGCTGTAGAAACGACTTAAACTGAAATCTTTCTCTTGATTCAAGCAAGACAGAAGGATGCTGAATGCTGATGAAGAAGTCGGAGGAATTACCTGTAGAGCCGCGAACATCATCATTTCTTCCTCTGTACACTCGATCTCCTCCGCCATCAGTGCCCACTTGGCCTGCTCATACACCTGGTTGATACGGATTGCATCGTACTGAAACAACACAACAATAACAAGCATGAAATACTCATATCCCCTGCCAATATCACATGTCCGGTTGCTTTGGAAACTCGAACAATAAATTTGTAGCAAATTCTTAACTATCAAAAGGCACCAGTTTACCACTAGACCTATCTTTGTGCCAAGTTTAGTAAAGAGATATTGTACGGTTTTCAAGATCTGCTATAACAAGCATGAAATACTCATATTCCCTGCCAGAATGGAGTACTACTGACAGTTTCAGTCTAAGTCAAAGTCGTTGCCATGGAAACTCGAAAATATATTATGAAAAAATCCAAAACTATCAAAAGGCACCAGATCACCACTAGACCTATCTAAGGACCAAGGTTTGTTAAGATATTTCTCATGTTTTTTCAGTTCTTCTCTGGAAACTAAACATGACGTATGGACAGACAGCACCCATTCTTATATCCCGCTCCCGGGGGGGGGGGAGAGAGAGATAATTAAATCTTTGGCAGGTTTATACAGATTGTATCACGCTAAAACAACAGAACAACAGTCCAACAATATTTAAATTATTGTCAGATTAACATACTGAATCACAGGACAGTTGAACAAAATGTTCAGACAGTTTGATAGTTTCTATCGCTGTATGCACATTAACCTCCGCCTTTTTTCATATTGACTGTGATCTTTATTATCTAAGATTTTATTTCACAAAACATTATTCCTCCAAAAGCTCCACAACATCAAGTGTCAAGTTTCACGTATCAAATCGTGATCGTAATTATTAATATACTAAATCATGACAAAGTGTAGCGTTGCAGTAATAAATCAGTAGTATATCTTCTGTGAGAAGTCAAACTGAAGCAATCTGAATCTCCTCTGAAAGAATTAAGTCCGTCCAACTATCATAAACACCACACAGTATAATAACAGTTGATGACAATGATATATGCAGTGTATAACTAACACTCTTTGTTCTTTCCAGCTAGGCCTCTCTCATTACACCAGTGTTAAAGTACAACGTGGAACTTCTAAAGACCTTCTTAATGCAGGAAATGGTACACTTAATATGTGCGTGTAATATACTAAATAGGACAGATTGGGCAGTATTTATGACGATAATAATTTGAAATGTCAACACAAATGTCTCCTGATTCAGGGAGATCGATGTCACATTAAACACAGCCTGTGTGTAGCATGCGACCTCTGAACTGCTGACAAATGTCATTGCTGAGTGAGTGAGTGAGTGAGTGAGTGAGTGAGTGAGTGAGTGACCTGTTCTATGTAGAATTGCAGGGTTGAGTTTGACTAGACAACACGCAACAAATCAGGAAAGCAAAGCACCGACACCACTATCACAGGACTTGCTCTTCTCATTCAGTCTTCTTAAGAGTACTTAAGATTCTCTTTACAATATCGTTTAATAACAGCAGCTCGGTCCCATTTGCACACAGGTATCTGAGACGTTTTCAGAAGTTAAGGACAGTCTGGATCAAGACATTCCAGAAGAACTGTTTTATCCTAGGCCTGTGTCCAGTCTAGATGTACACTGTTTAATCAGAGAACTGTGTCCGGTCTAGATATACACTGTTTAATCAGAGAACTGTGTCCGGTCTAGATATACACTGTTTAATCAGAGAACTGTGTCCGGTCTAGATGTACACTGTTTAATCAGAGAACTGTGTCCGGTCTAGATGTACACTGTTTAATCAGAGACCTATGTCCGGTCTAGATATACACTGTTTAATCAGAGACCTATGTCCGGTCTAGATGTACACTGTTTAATCAGAGACCTATGTCCGGTCTAGATATACACTGTTTTATCCTAGACCTGTGTCCGGTCTAGATGTACACTGTTTAATCAGAGACCTATGTCCGGTTTAGATATACACTGTTTAATCAGAGACCTATGTCCGGTCTAGATATACACTGTTTTATCAGAGACCTATGTCCGGTCTAGATATACACTGTTTTATCCTAGACCTATGTCCGGTCTAGATATACACTGTTTAATCAGAGACCTATGTCCGGTCTAGATATACACTGTTTAATCAGAGACCTATGTCCGGTCTAGATATACACTGTTTTATCCTAGACCTGTGTCCGGTCTAGATGTACACTGTTTAATCAGAGAACTGTGTCCAGTCTAGATATACACTGTTTAATCAGAGACCTATGTCCGGTCTAGATGTACACTGTTTAATCAGAGACCTATGTCCGGTCTAGATATACACTGTTTTATCCTAGACCTGTGTCCGGTCTAGATGTACACTGTTTAATCAGAGACCTATGTCCGGTTTAGATATACACTGTTTAATCAGAGACCTATGTCCGGTCTAGATATACACTGTTTTATCCTAGACCTGTGTCCGGTCTAGATGTACACTGTTTAATCAGAGACCTATGTCCAGTCTAGATATACACTGTTTAATCAGAGACCTATGTCCGGTCTAGATATACACTGTTTAATCAGAGACCTATGTCCGGTCTAGATATACACTGTTTTATCCTAGACCTGTGTCTGGTCTAGATATACACTGTTTAATCAGAGAACTGTGTCCAGTCTAGATATACACTGTTTAATCAGAGACCTATGTTCGGTCTAGATATACACTGTTTTATCCTAGACCTGTGTCCGGTCTAGATGTACACTGTTTAATCAGAGAACTGTGTCCCGCCTAGATGTACACTGTTTAATCGGAGAACTGTGTCCGGTCTAGATATACACTGTTTTATCAGAGACCTGTGTCAAGTCTAGATGTACACTGTTTTATCCCAGACCTGTGTCTAGTCTAGATGTACAGTTTTATCACAGACCTGTGTCTAGTCTAGATTTACAGTTTTATCAGAGACATGTGTCCAGTCTAGGTATACCATGTTATCTGAGACCTGTGTCCAGTCTAGGTATACCATGTTATCTGAGACCTGTGGCCACTGCCTCATTATAGCTGGCTACTGCCTCTTACCAATCAGGATAAATAATCAAACTTAAATGAGCTTGCTACAAAAGATATCAATAGTTGATGAAGCTTCCACAGGCCTTGGAGACGACCTCACACTAAGGGCATCTTTATTAAACTTTCTCATTTCCATGGCTCCACACAAGGGGGCGCACATCGAAAACACAAAAACAAGGGAATAAATGCATGATACAGATATTCTGTTACACTAACACTGCCTGTCCAAACTATATGCATGTTCAACACCACTGTCATCGCCTCTGATTGAAACATTCACTGGAGAGGAAGATCTTGCATTTCTTAAACCTTTTGTGTAAATGTTTTCACTCAGTGACATGGAACACAGTCTATTATAGATCAAGACAAGACTTTGTGTGTCCATTTCCACACAAGTGTGTTATACATCTCTGTACAACATGAAACATCAGTTAACCATTGTGGATGCGAATTCTACAATTCTGCAAGGAATTTCAATTGTTTGTTGTTTAACGCTGCACCCAGCAATATTCCATCTATATGACGGCGGTCTGTAAATAATCAAGTCTGGACCAGACAATCCAGTGATTGACATCATGAGCATTGATCCACGCCTTTTGGATACGATGACATGCATCAACAAAGTCAAAGAGTCTGACCACCTTATCCCGTTAGTAGCCTCTTACGACAAGCATAGTCGCCTTTTATGGCAAGCATGGGTTGCTGAAGACCTGTTCCAACCCGGATCTGCACGGTATTAATTTCAATTAAATTCCCCCCAAATCTGACTCCCTTTTAAAGAGTTTCCGAGGTTCATTTTTAACTTTTAATTATCAATATGTTCGACACCATTTTTTTCATAATTAAGTTTCATTGTGAAAATTGATATATATATTTTTTAAATAGCACCATACAAATACAACCAAGTGAGTAACTAAACAGTGATATAATCACTCAAGTCATAAGACAGCTGGGGAGATGAGAGGAAAAACATACCATGTGATAAAGGCAACCAAAAACAACAACCCCAAACCTCATCCTCTCGCTATGCAGGGTCCCAGATCCACATAACGGTGAAGAACATCTCTGTTGCTTCTAACAACGTCCCATTAATCATGACATCTTCATCAACAGATGACAAAAGAGATCCCCCAATTACTGTAACACAACCGCAAGTGGCTGGCTCTATCACCAAAGCTCGCCTTGCAGAGCAATCTCAATTTGGTAATGTGACTCAGTGTCAACACAGACTGAAAAGGAGAAGGTCAGAGGTCACACCCCTCCCTAAAAAATAACAGTTTATTATTACAAAGTCAACAAACTCCAGAAATTGTTCTGTGCATTTTTTTATGTGGATTGCGATCACAATGCTTGTATTCAACTGACCTTTAAAATGTGTATAATCAGACCTTATTTGAGAGTGTAAGGGGATTGATGCCAAAATAGCAGAATATAAGGATTGTTTAAAATAATGTCTAAGATAGTCTGCATGAAGTTCTTCATGATTTGAAATCTCAGGAGCCTGGACCCTGTTAGACCAAAAAGACACCTCTCAGAGAGCTACAGTCTGTGACTACAAGGTCAAAACTCGAGTCTCATAATTGTTATTTCAAAAAGTAAGCTTAGTTGATTACTCAAATTGATGCTTTATGACAACTTCAAGCCAGTAGGCTCAAATGATGCAATATGTTTTCAATCCAGTACAAAAAAAGCCGGAAATACACACATTCACCAACCAACCACTACTGTACTGGCCATCCATGCAACTTCTCTCTATTCTCTTGTCCCACCAACACTCTGTGTATCTCTACCTACATCTCTACCTCTTCCAGGCGTCCTGCATCCCGGTCTCTTGTCCCACCAACACTCTGTGTATCTCTACCTACATCTCTACCTCTTCCAGGCGTCCTGCATCCCGGTCTCTCTTGTCCCACCAACACTCTGTGTATCTCTACCTACATCTCTACCTCTTCCAGGCGTCCTGCATCCCGGTCTCTTGTCCCACCAACACTCTGTGTATCTCTACCTACATCTCTACCTCTTCCAGGCGTCCTGCATCCCGGTCTCTCTTGTCCCACCAACACTCTGTGTATCTCTACCTACATCTCTACCTCTTCCAGGCGTCCTGCATCCCTGTCTTTCTTGTCCCACCAACACTCTGTGTATCTCTACCTACATCTCTACCTCTTCCAGGCATCCTGCATCCCGGTCTCTCTTGTCCCACCAACACTCTGTGTATCTCTACCTACATCTCTACCTCTTCCAGGCATCCTGCATCCCGGTCTCTCTTGTCCCACCAACACTCTGTGTATCTCTACCTACATCTCTACCTCTTCCAGGCGTCCTGCATCCCTGTCTTTCTTGTCCCACCAACACTCTGTGTATCTCTACCTACATCTCTACCTCTTCCAGGCATCCTGCATCCCGGTCTCTCTTGTCCCACCAACACTCTGTGTATCTCTACCTACATCTCTACCTCTTCCAGGCATCCTGCATCCCGGTCTCTCTTGTCCCACCAACACTCTGTGTATCTCTACCTACATCTCTACCTCTTCCAGGCGTCCTGCATCCCGGTCTCTTGTCCCACCAACACTCTGTGTATCTCTACCTACATCTCTACCTCTTCCAGGCGTCCTGCATCCCGGTCTCTCTTGTCCCACCAACACTCTGTGTATCTCTACCTACATCTCTACCTCTTCCAGGCGTCCTGCATCCCGGTCTCTCTTGTCCCACCAACACTCTGTGTATCTCTACCTACATCTCTACCTCTTCCAGGCGTCCTGCATCCCGGTCTCTCTTGTCCCACCAACACTCTGTGTATCTCTACCTACATCTCTACCTCTTCCAGGCGTCCTGCATCCCGGTCTCTCTTGTCCCACCAACACTCTGTGTATCTCTACCTACATCTCTACCTCTTCCAGGCATCCTGCATCCCGGTCTCTTATCCCACCAACACTCTGTGTATCTCTACCTACATCTCTACCTCTTCCAGGCATCCTGCATCCCTGTCTCCTCCTCTCCCCACCCTCTCCCCTGAAACAAGACCCTCCCCAACTGCCATGCATGTCTTTCTGCTGGGCTCATCAGGGGGGGTCATGTTACAATCACATTCGGCTATCTCTCACGGGCTATCTGCAGGGGTAGCATGTCAAAACACACATAAACACACATTTCTTGTCACTGCTGTGAACTAACTATTTCCATGGATACACTGATGTTTCTGTTAGTGCTTCCTTCTTCTATTACCATTATGCTGAGTGACATCGACATCCTGATTCCCCTCGGGATATAGAGAAGGGGATACTCCCTTCATATTCAGTCACCCCAATTCCCCTTTGAACTCCCAACCCCCACTTCTGCCCCTCTCTTCATGATCTCCTGGTCCCAACTTCTGACTCCCGGCCACGCCTTGCCCCCGACCTTTCCCAGCTCCCCACTTCTGTCCCCCCTGTTCCCCACTTCTGCCCCGCTCTTCATGATCTCCTGGTCCCAACTTCTGACTCCTGGCCACGCCTTGGCCCCCTGATCTTTCCCTGCTCCCCACTTCTGTCCCCCCTGCTCCCCACTTCTGCCCCTCTCTTCATGATTTCCTGGTCCCAACTTCTGACTCCTGGCCACGCCTTGGCCCCCTGATCTTTCCCTGCTCCCCACTTCTGCCCTTCTGTCCCCCCTGCTCCCCACTTCTATTCCCCGACTCCCCACTTCTGTCCCCCCTGCTCCCCACTTCTGCCATCCCCTACTCCCAACTTGTCTCCCCTACTCCCCACTTCTGTACCCCCTACTCCCCACTTCTGTCTCCCGTACTCCCCACTTCTGTCTCCCGTACTCCCCACTTCTGTACCCCCTACTCCCCACTTCTGTCTCCCCTACTCCCAACTTCTGTCCCCCGTACTCCCCACTTCTGTCTCCCCACCTCCCCACTTCTGTCTCCCTTATTCCCCACTTCTGTAGGACCTTGTATTAAGGATTTCAGGGAGGCCTTGGATCCGGCACCTGTGGCTTCCTGTTCTGACACTGCACTGATCAGTTGCAGGAGTACTGCCACACTGCCACTCTTTACAGAACAGCAGATATAGCCGAGAGTACTGAAGGTACTTTTGTCTACACGCTGTAACAGGTAGCACTACAGTGACAGCTCCAACACATCGGTAGCAAGTAATTACACCAACCACCCGCGTTTGCAACCACAAACAATACACTACTGTTCCCAGTCTACAGTTCAGGTTTCACAGACAACTCACTGACTGTTACTCCAACACTTGGATTTCCTTCCTGTGTAATGTGAATCCCCCATACCTGGTTTAACGCAAGTATTACGAGTCTCAGGTAAGTATTATGGCCCATCTCAATCACACGATGGTCTATAAAGACCACTGCCTCCATGACAAGGTGCAATGACAAATGTAATCCCGGCTGTGTAAAGCGTAACCCGAGCGCTAGTTTCACCATCGTGTCTCAAAGGTGGACACAAGCCACAGTGGTCTCAGTGGCTATTGTTGCCTGACACATCAGTTGATGGTGCGCTTACACACCTTTGGATGGCGTTTAGTTTAGAAAGGTCTGATTCAATTCCCAAATTTAACACCACATACTTAAATAACCACCTTGTGGGCCACACAGTCAGTAGGCTACAATATCTATCTTGTCTGTTTGCTGTGTGAAGTCTCGTGTCCATAGGATGTGTCTGAAGAATTAAGCTTGTATCCAGATCATGTCTTGCAAATCTATATCTGTCTGTGCAGTAATGTTGATATGTTTGTCTTCCACTATGACTGGAGTCTGTATCTGGTCAGGTGTCTGGCGCTGATGTCTGGAGATGTGTCCAGAGTCTGTGTCTGGAGTCTTTGTCTCAAGTCGAGTGTCTGGCAGATGTCTGGAGTCTGTGACTGACACATGTGTCTGGAACATTTGTTGGGAGGTCTGTGTGGGGAAGTGTGTTTGCAGTCTATGTCTGGAGTATTCTTACCTTAGGACTGAGGTCGTAGTAGGAGTAGTACTTGAACTTGAAGAGGATGTAGTCATTCTCCCTCACCCCCTGCTCCATCAACGACCGGGACGAGTCCAGCCACCTGCACAGAGCCACAAACAACATATTTACATACATTTCCAACTTGGGCCTACGTCATACAGCTGTAACATTGCTAAGTGCAGCATTACACAAATCAACCAACCTCCATATTTTCAAAGCTTCTGACAAATATCCAGCTAGCTGAGACATAAACATAAAGACCAAAACTAATGAGTGAGTGAGTTGGGATCAACGCCGTCGTGAACAGTATTCCAGTAACATCAGGGCGTGTCAGCTTATAAATATGGGAGGGACACCCAAAGTGATGCAGGTCTCAGACGTTTACCACTTTGGTGAGACACAGGCACAGTTATGGTGCTGACAAACCTAGAAACATAATCAGGGCGAACCAGGATTCAAACCCACAATCTGGTTTCTGGGTGCCCAAGGGACACAACTCTGCAAAGTGAATTGCAGCGCCTTAGACGACAGGGCCACCCGTGCCCCAGAAACTAGTGAAATACACCAGCAACAAACATACCATGAATAATTAAAACACAATAACATTAGGAAATTCTGTTGAACCAAAATGGTAAAAGCTAATCAGGAATGCAAGAAAGGGTGTTCATGACTTTTACCTCTCCCGATTCCTGTAAACAAACTTTATCATTTATCCGCTTCATGGCTCTGGTTATCACAGCTTTTCAAACAGTGTTTATAGCATTCTTTCAACGAACATTGCTTTCAAATTACAGATCACTGTCTTATCAGTTTGACAGATTTTCCAAACTTCAGCCACACTGTTATGTGACCCCAATAATCAGACTGCCTGCTGTTCATGAAAACAATAGCGCTACTGTCTGGAATTTGTCTGGGGTAATAGAAGCAAATTACTAGGTTGTTCTAGCTTTCAAATAGATTTCCTACATATTGACTGACTTGAATGAGATTAACAGATTTCAATCTGCAAGTCTGCATCTTTCAGGACAACATAGTGGCGTAGTGTATCTTGGGTATTTTGCAACCTAGTCCAAAGAACAATTGGTCTTCTAATCATGAATAGGAAATGTGACAAAACAAGCTCATCTGTCATAGGGTTGGGTGGCTTAGTGGAAGTGTTCACTCATCAAGCAAAAGGGCTGGGTTCAAATGGTTTCCTTGTTCTCAGGGTAACAAATGTCCAAGTTTTTGTGGGGAATTTTACAGACACAGACTTATTCAGCTCCTACTGCATTTTTGCATCTGTGTTTTATTTGTAGGTACAAGTTGTATTTTGAATAACAAATCTTTCAATTTTTCAACATACCCTTCATATCAATGATGAAGACTTTGAAAGTTTTCCAACAATAGTGTCATCTTCTGTTCAGATTTGGTTGGTAAAATATGTATGTATATTCATGAGCTGTCGGACCCTTAGACTTGCACAAGTCTCTAAGCACAAGTCTCTAAGGCAATAATTATCAGTTAAAACCATAATTTCTAGTTATGTAAATAATAAGAACAAATTGTCCCTATAAGAGACTGGAGTCCTTCACATATCTAGACTTGCCTATCAGGAGGATAGAATGACTACACATCCAGGGACTTTTCTTTCAGTAGAGCCTTGGTGCAAGGCTGTCGGACCCCGGACATTCCCTCCTTTAGCCTAAATGTTGTAACTGGATGCCCCTGTACAGCAATGTGGAGTACCTGCTCACTTTACACACATGCTTGTGTGTCTAATGACTGAAAAACTTCCAGATGGCCAGTTAGTGATAATTCTCTGCATGGGACATAGAGGCATTATTTCCATAATGAAGAACAATTGGACAGAGATAGTTTGTGAAATATCAACACAAACACTTCAACCAGAAGTAATCTTGACAAGAGTATCAGGTGTCCAAGAGCGCCTCTGTAGATCACAGAAAATTGGGGAACATTAAAAAATGTCCAAGACATCATAGTGGCCTGTCAACAGGCCAACCTGTGGCAATCAATATATATTTTGGGCATCTCATCTTCCCTCACCTTCTCTAAAAAATTACAAACATATTTCATATCCACCAACGTGTCAGATTTATTATATATAATTGCCATCAGGAACTTTTATTGATAAATAGAGATTATTACCAGTGTGTGTTTCCATATTGTAAATATCACATGTTTGGAGTATACATTGTATTATGTCAGCCTATGGTGAGTATATTACATATACTTTACTCCTAATGTATGACATTTAGGATACGGAAACATGCAGATAATAATATCATTTTTAAATATTCCATGTTTAAGACTTATTTGCATTTAATGAAGTAGCTTTAGAAACAGCGTATGAATATACTGTTTGAGTGAACCCACCCGTGTATCATATATAGTGCCAAATGATTTGAAGCCACGTTTGTGTGCAGAAATACCCTCATCAGGGAAAGGCTATCTAAATTCATGTCAGACAATAATACTTTAAATCAAACAGACATTACATCGATGTATGGAGGTTAAAAAGTAGTTCCTGTGAGGTAAACTAATTTGCATATTAATTGGATAGTGATTCCAAGTTTATTGGATTGGTTATCACATCAATAACACTATCCTTTACATGATAATCAAAATTCTGCACTGTTTTTTGCTGGGTTTTTTTAAGAAGGGAAGTGACTCTGCCTATATTTCATTGGTGTTTTAACATATGTAAGCCCTCCCTTCTCAACATTAATACTGTAACCATGGTATTGTGAATATAGGACAATTACTACCATATAGTAAAGCCATTATTGCACATATCTTTAATAACGGGGATTATTAGTGAATTTTTAGTGTTTTTGTGAATCTTACGCGCAGTTAATCCTGGCTTTTTCTGTGAAGTTCTTTGGTCTGTACAAGTACTGGAAGGCCTCCTTGGCCGCGACTGGGGGACTGTTGGCGAGTGACGACTCCATCATACCCTCGAAGGAGAGGCTGTACATGGACCCCGGGGACATGGTGCCGTTAAACGTGCTGTACGGAGACATCGACGACATACTGTGGGGGCTGCGGATCAGGGTATTCTGCAACATCATCATCGTCATCATTACTATTATCACCACTATCACTATCATCAGCACCTATCACTATTGCCACCATCATCACTATCACCACCATCAACTTCATCATCATCATCATCATAATTGTATGATCATAATTATATCTAAATTCAAATTTTAGACTGATAATAGCTCTTGGCATCTCCCTTGTTTCTCCTGAACTGAAGATTTGCCACTCATAACAGTAATTGGAGATTCTTAATTTCACAGACCTTTTAATTCATAGTAGGCCAGACAATGCTACAAAATCTTGAATATTACAAAGTACAACACTACCTTTCTGACTGTACACCATTACCTGACTTAAACCTCCTCATGCCACCATGAATGGTATATTTGGCCAAGGCTCAAATAGTCCTCAACAGACCGGAGACCCTGAATTATTACCAGACTGACTAAAAACACAGACCTCAAATGAAAGTGTTACTGCAGCGACTCATATAATGCTAGTCACTTGCAGGTTAGAGTAGGTCCCCGGCAACCTATGCTGATTGTAAGAGGTGACCAAATGAATGGGGTGGTCAGACTCAGTGACTTGGTTGATAGCGTGTCAACATTTCCCAATGGTGTGGCCTTTGTACACAATATTGATCACTGGATTGTCTGGTCCGGACTCGAATATTTACAGGCCTCCGTCATACAGTTGGAATAATAACTGCTGAGTGTGGAATTTAACAATAAACATCAGATAAGACTACCATCTGTTCTATCCACTAGACATGGTATAAGATACTGATGTTCAACTGGGGAAGGGCTGACTTTGTATCAAGACACATAAGGCAAAGATCCCCCAATAATGTATGTACCGAGGGTGAGGGTCCGATGGGACTCCGACTGGGGTAGGGGCTGAGTTTCCCGTCCAGGCTGCCCGATGAAGACTGGAGGGTTCCATTAGCACTGAGTGTCCCGGACACATTCGATTCTCCGTGTTTCTTTTTCCGGACTGCTTCCTTGACCACTCGCTTGAGGTCATCCTTGTCCATCCGGACCATGAGGGAGACCTCCTCGGGGTGGCGGATACCTGCAACATAGGGAGGGGTCAGTGTTACACCTGTCGTGATTCACCTCGGGTGTCACTAACACTTACCTCGCGTATTGATACATATCAGAAACAAGATAGAAAACATAACACAATACTTAAGTTGCATCACCTCTGCCTGAAATTCTCCATGACTACACCGGTCTCAGTGGGGATTCCATGTTAACTATGGGATGGTATCTCAGTAGACTAGCAACATCAAATCAGCATTAGTCCAGACTACAGCAAACTGCCACACATATGTGCATGAACATCTGTCAGTTCAATAATCTTGGTTGTGGCACTAAACCCCATTTCACCTCACTATATCAGCAGCATCAAACATGGTGGACAGTTATAAACCTACTGCCACTTTTGCCTATTGTATTGTAGGTATCTTCTTCCTATCTTGTAAACACCTCTTGGGAGGTTTTACTTTTTCCTAGTAAGACCTGGTTTAACAATGAGGTTTTACTTTTTGATAGTAAGATCTGATTATTTGAGTAGCAGATGGAATTTGGACTTACATACATCCAATGTCCTAAAATCGAAGACAAGAAATACAACTTTTTTATTATGGATAACGGGAATCGAACATGTAACCTCACATATCATGTTAAGTTTTGTAACCCACTGAGCCACCAGGGTAGGTTATGAGGGAATGTTCAATTTTAGATGTCAAGACTTAGTTTTGGCTATGCTGCACATGTTTCTTCTCTCACACGCTTTGATCGTATTCCTTTTATACCCCGTCACACTGCATTGTTTCACTATTAGATATCTCAATGTTTTCTTATTTTGTCTGTTATTTCTTGCATTTAGACGGTTTATAAGTGAGATACAGCACTCCTCCTCGGTTAGACCTTGGGAATCAAGTATCGGCAATGTAAGAACGAGGAGTCGTGCTTTATTCTTCACATATAAAATGCCGTGTAGCCCACATTCCATCATTATGTTCTGGGCTGACAGGCCGAGAGCCTGGATACATAAACTACAGCATTATCTGGGCCGCTCAAACAGTGGTAATAGGCCACAGATTTACCTTGCAAACACCTTGCTGGGGATGCTGGTGTACTCTCATGTAATTACAAGAAACAATCAACATAGTTAGCCCGGTATGTCGACCAGAACTGGCCATTCCCACACCTTGTCGTGATGGGGATCGACCCGAGTCATCAGAATACATGGTAGCATATCAGTAGAAACAGGTCAATAACCATCACTATGAAAAACTGCCAGTACTTGGTGGTAATATCAATCAGTCGCCACTTGTTAGTTTCACGTCTGACATGAACTGACTAATTCCTCTTGTCGATAGTGCGGCAACATTATCAATCATGTTTGCAGAAACGATAGGGTCAGAGTGAGTGAGTGAGTGAGTGAGTGAGTGAGTGAGTGAGTGAGTGAGTGAGTGAGTGAGTGAGTGAGTGAGTGAGTGAGTGAGTGAGTGAGTGAGTGAGTGAGTGAGTGAGTGAGTGAGTGAGTGTTGCTTCCTGCTGATTTTATAAATATTCAAGTCCTCAAGCGGCAGGACACCAGAAATGGGCTTGAGTGAGTGAGTGAGATTTAACACCACTTTTAACAGCATATTAGTTGAATCATGGCGCGTCAGCCATTCATGGGAGGAAAGCCTGAGTGAGAAATCCACCACTGTAGTGACTGCGCTGACAAACAAAAGAAATATAATTCTCATATGTCATAGGCTTCTGCCACCCTCAAGGGACAAAACTCTGCACAATTACTGCGCCTTAGACAAATAAGACACCCGTACCCCACAAGAGTAGCAGACAGATCCCAATTTGATGCATCCTCTCTTTTCATGTTTCGCCACATTTCAATTCGTACGAGCCAGTGAGTGATGGAGAAAACATGGGGATACAGAGGAGAGGAGAAATGAACATTTCCCCATTTGTCAAAAACACAGTACCTGGAGACCATTGTCAATAATATCCACCTTTTAGGGCTTTTTAGGACTGTTTCCATTTCAGTTTCAATAAAGGAAATGAACCAACACCAGACCTTAACGTTTACTTTGGATGTTGGCGATCGTGCAACTGCAGAATTCCACGGTGAATTATTCTTGAAATAGACGTGGATCCGACTGAGTGTCCTTGTTAGAGCAATACATCAATCTACCAGTCCAATACAAATGTTTGTTTTACAAGCAGACATGCACTGATGTATGGGCTTACGACATGTAGGGATAGGGATTATTTGCACAAGCAATCACTGGAAAGAGACATGGGTTTTTTCTAGAAAATGTCTAGTACATGTGAAGTCCTCATTGATTAAAGACAAGGTAACTGATTTGGTTACAACATTTCTTGAAATGGCGTCATTTGGCGACTGTGAAGATTGTTTTACACAGCAGCCAGCACTATTTCGGCCACCCTGGTGGCTTGGAAATGATGGGTCTTGGCGAAATGGCCACCCGTAACCCCTTGATAGTATGGACAACTTGTGCCCTCCACCACCCCCCCACCACCCCCGATAGTACAGGCCACCCGTGCCCCCTTGATAGTACAGACCACCCGTGCCCTCTTGGTAGTATGGACCCCCTGTGCCCTCTTGTATGGACCACCCCTGCCCTGTTGATAGTATGGACCACCCTTGCCTTCTTGGTAGTATGGACCACTCGTGCCCCCTTGATAGTATGGACCACCCGTGCCCCCTTGATAGTATGGGCCACCCGTAACCCCTTGATAGTATGGACCCCCTGTGCCCTCTTGTATGGACCACCCCTGCCCTGTTGATAGTATGGACCACCCATGCCCTCTTGATAGTATGGACTACCCGTGCCCCCTTGATAGTATGGACCACCCGTGCCCCCTTGATAGTATGGACCACTCGTGCCCCCTTGATAGTATGGACCACTCGTGCCACCTTGATAGTATGGACCACCCGTGCCCTCTTGACAGTATGGACCACCCCTGCCCCGTTGATAGTATGGACCACCCCTGTCCCGTTGATAGTATGGACCACCCGTGGCCCCCCCTCCCCGCCTTGGCAGTATGAGCCCCCCGTGCCACCTTGATAGTATGGACGACCCGTGCCCTCTTGGTAGTATGGACCACCCCTGCCCCGTTGATAGTATGGACCACCCCTGTCCCGTTGATAGTATGGACCACCCCTGGCCCCCCTCCCCGCCCTGGCAGTATGGGCCACCCATGCCCCCTTGATAGTATGGATTACCCATGCCCCCTTGATAGTACGGATTACCCGTGCCCCCTTGATAGTACAGGCCACCCGTGCCCCCTTGATAGTATGGATTACCCATGCCCCCTTGATAGTACGGATTACCCGTGCCCCCTTGATAGTACAGGCCACCCGTGCCCCCTTGATAGTATGGATTACCCATGCCCCCTTGATAGTACGGATTACCCGTGCCCCCTTGATAGTACAGGCCACCCGTGCCCCCTTGATAGTATGGATTACCCATGCCCCCTTGATAGTACGGATTACCCGTGCCCCCTTGATAGTACAGGCCACCCGTGCCCCCTTGATAGTATGGATTACCCATGCCCCCTTGATAGTACAGATTACCCGTGCCCCCTTGATATTACAGGCCACCTGTGCCCCCTTGATAGTACGGATTACCCGTGCCCCCTTGATAGTACAGGCCACCCGTGCCCCCTTGATAGTACAGGCCACCCGTGCCCCCTTGATAGTACGGACTACCTGTGCCCCCTTGATAGTACGGACTACCCGTGCCCCCTTGATAGTACGGACTACCTGTGCCCCCTTGATAGTACGGACTACCTGTGCCCCCTTGATAGTACGGACTACCTGTGCCCCCTTGATAGTACGGACTACCTGTGCCCCCTTGATAGTACGGACTACCTGTGCCCCCTTGATAGTACGGATTACCCGTGCCCCCTTGATAGTACGGACTACCCGTGCCCCCTTGATAGTACGGACTACCCGTGCCCCCTTGATAGTACGGGCCACCCTTCCCCCTTGATAGTACGGGCCACCCTTCCCCCTTGATAGTACGGGCCACCCTTCCCCCTTGATTGTATAGGCCACATTCAATGCATACAGAGGTGGTAATTTGTCATATTCAGTTTTTATTTATTTTAGACCTCCCTGACTTCTCCTGAGCATCTCCAGCATCACCCAGCAGCCGGAATGTAGGTCAGTGAAGATTCCCTACATTCCATGGCTCACCTGTTAACGAGCTTATCTTGTCTGTTTACCTGTCGACCCATCCCCCCAGTCACAGGGTCACACCTAGTTAATGTCACTCTACCTGCTGGGTCAGAGACTGCAAGTCTTGTCCTGGGGACTCCCAGAGGTAGACAAGGGAGTGGGGGGTCTTGTAGTAGAAGTGAGAGACAGTGAGAGAAAGAAGAGAGAGAGTGAGTGAGTATGGTTTTACGCCGCTTTTAGCAATATTCCAGCAATATCACGGCGGGGGACACCAGAAATGGGCTTCACACATTGTACCCATGTCGGGAATCGAACCCGGGTCTTCGGCGTGACGAGCCAACGCTTTAACCACTAGGCTACCCGACCGCCCCTAGAAGAGAGAGAGAGAGAGACAGATAGATAGTGATGTGTACCCAGTGATACCTGGGCCGACTGTCTGTGACACATCTTACTTCATCATTAGTTTATTGTGTTTGTTGTGTAACTCCACTCTCAGCAATATTCCAGCTATATGACAGCGGTCTGTAAATAATTGTTCTGGACCAGGCAACCCAGTGATTGACATCATGAGCATTGATCTATGCAACTGGGAGACGATGACGTATGTGCTTCATGATCAATATCAAATCAGGCTTGATTCAAAGACCCCATAACCATGGTAAATGTTTGTTCACATTTCAACCAATATAATTCAAAAAGAGTCCATCCAATTCAGCACCATCATAAAATCGGCCCCAGGGGAGCAGTTATCTCTCAGAATGGATAAAAATATAAATCATTTCATACTAAACTGCAGCATCATAATCCACCCTTTTTCACCCAAACAACAAGCAGCCAGCCAGAAGCACCTGCAC